AATCAACTACTACTATCAAGTAGGTGAATAAATTACTCAACCTGATGGTGAGATTTTCTATACCTTCAGATAGCATTTTTTTGGTTTCGTTCTTTCATCATGAAATACTCAAAAATGAAACATTTCAAGTAGATTCACTGTTCAAAACACCACATGAATATTTATTTAGGGGGGAAAGGAGGGGGCAACTGCCTTCCCCCTGAATTTTGCCAAAAAATAATATTGCAAAGGAACTTCCTGTATCAATGTCACAAAACGAAACAGATGAGTACTTCAAATTAGGAAACATCTATCATTTTGAAATTATTTTTATGTCATGCAATTCAATATTTGTTATCGAACACAAAATATACCTGAATAGGGAAGTAAATATCAGAATTTTCGAAAATTTAAATACCGGCGCTTTCGCCAATTGAAAATATCAAGGTATTAACAGATTATTAACAGATTATTTTTTATCTAGTATAGATAGTAACTTATTATCTGTTTTGAGTAATCGTTTTTGAATGGCATGATTGAGTAATGCGTCAGTATCCCTTGTTCGATAAAAATCATTTAACACTTCTCTATCAATAATTTACGTTACTTCAACCTCATTGAGGTTCCTTCCTTTTTTCGTTATCAAAATACTCTCGAAAATACGTATTCTCATCTCTCTAGATTCTTTGGAATTTTCTCTCCTAGTTTCGAAAAATAAAAATATCCCTCCGTTGAAAAGATTTCTCTTTCATAAAACTGGAAGAGAAATTTGTTACATATAATCAATGATACTTTGTCCTTATTCCACATATAAGTATTGAAATTTTGAGATTTTCATTCTAAGAAACGAGGGGAATAAATATCAAGAAATCTGAACAAGTTCCTTCCTTCAGAGAATATTTTCACTTCAATTCACCCACTTCCAATTGTCATATAATCATAGATAATTTTATAGTAATCACAACAAAATGAGAATATGAGGCTGAATGAAATGTAATAGAGTTATATGATATGAAGTTGTCACTCTGAATGAATTCTTATTTTCAAATCGAATGAATTTGACCTTGAGTTCAAAAAAAATTCGCCTGCGGAGCATTTTATGACATACAAATTAGTTACTTCTCCCCCCCCCCTCCACTGGTATACACTGAAATGACGCCCCGACGCCCTTGTATTGCATATAGATATTCTTTGTGTTGATTATCTTCAGCTGAAGAGGAAGCAGTTAGTTTCGAGTTCAAAGAATATGCAAATTATTGACATTGACCTCTTATGAAACACATACCAAATAAACAGAGAAATAACTGTCAATAGTGCCTTGAGAATCTTGTTTACATTGTAGAAAATGTCCTTAATATTTTTAACATGAATTTGTATGTTATGATTTCCGTCTTTAACAATAATTTTATCATCCATTAAGAACATAATATTGGTAAGTTGATTAGTTCATTGTGAAATTCGAATCATTTGAAAAAACTCGTGGAAGCTGCTTCACAATAACTCGGATTTTTATTCCGAAAATCTACTTTACACCTCAACAACTTCTCATGATCTACAAAGCACAGATACGGCCAGTTTTAGAATACTGTTCTCACATCATATAGGGGGTTCAACACCCAAACAAACACTGATGCTCTCAGATTATATCCAGAGAGGGTCCACTCGCCTGGTGGGTGATGCCACACTCACTAATCCTTCGACCTCATTATAGAATTTTATTTTCTCTAGAAAGGTGGAACTCAATATTCCTGATATAACAATGTCTGCTACCACCATTCCCACCATGACCACTATATCTTTGCTCGATATTACTATCAGCAATACTCTCTCATGGAAAATCTACTTTACACCTCCACCTTTTCATGATCTACAAGGCACAGATACGGTCAGTTTCAGAATACTGTTCTCATGTATGGGGTTCAGCACCCAAACATACGCTGATGCTCTTGGATTCCATCCAGAGAAGAGCCATTCGCCTGGTGGGTGATGCCACACTAACTAACTCTTTTACCTCATTAGAACACCGTAGAAAAGTCGACGACCTTCTCTCTGCTATAATTCCATCACTAGCAACACTAGTCAGACGAAGTCGACAGCTTGAAAATATCCAAGCATGATTTTGAAAGCTAAACATCTCTTATTCTTCGTGAGTTATCACTTCTCTGATATATCTCATTAGATATTTTCTTGTGACTAATGAATGTCAAATTTATTCGTAATACCCGCCTACTAGTCAATATTTTCGAAATGTATTTACCCTAGCGCCCTCTATGAGGGTAAGCTATAAAAACAAGTTAATGCAATGTGTCAGCTTCGAAAACATATCCATATACAAAATGTTTCCCTTGGTCACGCCATCAAGCGTGAACGGCTGGACCGATTTCACTAATCCTTTTGTTGTTGTGTTCGTTATTGTCTTATGAAAGAAAAAATCAAGAAATTCAAGATGGAGGATCCAATATGGCGAACGAGTTTTGTATTTATAATCCGACTCTCTTCAGAATTTGTATCGGAGGGTTTTCGGTGTTCGAAATTATGATTCTTTCGTAAAAATTGGAATATTCAAAATGGCGGATCCAATATGGCGAACGAGTTTTGTAATTTTGTTTCGATTTTATTCAAAATTGGTATCAGAGAATTCTTGGGATCGGAGATCATTATTCTTTCCTCAAAATCTGAAAATTCCAGATGGCGAATCCAATATGCCAATCGACTTTTGTTATTATGATCCGATTCTATTCAAAATTGGTATTTGGAGGTTTTCGGGGTCGAAGATTATGATTTTCGTCAAAATTAAGAAATTCAAGATCACTGGTCCATTATGGCGGAAGAGCTTTGTAATTATGGTCCGATTCTATTCAAAATTGGTATCTGGGGATTTGTGGCGATAAAAATTATTATTCTCCCGTCAGAATTAAGAAATTCAAGATGGCGCATCCAATATGGAGAACGTGTTCTGTAATTATGATCGATTCTATTCAATATTTGTATCCAAAAGTTTTAGGGGTCGGAGATTATGATTCTTTCGTCAAAATTGGAAAATTTAAGATAGCGGACCCAATATGGCAGACGAGCATTGAGTTTTCTATTTATGATCCGATTCTATTCAAAATTTGTATCTGCGGGTTTTCGGGGTCGGAGATCATGAATCAGCCGTCATAATAAGAAAATTCAAGATGGCGGATTTAATATGTGGAACGAGCTCTGTAATGAATAAAGTGTTTTGCAAAATTAATGAAACTCGCATTTATAGATGGAAAATCGAAAATGAAATAAAAATCATTATTCAAGTTTGAAATATCACTTATGTCGTATCATTGGATTCAGAAAATCATGCAAAATTCGAAAATGCATTGATATACAGACTGTTCCATTTGAAAATCAGAAGTTGATACTACTTCCGGTAAAACCGGAAGTGGAAAATAAAACATATTTATGTCAAAGCATGACATTTATCAAGTTGATGGATCATTCCAAATAGAAGAAAAAGGGGGTGTACCATGATCCTGTAGCTAGTGAATTATAAAATGTTACATTCTACACCCTGTATTTCCCTCATTAGCAATATGTTATCAAGGCAAGTTGGCTCAAATCATAATGCTTACTTTTTTAGTCAAAAATTCTACATAATTGCATGTACCGGGTGAACAACTAAGAACGACTGTCGGCCATATCTCAGCAACGAATAATGATACAAGTTTGAGATAGAATAAATCTAATGGAATGCATATCATTACACGATGTAATAGAGAAACCAAATCTCAACAGACCAACGAAAACCGCAACATGATAGCTTTTCGCCAACGGAAGATAATCACTATCAAAGTTGGAAGAATGATAGATATGACAGCCGTTCTTACCCAGCGAGCACAAAAACATCTCAGAGATGTTAAAAGTACGAGATTTCGAGACATTGAACCTCCACTGCGATGTTCTGTTCACACATGAATAGAACTTTTATAGAACAGCCAATGTCCGCCGCAGGCGGCAATTATCGAGATGTCCTTGATATGTCACAAAACTACCTTCTCCCTAGTTCTTTTTAAAGCCTTTTCATGGACACAACAAAACATTTTCAACGCGTCTTGCGCACATCAAATCGCTGTAAAAAAGTAATTTTCGAGGTACTTTTCTGAAGCCTTTTGTCAAAATGAACTTTTGCATTAGGATTCCATTTCCCTTGAATGAAAAAATGAATTAAAAATAAATCATAAAAATATTTTCTTGATATGAAATTACCTTCTTAATCGGTTTCTGAGTAGTGCTTACTACACACAGACATATAATTGGAAATAGGTTTCCCAATTTTCGAAATGTTCTCCACAATGCATAATTTTGCAACTGCGGAGAATCTGTGTATTGATAAATTCGTACTTTTATATATTGATCACACTGAGGCACCGAACAACACATCTTGCATCTGATGGTCATTATTACAAACTAAATAAGTCTTCTAACACAATAAACTTCACCCAATTCCAGAATTCATCGTATTGTGACGTAAGCATGAGACGTTGTGGTGGGGCAAACAAAGAAAGGGCACAAAAGAACGAAAACAATACTTTCAATATCCTTTTAAGACCTCTTTGGGAAGTGCATATTACGCCTCAAAAAACATCCTCATGTCTACATTTCTAAAACATCCCAAAACATCCCAGAGATACCTCTCAGTAGGCAAACAAAGAAATGCCACAGGAGAACAAAAACAATACTTCAATATCCTTCAAAGACCTCTTTGGTCAGTGCATATTACGTCTCAAAATAACATCTTCATGCCAACATTTTCAAAACATCCCAAAACATCCCAGGGATGTTTGTGCTCGCTGGGTAGTTGTTCACCCAGTTCAATTACATAAGAATCACCCTGTATATAAGTTAGGCAAATCAATGACTCTAATTCATTGTATGCGAGTATTCACTTGAAGAAGCTACTGTGACATAACGAGTCAGGTCTCGTTTCTAGGAATTTTGTGAGAATCTCATCCCTCATCGAGTCAATAAACCTCTTGTATTGTTTTCAGCAAGCATACATTCAGCAGCCACCCCCATAGGTTCCCTCCTGAGCGGAGTCCTTATGGACCGATGTGGGCGGAAGCTAGCCCTTCAGATAGCCTCAACGCCCTTGATCCTAGGATGGATCCTGATAGCACTCTCGACTAGCCACTCTGTCCTGCTACTGGGCAGGCTGATAGCTGGGTTCTCAGCAGGGCTGACAGCTGCTGCTGGACAGGTTAGTGGCTCATGGGTTGCGTGCAAGAACTGTCAGATAACCGACCCTGGAGGCACAACATTGAAACACAACCTCACTTTTCTCATTTGTTTACAAGTGATTGAAATAGTTTTTCACAATTATTTTGGCATACGAATCGTATTTTTCGGCTATTCATTAATTCGCTCATGCCATCACATGTACATGCACAAAAACTGCAGCGGAAGACGAAGAAATCTGGTTAGTAGACCACAATATTCTGCTGAAAAACCTTAATTGATCAGTATATCTTCGATCTCGCTCGGTTGGAATTTCCAAGGAGATCTTTGGCCTGCCTCAGTCCTGGAAGTCTTCGCGAGTGTGTTACTCTCATTGCTCCTTCAACTCCATCAAGTTCTTCTTCAAAATAATTATCTCCAAGGCCGCAGAATGGTTCTGGTCCGATCAGTGGCGTTGATGCTCCTTTTCGTGTCAGTATGTCTGCTTGTTCATTTCGCCTCCGTCTCCATCTTGGGTGTGTCACACTGTATATTAGGATTAGAAACAAAACTGAACGTCTTTGAACGAACAAATCACGAATTAAACAGTCCTAGATATGTATCTACTCATTATACCTGTTACCTACCAAGCATGCTATACGTTTGAGAAAAGACAGGCTTCTGTTTTAGTGACGTCGAATTCAAACAAGTAATTGTTACTTCAAGCTGAGATTACAGATTACTTCAACAAAAATATATAATATAGCAATCGTAAAAAAAATATCATTTTTCCCAAAAACTTCTGAGTGTCCGCCACTGGCCAATAGAAACATTATTTGAATAATGTGAAGTGAAGATCCATCAGTGAGATTGATGAATCGTATCCTATCGAATCAAAAAGTAATTGATGGAAATTTTCAGGGGCTGAAGGAACGTTTTAAGAAAGCCATTAGGTTAAATAGGCTCCATCCACACGAAAAATTGATTTATCTTGGAAATCGGAATTAATCATTGGTGCTCATCTCATTGCCTCTTCTAAAGAAATGATTTCTCTTCTTTCTGTAGCAATTAAATTGATTTCATATTATCTTCCACTTTAAATTCATGCTTTATAATCGGCTACTTTATTTTCCTACTGAATTGGTGGAGAATATTCAGCTTTATTTCCACTCATACTTCGACGAACAATTATCTCCAGATAGCGCGGTTTCAAGGGAGGATTGACTATAGTCAATGCTAGAAGTCAGACCTATCCACCATTTTTAATTTAATGATTTCTAAATGTGTTCAGGCCTTGGGCTAAGTGGTAGTGAATTGAGTTTTGAAAACTATACACATTTGATTGTTTACATGATACACAGTTCAAAATGGTTCGGAATCATCTGGTATGATTTGTTTTCAGGTATTAATAGGTGAGAGTTCAGAACCTCACCTCAGAGGAATGCTATCCAGTATCCCTTTAGCCAGCTACTCATTTGGCATCCTCCTAGTATACGCTTTAGGCTCCCTCTTACCATGGAGAATTGTGGCAGGTATTTATATACAGCGTGTCTCATTTCAAACGGCCCCCCCTCTATATCTCAGCTATTAGTCGTGCGATCTTTACCAAATTTGTATCGGTATGAATAATCATCAATATGACCAGTTCCTCAAAGATAAACATCATTTTAGACAGTCCGTGCATTTTAATTGACATGAATAGGGGTCAGTTTTTTATTAAATTTCAAACCCACATATGTGAATTTTCATAAGATGCCTATGAAGGGTTTCAGAAAAACAGGCACATCAAAACAGCACTTTTGCGAACGTAATAATTATTCACTTGGAAACGGTGAGATCAACATAAAAAAGTATAACTCGTTTTTCCTTCCAAATCATGATTTTCCACCTACCGGAGCCATTGAACGTTCCAAAATTCGTAGTTGACTTGAAGTCACTATTTATTCGAGACTGAAACTGAAAAAAATGAAGCCAATCCTGTCGTCAATTCGGAATTAGGTGATTTTTTGCATATGGAGGTTCGAAAGCATGAGGAACAATAATATGAGTTTAAATTTCCTGTAATAAAATGCCTAATATGATTTTATGAAAAATCGATCCCTTTTTAGTTCAATAAAAACGCATGGCACTGTACAAAATAATGTGCATCTCTGTAAAACTGATCATATTAATCATGGAATATTAATGGTTATTCGTACCACACCAAATTTAGCATGACTTATTACTAACTGAGATATAGAGGGGGGAAGGCGTTTAAAGTGAGACACGCTGTAGATTATTCCATGAGAACTTTTGTTCATTCAAAATAACACCGAAAAACTTCATTAGTATCAACACTTTTATATACATTGAATTAAGATAATTTTCCAATGAACCAATTTTCAAAAGAATGTGATAATATCGTTTGCTTTCAAAATTTTGATGAAGATGACCCTTACGTTCTGCCTTAGGTACCTATTCAATTATTTCCAATAAAGATGATGGTCATTTTTGAATTCTCACATGTATCATCCATAAACCAGATTGAATACGTCTTATTCACTATATACAGTTTATACAGAGTGTTCATAGAACGTAGCATTTGAAGGAAATTATCTCCATAGAACCTCTTTCTCTTGAAATGATTTGAAGAATCATCTGCTCTCAGTCTCATTCTGAATCCCCTTGTATACAACTATGAATGTTTTTTCAGGTTTGAGTACCATACTGCCAATTACTTCGATGATTGTATTTTTCTTTCTACCGGAGAGCCCAGTTTGGTTGATAAGACATGGAAAATTAGAAGAAGCCAAAAAGGCGATGACATGGCTAAGAGGAGGTAGCAAAATCAAGGTATTGTAAACTGTGTTATTGTGATGTACTGATGATCCTGTGTTTGTAAATGTATTTGTCAGGCAAGTAAGTACTTGTATTTGTGTTGTGTAGGTTAATCATGTATCTATCTGTAATGATCTTCTCCTAAGCAAAATAATTTTCTACTTTTCGATCCCTAAAAGATATTTACAAAACCTTCCACATATTCCTCGGACCCAAACAATTCGATACAAGCAAACTCACATCTGTAGAAAAGTCCGTAATTTGGGCAATAAACAGAGCTGGAGATATTTTCAAATCGTTTTTCCTCAAAAACTTATTGAAACAGTTCATAACATTTTACTCAAATTTGAAACGTTGGCTTACCTCTGTTGATTTCTCAGTAAATGAACCTATGAAACTCTACGACAATTGAACAAATCGGTTTTATTATGATATCTGAGTACCGTAACAGTCATTTACTACAAAAAGTGTACCTTCTCCTGATCAAATTGGATTGTTCTCATGTTTTCGACAAAATTTAAAATTTAGTTATATAGTGGAGATTAAAATTATTCATACCAGCTATTTTTTGTATAGTTTTTGCAAAGTACCTTGAGACAAATTCAGCAAAAAAACGTTGCCGTTTGAACTTTTCAAAGTGACCTGTGTACCTCCTTTGATCAAGCTGTCTCAAGTCACTTTGCGAAGACTATACTGAGTACATCAAAGCATTGTCTATATCCCAAACTAAGCCACTTTGTGCAGTGGTAAGTTTGCTCGTAAAGAATTGTTCTAGTCCCTGAGGAGTAGATGGTAGGTTCTTTGTAAAGACCTTTCAATCACGCCCTACATTCCCAATATTCCAGGCAAAAGAAGAAACAGAACATCTAGTAGACCGCCTAGAACTGGAAACTCAAACCCACAGAAAAACCACGCTTGCTACGCTACTACAACCAGAAGTAGCCAAGCCCCTGATCATAGTCAACCTCTTCAACACCATGCAGATCCTCTCAGGCACGTACCTCATCGTCTTCTACGCAGTGGACATCTTAAAACACGTACAAGGCGGCAACAGTCTAGATAACTTCTTGGCAGCTGTTTTGACGGCTTGCGTGAGGTTCATTTTTTCGGTCATGGCCAGCTTTCTCTTAGCGCTAGTTGGCAGAAGAATGCTAGCCATGATTTCGGGGCTAGGTACAGCTATATCCGCGCTTTTCCTAGGCGCTTTCCTACACCAAAACTGCCAAGGACTGGACTACATCCCAGCACTTTTCGTGCTGATCTACGTTGCTGCTAACACCTTGGGATTCATGATCCTCCCGGGAGTTCTAATAAGTGAGCTGTTTCCCACAAAGATACGAGGTTTGGCGGGCGGTTTGACTTTCATGCTGTTCAATTTCACGCTTTTCGGGGTCGCCAAAGTTTTTCCGTACGTGAAAAATGTGATTGGGATTTCCGGGGTTTTCTGGATATTCGGGTTGGTCTCGCTTGGCGCGTCTCTGTTCCTCTATTTGAGTCTGCCCGAGACTAGGGGTAGAACATTGAGCGAGATTGAGGATTACTTCCAGCAGGAAGGGTTCTTGTGGGTGGGAAGAGACAAGAGGTGGGAGAAAAAAGCGAAGTGCGGGGTAACTGAGAAGCTAGCCGCCAAAAGTTGAGACTGTGTATAGTAGTTTATTTAGTTTTTAGTTATTTATGTTACAGTGAATGTTTGTTAATAAAAAGTATGAAAACTTGTGTTTATTGTCTATTTTTTCAGTCTGATCTTCGACTATGATACTTTTAATTTTGACATGATCCACTGTGTTGATTACGTTTGATTTTGGTTCTTCTCAAAAATATAGCAATAAATTATCGATCGAAATAAGCTCACGTTGAAAACGAGAGGAAAGTCTTAAAATATCATGATGAAAAAATTACCTTTTTCTACGGCTATAACACAAAATTGTTCTTGTTTATTTCCGTATCTGATATCATAATGACTCCATTGTGCTATTATTTTTAAAAAATCTCATCGCTCATGAAATGTCAAATTGCCAGCAATGACAGCTCTGTCTAATAGATGAGCATTACTTCATTCTCGTAGGAAATCTCCATCATTCCGTGCTCGTTAAACAATATACTATTCCGGTGATCATCCCAAAAACTTTTGCTCGGTGGATTATTGCAATTTCTAAATCGTGTTCTGAGTCCCGAAATAGGTATTAAGTACAAGTACCTATATTCTACGCCAGAGACGAAAATTTTCGGAATATTCAACAACGCTTCTCTAGTGGACTTCTGGACCTTTCATGAAATATCTTGATGAATATTGAATAACTCACAATTTCACTATCAATGCTATTATTCGTTCGATAGAAAAAATGGTACAATACTGTACTATTATGTGTTTATCTCTAATAAGATAAACATGTTCATCGTAAATTCCTGTTACCTTCACCATAATACGTAAAACATTTCAGAAAAAAACCATCGCATGATAAAGTAAAATTTCCACTATTTGTCTCCTATATGTGGAAAAATTTCACAAACCAGGTTTTTCATATTGTGAATATCTCAAATACGGGATAATAGTTATTTTTACGCCGGCAGGAGTAGAAGTTAGTTTCTCTGGTGACAAAAGAGGGACAGAAGTCTCGTATTATTCCCTTGGAAAATAATGTGTTATATTTACTCCCTAGGGAGTTTATATACCAACTTAACGTTTTCCGCATAGCTCTGCGCTTTCTTTTCGGAACACCCTTCTCTGAAGCGAGTATAAGCTGCATCATACAGATTTCCATAACCGATAACCATTTTCAAAGCAGTTTTCATAAATTTCAATTTGATATATGCTGTCACCATGGGTTGACAACAAGATGTATGTTGTCAAGATCCGAATTCCACAAACTATACTACTACTAATCATGACAAAACACTTGACCAAACTTTTATTCTTTATAAATTTTTGTGTTTTCGCCAGCGTAAAAAATAGTACATACACGTATTATGGTGAAGGTAACAGGAATTTACGATGAACATGTTTATCTTATTAGAGATACACATAATAGTACAGTATTGTACCATTTTTTCTAGATGTCCTAAACTTGACAAAAAAGTCATAAACATAGTACCTCATTCTCATATACTCAGTCGTATTACCTATATGATAAACGTTTGGGGATCTTGTTCAAAAAATTATTTCAGTAAAATATCTGCACTTTATAAGAAAGCACTGAAAGTATTGTATCGCCTCTCATTTGATATCCCAACAAATGATCTGTATGCCATAACAGAAAAATTTTCATTGGATGAATTATATAAAATAGATTCTCTTAAAGTTTCATATAATATAATAAACAATAATCTGAAATCCAATTTTATTTTGATAAGAAACTCAGAAATTCATGGTCACCACACGAGACAATCAACCTTATTTCATCTTGATCCTGCTACTTCTATAATTGGCCAAAAAAAATTTACTCACGCTGCTCTAGCTGAATTTAAAAAATTACCACATAATATAAAAAATTGCAGACATATTTCAAAATTTAAAGTTGAATTAAAAAAACACATGATTTCATTACGAAATAGATAAAATTTATACTTTGCCATCTACTGATTAGTCCCTGTGGCTATTTTTATGACTTGATCGATTTAGCATTTTTAGATTTTTTTGATTTTTTTGTTGTTGTTGTTGTTGTTGTCACCTTATATTATTTTATTATTGTTGTTTGTAATCAACTTCCTCATACCAGAATTTTATTTCTGACTGGAAGCTAGTTTTTGAATAAACAATAAATGTACCTCAGGACAGAATGCTCTTTTTCCCTCGGTGCTTTTTTGTATGTCTCGGGCTTCGCCCTCGAAACTACAAATCGCACCTTGGAAAAAATCTTGCATTTCTTTCCCTTGATGTATAATGTACTGCACCAAGGTATAGTAAAGAATATCAGTATTACCCAGGGACCAAGATTATATTATATTATAAGGTCCCGTGGTAATAGTATTCATATTACCAAGGTGCATATTGCATTTTTTCACCACTATAGCAATACATTTTGATCATTTCAGTTTCAAGAAACTGATGAAATATGAACATATTGTCATTATGAAAGCACTTCTATTCAATTCTAATTAAAATCTACTAGCCATGACCATGATAAATACCTACCACATTCAAGTGCCATCCCTACGAATATCGCATCAGAAGAGTGATTTCGGGTAGGTTTTATAGCTAGTGGTGGAAAAATATGGTCTCTTCTGTGACGGAAAAAAAGTTTGACATTTCATCTCTGTTGACAGGTTATATAATGTAACTTTTCATGAATAACTTTTTTCCCACGGGAAAAAGTGAGTACTTTTTTCCCGGATACTCATAAGTATGGTAGATATTTGATTCAGAATATTTCATTAAACGAAAGTTACATTTCCTTCATATCAAAAGTACAATTATTGAATGTGCATTGCATGAATGACACGTTCCTCGAAGTATTCGGAACAACAGTAGAAATTTCTCGTGTTGAAATTATATTTCTTTCTGCCATGGACACAACTGCCGTTGATGTACCTGGTTGCAAATGGGGTGTTATTTCGGCAATGCCACAAGTTCTGAATACTTTATTAGCTATTTCTGTTCTGTGTGATACCGATTCATCAACATATCCTTCAGCGACCGTTGATGACTTCCAACCGCCATGTTTCTCAGTGTCAGCAAATCTCCCCCAGATTCAACTAAAAGTGTAGCAGATGATTTTCGAAATGAATGACCTGTACATGAGGTATCATTTTCAAGTTTTAGAAAACTATCTACTGTTTCAGGTACCTTGTGAAACTTATTTTTACCCACAACTTGATTGATACATTTTCCATTGCGATATGCATAAAACAGGCGGCGATCCTTTGCTGTTGCTGGACGCAGGGCTATGTATGTTCGGTAAAATTTAATATATTCTTCAGTAACTACAAATCTTCTGTCCACATCATTCTTTGTTTGCTTGAGTTTCACAATTGATATCGTTCCTGAATCTTCAATATCATCTAATGTTACCTGGATGATTTCACAAATTCGACAAGCTCCTGCAATCCCGAATACAACAACAACTTTGGCCATTAAATAAACTTCATCAGGAGCATTATTTGAAAATTCGCCAATTTGTGTACACGGAAAAATTGCTGCTTTCTTGGGTTTGTAACCTTTCCCATTTTGTTTCAGGAATGTAATTAGTTTGGGATATTTTGAAATGTCTACATTATTATTGGATTGTAACATACTTTTAATCATTGAATAATTTGACCACACTGTTGATGGCTTTTGTTGCTGAGCCAGTTCGGAAAAATAGGCCAATACCACCGTTTCCGAGAAAGAACTGCATGACTTTTCCATTCTCCATTCCATGAATCTTGAATACGTGGTTTCGTAAATTTTCCGCGATTTAGCTGGCAATAATTCTTGATGTGACGCTTCTTTGGCTGCTTCAACTAACTCCGGTGGAGTTAGAGAAAACTCGAATTCAGACATTTAATATTATTCAAAATAACTACTGAACCACTATATAAGTTCGCAATGATTTTCAAATCCGCTACGCGTCGGGAGACAACACAACCTGGTGCTAAAATCTACTACTTTTTTCCCTTGTATAATAATAGTTATTTATTATACAAGGGAAAAAAGTAGTAGATTTTAGCTCCAGGTTGTGTTGTCTCCCGACGCGTAGCGGAGGGAGACAAAAAACCGTGAGCTAAAATCTAATATTTTTCCCGTGTATAATACACTATTTTTTTCTGTGACAGAAGGAAGGACGAATCAATATTGGAAAGATATTACATTATTTCGAAATCTGAAAATTATCGACGTGAAATTTCAAGTTTTTAACAGTAGGGACACCTGCGTTTTATAGACATCTTTATCATTCTTTTGAAGTAATCAAATATCTGATGTCACTTCTGTCAGTTCAATTCTGTGATTTGATTTTAAAAAATTGCGAATTCAGTAGTTGTTTAGTAATATACGAAACCGCGAAGTCGAATGGAAGATAAAAGGACTTGCAGTTCTTTCTCGGAGACGGTATTATTGACTTATATTTCGGAACTATAGCACAACAAAAGCCATTAACAGAGTATATATATGTGATATATATCCGGGAAAGAAGTACTCACTTTTTTCCCACGGGAAAAAAGTAATTTATGAAAAGTGACATTTTATAACCTGCCAACAGAGATGAAATGCCAAACTTTTTTCCCGTCACAGAAAAAATAACTATTATGCTGAGTTGCGATATCTGTGAAGCCTTATTTCACATTGGGCAGAACGCCCTATAGATACGTCAAAATGTATCTGTCACTGTAACTCTATTCAATAAATCATCAAGTAAAATACATCAAAATCCAATATATTTCATTGTAAATTCGAGAGAAGAAACTAGCCAGAAATGACGTGTAACAAGAAAATCAATAAGCAAAATAGTTGCATGAAGAGCATCTATGCAAGAAATATTTTTGATTCTCGAGGAAATCCTACAGTCGAAGTTGATCTAATAACCGATTTGGGATTGTTCAGGGCTGCAGTCCCCTCTGGAGCTAGCACAGGTAAAGTGAAGAAGAATAATCACATCATTGAAATACTTAATTGATGATGCCATCCATATACAGGATGTTCGATAATATTGTACATCGGTCGAAAAGTTGCTCCTGAGCAAACAACGATCGTTCACAAATATTGTTTTGAAGTCCTGCTAATGCAAATTCTTTTATTACCAACGCCCTCATTTAGAAAACTCATGAGCTCATGTCGCACGTTGAGAACAATAGTGTGATAATTCAAAACTCTTCGTTTTGAGAAAATCAACTTTGAAGATTTTCACTTCTTGATGATGATGAATTCGTCTCTGGTGAACCTCATTCACCGCGAAAAGTATATCTAGTTCAAATCATATCATTATGTCATGAGCTTACCTGAGAAATTTCTAGTTATAATATTTTCGAAAATTTGTTTCCAATTTCTCAAGAAATAGTTTCGACATGTCACAGTTTTGATCCATCATATTAGACAATTTTAAGTGATGTAACGCCTGTAGAGCAGCAATTTTCTGAGATGTTACATTTCCAAAATTTGCCGTATAACATGTATTATAGGTATTTTCATTCATTTGTAGACCCTATTATATTCATGACTGGATTTATTGAATATGTGCTCTGAGTTCCTACCATTTTAGCAAAATCCAAATCGTGCCCTTCGGTTGCTCATTCCTCTTTTGGCAGTTTTTCTACGTTTTTTAGTTTCTGAATAGAAACAAACGGGTATTTGCAGAAGAAGAATGTTGAGGTGAATAGCATTAAGATTCATTGAAAATTCGCATGAAGTTGAAATGCCATAGTTTGGGAAGAGAAGTGACTGGCACAACTGAGGTAGTGAGGTGTAGTTAAATTTTCTGAAAGAAGGAAATACCTATAATGAATGAAATTCAAATTTGAAGCTATTCTTGGGAATTCTTTCAAACACCCTTTTTTCCAAATGTTCAATCCGAAGGAATTAATAATAATTAATTAATATATTTTTCAAAATTGGAATTTAAACATTAGGTGGAGCTTGATATTCCATGCAAAGAGAAATATTCAAATTATACATAAATTCGGAAGTTTCATTCTAGTTTTGTATTTCTCCTTTTTATTTTCAAGGGCTATCACCTTGTTGCTATTATTTCAATCTCTCTGCAAAAACTCGTATTATCTACTCCATTCCATTAAGTGAAACGCATGCAATAATGTGATAAATCGAAATATTCCATATTGTTTTCGTTACAATTCAAAAATTTGTTGCATTTAATTCGTTATTTCAATGATGAAAATGTAATAACATGACAACTCAAAAAATTTCAAATTGTGTTCAATCAATAAGGTAACTTTATGACTTGTCACATAATTCATCATAAAAATTTTCTCAAAGTCAGAATACGAGGCGTATCCTGCGAAGTATAGGTGACAACGCAGAAAGTCACTTTCTTGCTCGGCTGTAGTTCCTCATCCTTCTCCTCTAGTGCAATAACGTGACCAGCGATGTCATGCAACAGCTATTGGACCTAGAGATGTCACGATAATCTAGAAGTGTAGAGCTAGTGGCTAGTGGTTATTCGACGGTGGTTCTAACTCAAAAATCAACTTTTTTGAGTTGTCATACTATTGTTCTCAACGTGCGATGTGACGTACTTGAAATCTCATCACAGTAGGGGTGACTTTATTAAAACTTTTAGCATTTAAGATATTACATTTTAACATTCAAGACTTAAGAGTCTTAAGTGGATGCATTTATGAAAAAAATTATGGTTCTAGGGCTATACATGTCGTCTGTCATCACTAACATCATGTCATGTTCTGATATCATTAAATGGTAATTTTGCACTTATCATGCAATGACCTTTTTTTTCGAAAAATTTGATTTTTACCTACGTATTTTTGTCTGAAAAACACGAATCCGATAATGAAATTGTCAACGAACCTCTACTTATCGAGATATTTCAAGGAAAAGTTCAAAACTTCGCCTTCTTTTTCCCCTTGTCTTGGTTGCATTTACAGCTATTGCTCTTCTTATTTTGTCATTGGACACTACTTAATATTATGATGCACTTCATTCTCAACACGAAATATGGTTTGCATGGCAAGTTTTTCATATTTAGTAAACAATCATACCAGATGAAGGGCATTTAATCAATAATCAATCCGAATACGAGAAGATGTCAAATGTCAACAGATTGCTTCTAGATGAGGATACACAGGACATTATTTTAAATGATATTCTTCCTTCTTTTCACTAAATATATAAACTCAAAATTTGTTGTTTTATTCATTTTGTCAGGAAGGAATTGAAAATATCGAATTTGAATTTTAATGAAGTTAATATACGATTCACGCCCATGAAACAAGGCAATTCAATTTATTGATAGCAAATAATTATAAGTCAAATTTTGGTAAACAATCAATATTCCATAATGGAATAATTTTGTATAACTCCTTACCTAATGAGTTGAAAAATATAGAAGAAGCAGAAAAATTTAAAATGAAATTAAAGAAATATCTGCTCAGTAAACTTTAATTGTACTAATCATTCACAATTTGATTACTTGTAATGGATTATGATATTTTCATTTTATATTTTATTATAATTCTTTTTTTTTTTAGGAAAAACAATAATTGTGCAATTATTATTGTTTCGATTTATTATGTTTTATAATATGTATGTTTTGTTGTATATATCCCTATTATAAACAATAATGTTTCTTGGGGTAATAAAGACAATCAATCAAATATTGATAAATCACAAGAAAATCATATTTCTAGTTGACTTTCATGAATAAAAAAATGTGTCATTGAAGTTCATTGTGATATATGAATTGTCTAATGATGAAAAAGAAGGGCGATCCAAGAGACAGGCGGAAAAGAAGGTGAAATTTGTAACTTTATCGTGAAATATCTTAATAAATGATGATTTGTTCACATTTTCATTATCAAATTCGTGTTTATCAGACAAAAATACGTGAGTAGCAAAAAAAATTTTCTGAGAAAAACCCAAAATTACCCATTATATCAATTTATATCCTTGGAATGATACCCACATCCATTGAATCTCCACATTATTTTGAAAGTAATCACTATTCCTTGCCTAACAGAAACTGGCTGACTTCTTGAATCTTTTGCCAAATATGGAGGCAACAGAGGTGAATGTGACATTCTAGTATATTATTGATGAACGGTTCAGTATCCATATTTTCTAACAGAAGAAAAAGAAATATTCATGAATAACAACCCAAGAAATTTTTAATGATTTTTTTCTACATTCATGCAAAAAACAGAACTTTATTGAACTATATTTAGTGGAAAAAGAAGTTCTTCATTGCACTTAGTGCAATAAAGTTTTTATTGCACTCATCTGTCATTCTACTTCAACGTGCTGTCATCATGACAAACATTTTCTATAATGCAACTGTGGTTATAGAAACGTCAGTCAAAAATTAATTCTGACAATTAACAGAATTGTACCTAGTGCCGCACCTCAATAAATCATTTTTTGCTTTTTGCATGAACGTAGAAAAAATGTTGTATGCAGCTCGTGCAAAAATTGTTTATTGCATTCGACGTGAAATTGTCCAACGAGGCCGTTATGCACTTGTTGCATAAATAACTATTTAATGGCGCCAAATTGAGATGTCACTTTTGGATGCGCACTCCTTCCATTTATGATCATTTATCAGCACTTCTTAAGTTGGAAGTTGGCCATCTTCTTATCTCAAATGTAAAATCATAAATCTTAAATGGTTTTATAACATAACCAATGATATTTCCATGTACGACCTGTCATATAAGTGATAAGCCTTAGATGTTAGGTGATCAATCTCTTTCATACTGCCCCTACAATAGTAAAAAAGATAGCACTACAGATATCACAATCTAAGGACCTCAAATCGACAATTCAAAAGGATTTTCCTGATAGAATCTTTTATTTGTTTCTGTATCTGTATAAGTAGTTTATGACAATCGGACTATAGTAATTATGAAATTACTCCTGGCAAATCTTCCAGGAGATATCTTTTGGATGTCTCAGACAATCACTGATAGTAGGTAGATTTTGTATAGATATAGAAACGATATTTCCTCGAAGATACACCTCGAATAATATATTCCGTGCTTTCAATTATTGTTATTGGATATTGCTTTCCTGTCGATATGAGATATGAGTTGGATGTCCTCGTTCTTTTCCAAAGGAATCCATGAAGCCTTGGAATTGAGAGACGAAGTCCCGACTGACTACCACGGCAAGAGCGTTTTCAAGGCCATCGATAACGTCAACAACATTATCGCTCCAGCCCTTTTGGAAAAAGATTTTGACGTCACTCAACAAGATGAGGTTTGTAAAAATATAAGTTTTTTACGGCTGTAACACAAGATTGCTTTTGTTTTACTGTGTTTGATACATCAATGAGGTACTTTGTATGTCATCAATTTCCTTTCCGTATTTGATATCACAATGACTCCATTGTGTTATTATTTAAAAAAAAATTATCGCCCATGGAATGTCAAATTTCATGCAATGACAGCTCTGTCTAATAGATGAGCATTACTTGACAGGAAATCAGATGGCTACAAGACGAAGAAATCGAAAATGCCGCTGTTATCTATTATAACCGTAGTAAAATTATAGTGTATAACTTGTACGGAATGCTAATTTCCTACTCGAATAATTGCAGCATTCGCCTATGGCTCATGCTGCAAACTTCATTCTCGTAGGAAATCACTATCATTCCGTGCTCGTTAAACAATATACTATTTCTACTCCCGTAATAAAATACGCAAAAATAAATATCCGCTAAGGGCCAATTTATTATTATTGTTTATTTTAACACTGATTTTCATTTCGATACAGATATTGGCCAATGGAAACATTTATTTTTCATTTTGGAACGGATTTTTGGCCCATAAATGGAAACACGCACTTGGGGATAGTCAAGTGTTTCTAAATAATTGATTGACATTCGATTTAAATGGGGGACTTCGCTTCAAGTTGCCAACCTAAAAACCCCTTCCAATGTAGAAGCAACATTATGGAAGTTTTATCACTCAAATTGCTTCATTTCGATGGAATCTGATTGTAGGAGTCTACTCAGCTCACGAATAGAAGTTATTCAGAAGAAAAATTGATTTTCCTCGAACTTACTTAAACTTCCCCGAACTTCCTAAACTTCCTCGAACTTCCTAAACTTCCTCGAACTTCCCAAACTTCCTCGAACTTCTCAAACTTCCTAAACTTCTCGAAACGTTTCAGACTTCACAAACCAAGTATAAGCAATTCAATATTTATCGATTCAAAATTTGTTCCTTTCCCTATGGTAGGTAGGTATCTCGGTAGGTATATACAGGGTAGTCCGGTTTGTAATACAAAAAATTCAACAGTGTGTTGTACTCGTTGAGATAATGAAATACTTTTAAACGCGTCGTTTTCGAGATATAGGGTGTTGAAAATACGAGTCTGAACGAGTCTGAATATTGTTTTTTGATGAAGAGTTCGAAACGGTCTGAGATAAATCAACAAAATTTCTAACAGATACTGAACTTTTTACGCTCTATAAGATGGAATGAAAATTATTTCATAAAGTAATTCAGTGGCGGCTGAAGGAGAAAAATCACCCCAATTTTTTTGTGCATTCAATTTTCCATTTTCGAGTACAAAATGTGAGAACAGATAGATTCCTGCGTATAATAGTTCTGTTGTATTTTTTCAATGCGTTACAACGCTTTCGAATTGAACCGGATTAACAATATGAGAAATCAGATTTTGAACTACAAATTGAGGATGAAATGCACAAATAAAAATTGGGGTGATTCAGACTCGTATTTTCAACACCCAATAAGTATTATTGACCAGGCTTCATCTGATTATTCAGTAGGCTTCATCCCAATTCCACATCACGTGGGTTATAATCATAATGTGAATTGAGAGAAGTATACTCTGGTCATTTTCCTTTGTGGATCGTTTCTTAGGTTCGGCTTGACTGGATGGTTTTCTCGGATTTTGTGTCAAGTATCAAACACTGTGCTTCTCGGATCTGCAACTTAACATCACATATCAAATATCGAATCATATGAATCAAAAATTATTATTATTGGATGCGGTTCATGGATATTGAATTAGAAACTTACCTGAATATTTTTTGCAACGTTCGTAGTTGGATTGCAACATATAAGTTTTGTGTCCGAATAGAAGTTTCCTTTCCCACATTACGTGGGTTATAATCAAAACCTGGAATGCCAAACACTGTGCTGCTCGGATCTAAAACTAAGTATCTATTTGAAATTTGAATCGTGAGACTAACATGGAATGAAGAGTCTGCATATTGTTTTCAACATTCGTTACTGGAATGCGATATATGTTCGTAATTTAATAATTATTAATCAACTATCTCAATGAATACGAGGCAGGCAGATAAGCAACAATTTTCTCTGCGATGGAAAACACTGTATATACCTAACCCATCTAGCGTCTACCTCCTTTGCAGAGAGGGTTTATGAACGCAAAGTTGGTACTCTTCCCTCGTGAGGGTACCTGTCGTGTTTCCATAGAGACATAAAGGTGAATATCTGTCTATCTGTTTGCTTGAGAATCTGGAGAAAAAATCAATATATCGCCTTCCGTACGAGTATGGTGATCTGAATTTGAAGAAGTATACTCTGGTCATTTTTCTCTGTGGATCGTTTCTCCGGTTAGGCTTGACTGGATGGCTTTCTCGGATTTTGTTTCAAGTATCAAACACTGTGTTTCTCGGATCTGCAACTGCACATCACATATCAAATATCGAATCATATGAACCGAAAATGATCATTATTAGATGCTGTACATACATGGATGTTGAATTAGAAACTCTCCTGAATGTAGGCTTCATCCACATTTTCACTCAACGTGATTTATGATAAAGACCTGGAATCCCAAACACTGTGCTGCTCGGACCTAAAACTAAGTATTAATTTGAAATTTATATCGTGAGACGAACATGGAATGAAGAGTCTGGATATTATTTTCAACATTCGTAACTGGAATGCGATATATTTTTGTAATTTATTGATTAATCAACTATCTCAATGAATACGAGGCAGGCAGATAAGCAACAATTTTCTCTGCGATGAAAAACACTGTATATACCTAACCCATCTAGCGTCTACCTCCTTTGCAGAGAGGGTTTATGAACGCAAAGTTGGTACTCTCCCCTCGTGAGGGTACCTGTCGTGTTTCCATAGAGACATAAAGGTGAATATCTGTCTATCTGTTTGCTTGAGAATCTGGAAAAGAAATCAATATATCGCCTTCCGTACGAACATGGTGATCTGAATTCAAAAAAGTATACTCTGGTCATTTTCCTTTGTGGATCGTTCCTCCAGTTTGTTTTGAGTATCAAACACTGTGCTTCTCGGATCTGCAACTGCACATCACATATCAAATATCGAATCATATGAATCAAAAATGATTATTATTAGATGCTGTACATGGATGTTGAATTAGTAACTCACCTGAAAATTTTTGCAACGTTCGTAGTTGGATTGCAATATATAAGTTTTGTTTCCGAATAGAAGTTTCCTCAGTAGGCTTCATCCACATTTCCACTTAACGTGATTTATATTATATAAAGACCTGGAATGCCAAACACTGTGCTGCTCGTACCTAAAACTAAGTATTAATTTGAAATTTGTATCGTGAGACGAACATGAAATGAAGAATCTGGATATTGTTTTCAACATTCGTAAATGTGGCTGTGTACTTTTACTACCTAGGCAGAAAAAAGTTTGTTGCTATGCAACGTTCTAAGAAATTCTATTGAAATTAGTGATCAAACTTGACATTGACATTGAGTGAACACAAAATGATAGAGTTTTCAATAAAAAAATCAAACAAAATTGGTTTTATATCTTTTGGAGATGAACAATCGGTTGGGAATGACAATTCCGTGTATTCTTCAATGCCTGTCACAAAATTCGACGGTTCGTGATGACATCTAATATGAGACTGTCTTGATTTACCACCTGGTCCCGAATGAATGACTAATGAGTTGAATCGATGAGCAGAATTCTGAATCTTGAACCGACCTGTATCTGTTCCGATTGTATATTAGTAAATAGTGAAACAAAAGTTGAGATAGGGACATGTGAGCCGTTTTGACCGATAATTTATATTTTCGACACAAAAAAGTCCTAAAGTTGAAAAATATCCATTTTGAACACCCTATACCTCTGTGATCATTTTCGGTAGACCCTGAGTATCATCGATGAAATCAGCTCTTCAGGGAAAATCTTAAAATGCGATAAAATACAGGATGTTATGTTCGAAATATCAATGTTGCTACTACTTTCTAGTAGACGCGGCAACACTGCATTGTCGAACATATTTTAAATGAAAAGAGCGTATACCAAAATATAAGCATGCACATTTTCATGGATTTCTCCTGACTGATCCTCTATTTAAAGATAGTGTAAGTTTGTCGTGACATACCCTGTATAGGGTTATGAAGTTGAATGAATACAGAGAAATAATATGAGGAAAAATGAGAGAATTTCTCTGCACTCACCAGCGTGAAAAAAATGAGGCTTTGATGAAACAACACGAAACACTCGAACAACACACGATCCCGATATTATTATTAATGAATCGAATGAGTAATACAAAAACACTTTATGTATACGATCACTCAGCTTTCAGGGAACACTCAGTTTGGAACGATAAATAATAATTCCTTTTGCGTATTTTTCGATGTCGATCTCAAAATTTGACCGTACGTGATGACATCTAATATAAGACTGTCTTGATTTACCACCTGGCCCCGAATGAATGACTAATAAGTTAAATCATGCTGCTAACCGATTAATTTTCAAACAAATGATTCATCTATGACCGAGTCTATGACTAATGATGATTATGAAATTATATGGAGGAAAAATATATACAGGGTGTTTGGTTCACCGATGTATATCTGGGTGGTATGTGATGTGAATCTGAAAATATTTATACATTTATACACATTTATATCCCATTACTTGTTCAATATCTATGAAAATCGTATCCAACTCTTGAAAAAGAAGAAAAGAGTCCACTTTTGCTATTTCATTGTTTGAAAGTTTCCACAGCACTAAACACCAAAACAACACACCCGTGTTTTAGTGAAAAGTACTCACTTTTTCCCACGGGAAAAAAGTAATTTATGAAAAGTGACATTTCATGACCTGCCAACAGAGATGAAATGCCAAACTTTTTTCCCGTCACAGTAAAAATTCAAATAATAATCATAAATAATAATAAAGACAATCAATCAGTCAATCAATCAATCAAATATGTCCCTTATGATTATGTAACATCATTAAAATTTGTGGAGATGACTTCGATCATTCCTTTCCTTCCTTTGTTTTAACAATGTTCATAAATCATGTTACAAGGTGGACACGTTCATGCTGCAGCTGGACGGCACCGAGAACAAGTCGAAACTGGGCGCGAATGCCATCCTGGGTGTCTCTTTGGCCGTGTGCAAGGCGGGGGCAGCCAAAAGGGGCCTGCCCTTATACAGGCACATCGCAGATTTAGCGGGCAACAAGGACATCGTGCTGCCCGTGCCGGCGTTCAACGTCATCAACGGGGGGTCGCACGCAGGAAACAAGCTGGCCATGCAGGTAGAATCTTGATTTTTTTTTTTCGTCGAGGTGGTTGGAATCCTTTATGGACATCATTTGGGTCTGATACTCCATATGATAGTGTGGGAGTCCCCTGACTTCAGGGTTTACCCACAATGGTGGATTTATGCAGCAGTTTCAAGTAATAAGTTTCAAGTCGTAAGTATTATTTTCGAAACAATTCGGATTCAGAGAAAAATGGGAACAGAAGATACAATATTTAACGTTACTGAAACTATTTATAAATCCTTAGATAATTAACGAAAAACTATTGGAATATTTTTAGGCTTGAAGAAAGCATTTGATACTCTTTCACATGAGAAATTATTATCAAAATTGGAAAGGCTTGGTATTAGAGGAATATGCTTGAAATTTTTCGAAAGTTATTTATCTGAAAGGGAACAAAATGTTCAGATCAAGCAAGTTCGAAGTAACATAAGAATTATACAATGTGGTGTCCCTCAAGGGACAGTTTAAGGACCTATTCTTTTTTCAATTTACATTAATGATATATTGAAAACAAAGATGAAAAGAAATTTATTTCCTTATACTGACGATACAGTGTATATAGGTAGTGGAAATACTTGAGAAGAAACAGTATCAAATGCTGAATTCGATTTATAAATTATAAAAAGCAATCTTGACCAGGATTTACTGACTCTAAATTTAAAAAAATCGAATTTTATGACATTCACATTTAGTGAGAATATGCAACCAAAAAGAATTGATAAATTGAAGATACATATTATTCCATGTTCAACAATGGAAAGCAATGTAATTGTACCGAATATATTACAAAAATTGATGTAGTAAAGTATTTGGGAATTCACTTAGATTGCAAGCTCAAATGTAATAAACAAATTAATGAATTGATTCAAAAACTAAGGAGAACACTATAAATTTAGGTTACTGAGAAACATTGTCAGTCGGAATTTGATTATCAGTTTCTATTATAGTCTTTTTCAATCTATTCTCTGGCTTATGGCGTAATAGGCTGGGGAGGTCTATATAAACAAGCTGTGAAACCACTTAAATCAATTCAAAAATATACCTTGAGAATTATCTTCAAAAAACCTTTTGATTATTCTTCCAAAATCCTCTCTGAACATTATAACATTATTTCTGTTGATCAATTGTTTTATAAAACATCAACAATAAACATAAGAAAACATTTACAAAACTATATAATCATGTAAAACATAAATATGACACCAAAAATAAAATTGATGGTTGGATATCAACTGATAAATTCTCTTCAACTTCAAAGCAGCAACATGCCATTCATAGAGGTAATTTACAATAAATTGCCTTCTTTGAAAAAAATCTGTATGTTTGGATTTATAATGTTGGTTTGTTTACAATTAAATCAAAACCAAAACAGATATTTGTAACTGCTGGTTAATAGAAAAAACCAATTCTGTGTTACCTCAAACATGTAAAATACTAATAAACAATAGGCAAAATGAGCTAATGAATAGAGGTGCTTTTGTTATGATATGACAGTCCTCATTATTGCTGCATGAATCACCATTTTCACCTCACGACTTGAAACTTGAAACTTGTGACTTGAAAGTCTTAAAAGGCCTATTGTATCTTACCTACATGCCGTTATCAATTTCACCATATACGACTCATGGTGCTCATTAAGGGACACTTAAATATGAAAGACTATTTTCGTCAAGTTCCTGAAGATTACTTTTCCGACCCCTGTTCTCGTCTACGTAAATCTACCAAATTTTTTTCTTCTACGAGTGACGGGTTAAGAGGTTGGTCAGGTTAGGTTTTGTGTACATTTTGATAGTGCATTAATTTTTTGAAGAAGTGTATTTCTGAGTGAAGAATCTACCTCAAGGATCACTTTGCATAGATTTGTTTTACTCCTAGGAATTCATGATTCTTCCCACGGGCGCCACATCGTTCTCCGAGGCCATGAAAATGGGTAGCGAGACCTATCATCACCTCAAGAAAGTCATCAAAGACAAGTTCGGCCTGGACGCGACGGCAGTAGGGGATGAAGGAGGTTTCGCCCCCAACATTCAGAACAACAAAGACGCCCTGAATCTGATCAAAGACGCCATCGCTAAAGCCGGATACACTGGGAGGATCGAAATCGGCATGGATGTGGCTGCTTCGGAATTTTATAAAGATGGTAACAATAATAGATGTTACACGTGTGTTTCTAGTGGCATAGGTCAGGTTCCGATATTGCTGACATCACTGGCCACAGTAAGCAATTTAGAAACACTAAGTAGCAGTAGCTTTGAATTTTCTTCCCATTTCAGAACGATTTTGGCAGTACTGGTACACTGGAAGCTAAACATAACCATAACCTATGATCAACCGGTTTTGTTTAGTTGGTCTTTATTTTCATCATTATTATTATCATCTTATTTACTCACGTTGAAATTATGGATGGAGAGATTAATCATATTATTACAAGTGATAGAATCAATCCAGAGAGGACTTGATTCAGGAAATTATGTGGTAGCTGTTTTCATTGATCTCAAAAAGGCTTTTGACACAGTTGATCATACAACACTTTTAGAAAACTTAGAAACAATGGGACTCAGAGGCACTGTGAGAAATATTTTGAATTCATATCTTGAAAATAGGACAATCAATACAAAATCAACCAACTCTGTGTCAAATAAACTCTTAATCAATAAGGGTGTCCCACAGGGCTCTGTTTTAGGACCTATATTATATTTACTTTATGTTCAAAATATCAGTGAAATTGGTCTCACGAGTAAATATACCATGTATGCAGATGATACAGTACTTTTATATGAAAGCAAGAATCCTTCAAATTTAGAAAATATGATAAATGAAGACTTGAAAATATTTGAAAAATGGCTCCACTCTAACCTTTCATCGATAAATACTAATAAAACAGAATATATGATTTTTCACCAAAAAAATAAACAAAAAATTTTCCTCAACCTTAAAATGAAAAATGAACTCTTAAAACAAACTGACCAGATAAAATATCTTGGAATTTGGTTTGATGACAGGTTGAAGTGGGACAAACATATTGATGTTCTGACAAAAAAAATATCTCCAATTATTGGTGCATTGAGAAGATGTCCCAAACTTGATATTAAAATTGCAAACATGATTCTCTACTCTCATATACTGAGTCGTATCAACTATTTAATAAATGTTTGGGGAACTTGTTCAAAGAACAATTTCAATAAAATATCAACATTATATAGAAAATCGTTAAAAGTATTGTATCGTCTCCCATTTGATACACCAACCAATCAATTGTTTGAAATAACAAATACGTATTCTTTAGATGAAATATATAGAATTGAAACTCTCAAAATATCATATAATATCATAAATAAAAAATTGAAGTCGAATTTTATGTTGATACGGAATTCTGAAATTCATAATCATGAAACAAGACAATATAACTTGTTTCATCTTGACGCCGCTAGCTCCATTATCGGACAAAAAAGATTCACTCATTCAGCCTTAACTGAATTCAATAAACTACCTGACAATATAAAAAATTGCAGAAACATAGGTTCATTCAAAAATGAAGTGAAAAAATTGATTATTTCTGAGCGAACTGGATAAAATTGAACATGCCATTTTTTTTTTACAAATATTATTCTTTGTTTGTCAATTTACAGTTGTTGATATTATATTTTGTATAATGATATGTTTACCTATAGGTATATAATTATGTACTTCCTTATACCAGAGCCTATTCTGTCTGGAAGTTATTTGTTCAATAAATAAATAAATAAATAAATAAATATTATCTTAGAACTCTTAGAAGACATATTATTCGATAGTGATTCTGATTCATCACTTATCATCCAAAACACCAAGTTCTAGTACCTCTATAATTTTAGTGATGAAGAAATGAAGCCTAGCTGTGAAATAAATTTGATATTAAAAGTGGTAATAACAACCATCTAGTAGATTAGTGTCAGTTGCAGCGTCTACTGTCACTGTGAGATCTTCCAGTTCGACTTCATACATTTTCCCAGAGTATTTGAAAATAATAATACATAATGATTGTGGACTCATACCTAATCATTCGAACGCTCAACCTAACATTTCATGAATACTGCGGCACTACATCACCATTTCTGTATCAGTGTCCAACAGTAAACAGGGTTCCTTGCAAGGATCCGCGAAAACGTTGCCAGAAAATTTCAGTAAAATCGGAACGATGAAATATACTGGACAGTACTGTTTGCTATTTTGAGAATCTAGAGGCCCCCTCTGGTGGTGAAATTGTAAAGCTAGTTTTTGAGTGATCATCCATAACAAATACGGTTGACTTCTGGGGAGTTGGTTGTTGAAGACACCAAAAGCCAGAGTCAGCCGTTCAATGTTCAAAAATAGCCTCTGAATTCCTATCCATGATTCAGTTAGTTCGGCAATTCGTGAACAAAACAAGACATTTTCATTAATTAGTAACGCTTTCTCGTAAACAACTACAGACAACCACACACAACAACAGAAACTTGAGGAACTCACACATATTCTAAACATCATTTTCATCCGTTTTTGGATGTATGATAAATTGATATTCATCATTCAGGACGTGGAAAAATATATTTGGTCAGCGTTTGTTGGAAATATTGTCTTTTTAAAACCCATGAGATGTTCATGAATGCGGTAGTTAACTTTTCTTCCTGTCTGACCAATATACAGGGGGTTTCAAAAAAAGGTGACCCTCTTGCTATGGTAGATAGAACACTTCAACGACATCCGTTTTGAAGATACAAGGTGTTGAAAAAAATATGTTCTTACGAATATATCGAAACCACTGGTAACATTATAATGAAATTTCGTGTGGATGTTTTTCAGAAGCTGACACATCGCATGAATTTGTTTTTATATCATACTATCATAGAGAGCGCTAGTTACACGGCTCGTGCCAAGTAGTTTTAACCAACTATTTTGAGGTTAGATCTATCAATATGCAATTGTATTCTTGGTAGAACTCGATACTGTGTACCACTTACGGCATATTCTGATTTGAAAAGGTTGAAGTGAAGTGAAAAACGATTTGCATATTTACTGAAAACCGCAAAACAACAATGTATTTCTAACGCTGAACTTCATGAATCACAAGAATACCATCAAAATAAATTTAACTAAAAACATGGATTCCACAGTTTAGTTTTGGTTGTATCATGAAGAAAAATACTATGATACAGAGATAAATTCACGTCAAGAGTTGCAAGACAAAATTAAAGATCACTCGAATGACTCAACAGGTGATTCTCAACCGTTTAGGAGAATGATGCATTCTTAACAAAAAAAAAAGATAAAATCGTTTTTCTCCGATCGGCAGCAAATATTAATTTTGCTGACACATATCAATCAGCAATAAAGTATTACTTTTCCTGCCTAGGCAGCAAAGTGGTTACTTTGCTGATTGATATGTATCAGCAAAATTAATAATCCATGAATCGTTTATGATTTCCTTCATATTTCATCCAATACTTCTCCGGCAACAAATTCAACTCTATATTTTTTGCCACCTCCCTTATTTCTGGAGGTGTAAGTACTTCCAGGTCGCTATCACTGTCCATTATATAATAATTTAAATATACCGATATTTTTTCGCACAACTGTCAGAAATTTCATGAATTATTGTCAAACTATAATTATTATTAAGGACATTTCCATAGCAACCAACCATTCCAACAACTGCGATTTCTATAAAATTTTATTTGAATTGAACACTAGGAAAAATAAAGAGATTGTGGGAATTGTAATAATTTGCAAATACAATATCCTCCTATATCGTTATGAACAATCGGAGAAAAACTTATATGTTCAACTCGGCAGCAAAGTAGATTAACTGCCTCAGCAGGATTCCTAGCCTCGCTACGCTCGGCTATGAATTTAGCCTCGGCAGTCAATCTACTACTTTGCTGCCTAGTTAAACAAATAACTATTCTTCTTAAAAACTGAGGATATTTTGAACATTTTCTCTGATTCAATATTTCATGTTTTTAGTCGAATTTATCCCAATTTCTATTTGTGATTATTTCTTTGTTCAATCAATAACTTCAGCATAAAAATAATGTGATTGTTTTTGAGTTTAAGAAATAGGTAGGTAATTGATCTGAATCAATAATACTTATTTCATACCAGCATCAGCTTCATTATTTTCGAATCAAAATATTGCGTAAACAGTAGGTACCTCATTATAGAGTTTTTTGAAGAGTACCTTTCTCGTGTTGAATTGGATGATGTTGAAAGGTCACATAGAATTTGGTCTGAAAAATGTAACCTCAGAAAAATTATTCAGAATGTCCAACGTGTTATTCGTTCTGTAAGTTACTCCCAACTCTTGTTAATGTTAAAATCGAGCTAATTTTTCTGTTGATGATCCGGAATTGGTTGAAGTTCTACAATTTTGATTTATGTTTCTGATGGAAGGATACACTTCTTTGTTCCCGAGTTTCTTGAAAAGGATATTGTCTATAAAACGATGTAGACTGCAATATGTTTATGCTTCAAATTCTGTCACTGAGAATCTTTTTGTCGCCAATAAAAGTAGATTTCTTCACTCACGAAAGCAACCGTTATTTTCCAGGCTTATACGATCTAGATTTCAAGAACCCGAAGTCAGACAAGAAAAACTGGGTGAAATCAAGCAAACTCTACGATATGTACGCAGATTTCATCAAGGATTTCCCCATAGTCTCCATTGAAGATCCGTTCGAACAGGACGATTGGGACGCTTGGACCGACATAACTGAGAAAGTCTCCATCCAAATTGTTGGAGATGATCTGACAGTCACCAACCCGAAGAGAATTCAAACGGCCATCGATAAGAAAGCTTGCAACTGTTTACTTCTGAAAGTCAATCAAATCGGTACCGAATACCTCTATCTTTCTTGTAGTTCAGTAAACGAACAAAAATAGGAGAAATAGTATGTTATAGGAGAAGTATCTCCCATTATTGGTGCTTTAAGAAGATGTCCTAAACTTAGTACATATACATCAAATATTATTCTCTATTCACATATACCCTGTCGAATCAGTTATCTCATAAATATTTGGGGATCTTGTTCCAAAAATAGTTTCAACAAAATGTCTGTTCTATATATATAAAAAGGCATTGAAAGTATTTTTTTTTTTATTTATTTCAGTTATTGCATTACATTCTTTTCTTCATTGATACATTTCATACAAATAATATATAAAGTATAATTAATTTTCTAGTAGGAATGACATGAATGATCAGACAGTAATTCTTGGTATAAGATCATTCATGAAGTATTATCGACTGTTGTATAATTGAAATTACAAATAGTGAACAAAACTTACATTTCATCAAGATACAGTCATATTATAGTGAACAAGAAGGGGAAAAATAAAAACAGTGAAAAAAAAAAGAAAAAAGGAAATTCATGGTCTTTCAGCTTTGATCATTCCTTTGCATATAAATATATTTCTTAACTTTATTTTTGAATTGCATAATATTTGGGCTGTTTTTGATATCATCTGGTAATTTATTGAATTTCGAAATCGCCTCATGTGTAAACTTTTTTTGCCCAAGTGTAGAATTTGCAGCTTCAAGATGAAACAAGTTATATTGTCTCTTCCATACGATACTCCAACGAATCAACTGTATAAGGAAACAAACATATTTTCTTTGGAAGAGCACTTTTTAATCAATACTCTCAAAATTTCCTATTATATCAACAAAAAGCTTGAATCAAATTTTATATTAATTAGGAATTCCCAAATTCATGGTCATCACACTATACTATAGACAATATAACTTGTTTCATCTTAAAGCTGCAAAATCTAAACTTGGACAAAAGAAAATACACATGAAACAATTTCGAAATTCAATAATTATCTAAGTTTATCGAACGGTGCAAAGAACGAAACGTAGAAAATGTACAGAAGAAAAGGTATTGTTAGCATATTTCTTGGAAAGCATCGTCATTGTGGAGCGTATATTCGATGATGAAAGCCACGATTGAGACGGGCATTTAAAAAATACATTTCTAAATTTAGCTTCCATTGCAAAAAAAATTACTTCAAATCTGTATAGGGATTTGAAGTAACATTAAATATCTATGGGTCAGGACTTTCAATGTTGTTCATGGCACTTCTCTTCACCACTGTACGAAAATTTACGACCACAATTATTTTCCGCTATTCAATCTTTTTTGAAGTTCGTTGATTGAACTATTGATCCTAATCTCTGCTGAGCAGTTTATATTTTGAATAAATTATTTCTAGGGTCGGTCACGGAATCAATCAAAGCTCATCTTCTAGCGAAATCGAACGGTTGGGGCACTATGGTTTCTCACAGATCCGGCGAAACTGAAGACACCTTCATCGCTGATCTCGTTGTAGGACTTTCTACTGGACAAATCAAGACCGGAGCACCCTGTAGATCTGAACGTTTAGCGAAATACAATCAGATTTTGCGAATCGAAGAGGAGCTTTGTAGTTATGCTAGATATGCTGGTAAAGCTTTCAGGAAACCTTTGTAAAATTCGTAGAAATAAATCAAATAGCTAATTATCCAGAGGTTTTGATCGTGATGGTAATTTTACTAGAACAAGATTTTATCAGAAAGTATTGTAAGCAGACCGAGAGCGGCTGATGAGGCCTCTGGTGGGCAGAAACAGTACTGCGTGGCTCTTGCTGATAGTTGGGCTACTAAGTTTTCATTAGATCCACAATGGTTTTGGGCCAACTCCCCTAGATCTCTTAGTTTATGTGATCTCTCGTATTTTGAATAGGACTGGTTATTTAAAATGGCGTTTTTCTTCCGTTCCTGAAATTCTAGAAAAAATATTCAAAAAATCAAGAAAAAATAATGGAATTATGTTATACAGGGTGTCCCAGAACAACGTACCATAAATTCTACAGGGTGAACTAGAGACCAAAATAGGCCGATTGAAATCAAGTTACCTCTATACGAAAATGTACCGTTGAGGTGTGAGAGGGCGAAGAAAAACAATGTTATTTCCAGATTTTGTATTCAATATTTCGAAATCATTGAAAGGTATACTGCTCTGAAATTCGTAGGGCAATTTACTATAAGTGAATGTGCATGGAAAACATTTCGTACTTACCAATTCATTCAATATACAGGAAAATAAGTATTTCGCATTCTCTTTGATAAAATGTAATATAACTTTTTTGGAGTACGGCACTAATCACATTTTGGTATTTCAAAAAATGACAAAATCAATTATCACACTTTCTTCTAACTGCAGTTTTTTTATAATTGTCCTTGGGTTTTCGAGATAAATAACAAAATTAATTTTGGTGCTTCCTCATACTACTCGTTTATGATGTTGAAATCATTATGTTTTGCTCATTTATACCTCATTTATTGTGTTGACTTATTGACCACAATAATATCATGTTCACCAATTACCAATTCGCAATAAACTCTTCATCATATGATTTGGGAGCTGGCCATTTTCAAATTTCAGTTCAGGATTTCTGGTAAAAAACTTTGTGCGAGAATAAATAAATAAATTTGAAGATGACTAGCAACATTATCATTATGTTGAAGTAGTTCCTAAACATGATTATTGTGATCAATATATAACTCAACACGAATGAGGTAGCAACTTGCGAAACATGATCATAATCATAATAAACATGGAGGAGCACCAAAATGAATTTTGTTAGATATATCGTAAACCAAGAAAAATTATGAAATCACTGAAGTTAGAAAAAAGTGAGATAATTGATATTGTTATTCATCGAAATTTTAATTTGAACGAATTCGTGGATTATATTGTAGAAAATCTGGAAATAAAATTGTTCTTTATCGCCCTCTCAAGGCTCAACGGTTCATTTTCATATTTATATAGGTAAGTTGATTTCAATCGGTCTATTTGGTCTCTAGTTCACCCTGTAGAATTGATAGTACTTTGTTCTGGGACACCTTGTATAATAAAAGCATAAAAGTAAGGTTTTTTCTTTTTCAAATTTATCGTTTACTCTTTATAAAATACATAATATAACATATTTTTAAACTGCTCTACAGATTTTTCACAAAATTTGAAAGTCGAAAGATTTAAACTTTCTTCGCATGATCTTGCCACCTAGTTCTTTGAATAAAAAACGTAAAACAGAAAATGATCGTGGACAGAGATTATGTATGTGGATGTGGATAAGCCAATGTGGAAATCTGTAATGATCTCTTCAAAGCCGAACACAGAGATCTCTGACAGAGATAAGTTACCCACTTTCTGCCGAACCCTGCCGAACAGCTATTAGCTTTTGAAGATATTACTAGATGGCGCTTATCCAAAAAGAGAACAGGGTTGGTAAAACTGACAAAATAATCATCAGGTCTAAGGGTGATTCCTGTATGATCTAAGAGTACAACTACTAGAGTCGAGATTTCAGAACTGTGATGGGTATTTGAGTTTTTGAGTACTGAGTTGATTGAGATTCATGATTTGGTTTGGTCATAGATAGACTAATGTTTGGTAATGATCGTCTATCATCAATCCGTTATTCTGTTTTCTGCTTAGATCATGTTAGATCATGCTTAGATTTAGTATGAATGATCTAAGGTTTTCTATTAAGTAGTGACTGTAGTGACAGAACAGATGTCTAGATTAAAGTGCCTAGATGAGTGACAGTTAACCTATAAATACGACAGTGGTGAAGAAAGAGACGCATGCGTTGAACTTGAAACTTGAAAGTTGATAAATTTTCAAACTTGTTTGGGTGTGAAAAAAATGGTGAGGTGAAGAATGTTGTGGTTCGCTCAGCGGTTATGAATTTATTTATCTTAAGATCTTTATAAGTATTCATTATTAAATGTGAATACCAGTTATAACTGACAATTAGTAGAAAAACAAGATACCGGATATCAAGATACTCAGTTGTAGTTTATTTTTAGTTTATTTCCTGTGTTGATGTACTTTTTGTATAGTTTTTTAAAAGAGTTTTTGTGTTGTATTATAAGTACTTGATAAGAAACAAAGAAAATGGCTCTAGGAATGAATGATCCAGGTGAGTTTATTTTGAAATTGTCTACTTCTGTCTACAGTCATTTCCTCGGTAATTTCTTTTGTCATTTCAATCATTTTCTTTCTTCATCAATATAAAATGAAATCTCCAGATGAATTCAGCTATTGGAACACATAATAGCAGTGGTAAGAGTAATTACAATGTTTATGTTACAGATTCTACAATGGAGCATGTTATGAAAAATATCTATTCATCTTGTGATCCTCACAATTTGAATAAAGTTCCAACTTCTAAATTGATAGATTTTATAATGCCATATATGCTGGAAGACCTGTGAGTAAAGAAACCCATTTTCAATTTATAATTTATAGAATAAATTCATCAGAAATTCCATTATAAAATTGGAATATATCTAGGGATACCCAATGAGAAAATCTTTATGAAAATTGCTGAAGAGCTAGAAATATATGACAGCTCTAATTTTACTTCTAGTTCAGCTTTAGAGAACCTGAAATCTCTATTAGACCCAGATGATAAGAATGTACATGTCAATAGTCAAGAATTTTACCAAGTTATGAATGAATGGGCAAAAAAAATCACAAGTCCCAGTGATGATGATTTCAACACAACTCCTAGGTAAAACTGTGTATTCACTCATAATGATTGATTGTTCATTTCCAATTAAATGGTTATTTTAGTCAATTAGATGTAATAGATGAGAAGCACCTTCCATATTCACAGTCAACACCTAGAGCTAGTTTTGGTCAAAAACTGTTGCGCTGTGAAGGACTATTATTAAACTTATCCAATGAGTCTATTTATAATTTATCAGCTAGTACTCACACCAAAGAAAATAATACAGGTAACAAAAAAGTCCTTCCTGTTAGAACATGTCAGACAATATAATCATGATTTCAGTGGGGACAGAAAAAACAGTACTGGAAGAGGAAGTGAAAAAACTAGATCATCAACTGCACAAAGTTCTTAGTGAAATGGAGATGGTGAAAATGCAGTTGACTCAATCTGAAGAGCAGAATGAAAATCTGCATGCAGATTTAGAAAGATGTAGAACAAGATTATTGAGGTAAGAATAAATATAGCATTTATCTGGGCATTTCTTGAACAATTTATAGCTTAAAATACTATCATTGATTGTCTTTATTATTAGTAATTACCCCAAGAAACATAATTATCTGTTAATTATTGGGATATGAGCACATATCAAAAATTTATATATAACTCATTAACTAATGATTTCCACTCAATAGAAACAAATTCATACTTTTTCAAGATTAAAATCATTAGTTACATTTCAATTCTGCCTAAATATCATGTTATTACATCCTAATTGATTCAAAATTTCCTTGTAAACAAAAATGAAGAAATGATATTCAAATACTCAATTCTGTATTGTTCCTCTGTTTCATATGGCAATTTTCCAGGTTAAATGATTCATAATTTCACTGTCATTAAACAATTTATCTTCAATGAACAATATAATTGTCCTCATTATTTGGTGATAAATGGAAAGTGAAAGTTTCAGAATGTCATTAAAGGATTAAAAAGGTATTATTACCTCTTTTGTAATGTGTTTCCATTTCAGGAGTTGGAGACATACATATTTAGTTGTTTTCATGGTAGGTATATGAAAGTGTATTGATCATTATTGATTTAGAATGTTTTATTCTCCTTATATAGAGTATAGATTATTTCTCTACATGACTAACACCTTATTGAAGTATAGCCTGGATTGAGAAGCAATATTATTTATGAAAATGAATAATTTAAATTCACATCATGACATGTTCAAAAACTACCTACCTCATAGAATAACTCATGACTTTGGTGGTAGGTTACAATGACATTTTCATGATCAGAATATCAATGAGATAATTATCATTCTGAATATGTTTATAACAAACTTGTTATAGCAAAAATAGTTTATATTCAATAATCTTCTAATTCAAACTATTTTACAAGCTATTTTATCAGGTGTTGAGTGATCTCATGATCTATCTATGCTCACACTAAAATATTTAGGAATCCATAATGATGTTGCCCTGGTGAATGAGTAAACATAGTTATCTTGAAAATGTGGAGTTTTTCATTAATAATGTGAACCAGGATTTCACAAGATTGGTTAAAAATGTTAGATAGTTTTATCTAAGATCATTAGGTTTTATCTCATTTCCTATGGTTAAAGATCCTTGCAACAGAAAAACAATGAAATAAATAATTGGAAAATTTGATTTTGTCCTTTTTTTTTGTCTGCTGAAAAATGGAACCCCACATATTTTCCTATTGAAATATTTAGTACTATTTCTTGATGATTTTCTTTCCTAGTGAGCAACAATTGAATGATCATTTACACAAAAATAAATGCAATTCAGAGGAACTCAAAGAAGAAATAACTTTCGGCAAAAAACGAATAGAGGAGCTCAATAAAAAGCTGTTATACTATGAAAAGGAAAATGCTCATTTGGAAAACTATCTCCACAAACTTGAAAAAGAGGTACAAAATTATTTCAGATGATCAGGAAGTTACCCACTTTCTCATTATATCTGTTGTAGAATACAGATTTGGAGGAAAGGCTGGATAACTACAAAAGGATGGATCAAGATCTGAAAAAGGAAATGTTTGATATGAAAACTGAACTAGACATGAAAGATCTTGAAGTAGCCAGCTTGAGCAAGCTCAATGATGAACTAAAACTCAAACTGGCTGAGAAAAAGAATTTGGTAGACCAACTCACTAGCGAGAATGAGGTAAATAACAATTAACAAAAATTGCACTTAATTGCAAAGATGAAAGCATGAGATGTATAGAAAATAAAATGCATCACAATGTTGAGGATTAAGATTGAGACTAAAGGTGGATTTATGGAACATCAACTAAATTATAATGGATTTAAGATTCATAGGAATATTGAATTAAAAATATATGGGTGTTAATGCAATAACCTTTCATCAGCTGTTTAATAATCCTTTTCCAGTGGGGCTTGTTATTATTTGGCGCATGCGCTGGTGTGAATTATGGAAGAAATTAATTTCTTAGTTGAATGTTGGCCATCTTTCTTAGTTTCAATTTCAGTTTTAATTCTTCAGTTTCTTGCATGAGCATTTACATTACATTTCATAGTTTTATATTATTGGTTCAAGTTTAAAATTCATTTAAGTTTTAAATTTTGCTTGCATGAATCCACCTTAAATATCTCTCGCCGAAAAAAAATAGCAAAAAAATGAATGATAAATCTTCAGTGACTTTCTTGTAGGCCTATTAATCATCGTCCATTCATGTTTGTTGTTTTTTTGTGAAGGAAATACTATAAAAACAATCTGAAGTTTCTGAATAGGAATAAACTAAATTTGCATATTTCCAGATGTTTGGAAACTGAAGTGATGACGTCATCGAATTATTTTTTTCCTAGAAACATATACAGGGTGGTTTGGTTTGTAATACTAAAGATTCAACAGTGTGTTGTGCTCGTTAAAATAATGAAAAAAGTTCATGTAAACATATACTATTAAACCAGTCGTTTTCGAGATATAGGGTGTTGAAAATACAAGTCTGAATATTGTTTTTTGATGAAATATTCGAAAAGGTTTGAGAAAAATCAACAAAATTTCTCACAGATACTAAACTTTTCACGCTCTATAAGATGAAATAAAAAATATTTCATAAAGTAATTCAGTGGCAGCTGAATCTGGGGGCGGTTAAGAAAAAAATCACCCAAATTTCTATATCTGCATTTCTTTCTCAATTTGTAGTTCAAAATCTGAATAACCATATAGAGAATAAGAAGTTTAGTATCTGTGAGAAATTTTCATCAAAAAACGAAATTCAGACTCGTTTTTTTCAACTCCCTATATCTCGAAAACGACGAGTTTAAAAGTATATGTTTATAAGAATTTTGTTCATTATTTCAAGGAGTACAACACACTGTTGAATTTTTTGTATTACAAACCGGACCACCCTGTATATTGACATATTGGACAAGAGCTTTTATGAACCAAACACATTTTGTATCTTCCTTGCCAGGAAAAATAGAAAATCCTGAATCTTTTTTCTTGCTCCTCCTTTCTTTTTTGTTTCTCATTGTACTTTTTTTTTGTTATTGAGATTTTTTCTCAACTTTTATGGTTTTTCAAAACAACTTAACATTTGTTCTTGAAAACACTCTTTTTATTCTTTGTAAACATGTTCTTGCAACATTGTTATTCATTTTCAAAGGCTACTTGCTTAAATCATCCAGATTGTGAATTTTTGATATTTCTTTTTTTACAAATATGTTTATAATTTTTCTCGTAATTTTTCAACAGTTGAAAGTACCTTTTTTTTTCCACAGAATATTCTCAGAAAAATTATCTCTTTTCAAATATGTCAAAGTAGTAGTATGTTAACTAAGTACAGGAAAAACAATTCCATGACGTCATCACCTCAATTCCCAAGTAGGGAGAAATGTGCAGATTTGGCATTGAATGTTATCTCACAATGGCAAGAGCATAGGTTTAGATGAGGATTGTTTCAGGTATATCAACTAATCATAAAAATGAGGATTTCATAAAGAGTTTATGCTTTTATTGTGTATCTACATAAATTATTATTTCATTTGGTTTTATGTCATGGTTAACATGGATTTTTTTTGTTATTCTTTCTCAATTCATCACTCTACATTGAAACCATAAAAATGTTTAGTCCATTCTTGCAGATTTACAATCTTTTAAATGAGCTTTTCCAGTTTTGTGAAATTCCACCATATTTATAGAAAATATCAAACAGCAGATGAATTATATTCAGTAATGAAAATGCAATTTCAGTACCTGTGAATTCAAATGCTATGGAGCATAGATATCAGTGTCTCCTTGCAATCCATGTGTGATCATTTGAATTATCTAATTTATTTTGGCATTTTAACAAGCTGAACTGAACCATATGTTCCAAGATATAATTTTCCTGGAAATAACTGGACCCATTCTGCATAGGTACTGAATGATAGTGAATAAATTTTGATGTAGACAAATAATGATGCATTGAAAAACCTTCACTGAATTCATTCAAATGCTAGATCTTGATAAAACACGTAAATAATCATATATTCAAAATAGTGAATACAGTAATCTTTTGACCTAAATAATATTGACATTATTTATATAGTAAGTAGTAAGCAGTGTTAACAAGATAAGAGTAAATTGATCTTACACAACTCTTTTAAATATGATATACTAATCTTCTCATGATACTGCTAATAATCTTCAGAACGACAACTGGAAAAATGTAATGCTTATTTAAGCCATAATCTAGTTATGGCTCCAGTGGGCTGTAAAATTCTGTGTAACTCTACCGTACTATTGCAACCAAATACATACACATTTTCACTTCGCTGGATATGCTGGAAACAAAAAGAATCGCATATGATACCGCTTTTGTGGATTGTGCTCAGAAACCAGTTGAAATGATTAATCATCAAATCGTCATCAGAACTGCTCAACGTGCTAAACATAAAATTGAGTTTTTTTCGATCAATTTTGAATCATTATAATTTTCGACTACCTCAACTGATTTTCAATTTCTTTCCAGTTTCTAAATGTCAATTTAGTGACATAATTGTTTTTTGAAGACTATCCTGTATGGACGGATAATATTGATCATGCATCATTTCAAGCTTTTTGACAACCATTTGACCAATATGGACAAGTACAGACTATCCCATTTTGTCCATGTCCCATGTCCTTACGGGAAATCTCACTTATTTTCAAAGATAGAGATTTTCGGTTTCCGCGAACGTTGGCCACTTTTTTGTGAAACTCTCGATACCACAAACAAAATTTGCATAACTCGCTTCGCTATTGAGGTACAGGGCGAAATTGAAAATGTTCCATTTTGGGACCCCTCCTGTATCTCAATTATCTTTCAACTTATCGAGAAAGTAAGAACTCTTTTACAAATTTTTTCACGTAGAATCCAGTGGCGTGGTCAGATTTTAGAAATAATAAGCTACAATTATGCAGATATAACCCGAAGTTATGTTTCTTTAATTGGAACACCCTGTGTATTTTTCCATATTTGAAACACTGAGGCTTTGCGCTTTCTAAAAATATACAGGGTGGTCCGTTTTTTAATACGGAAAATTCAACAGCGTATAGTACTCGTTGAAATAATAAATAAACTTCTTATGAACATATACTTTTAAACGCTTCGTTTTCGAGATATAGGGTGTTCAAGTTTCTTCAAAAAATCGATTATTTATTGATTTCTCAGAAATGCTATAAGTGATTGTGATGAAATTCACATCTATTGTGGAAATATCAATGAGCTAACTTTTAGACTTATTACAGTTCATTAAATTACTAATTTCATGACATGATATTAGTTCATAAATTACCTGCAACTGTTGAGCTGCTTTTCTAGAACTGATTTGTTGGTTAACATCAAAAAATCTAAGAATGTGATTGTTATCATTTCTTCTCATAGTGGGCCATTATTTCGGTTTTGTTCATTATTGCCACGTAACCCAAACTGACGGAAACGTGAGTGAGTTTGATAAAGACTCGTGCATTAGGTACCCTTCTCCTAGGAAAGCGATTTCTGTATTCCCGAACTGCTACCTCTGCGTTTCCATTACAAAATCCGTAAACGATATGAATATCTGCATACTCTTCAGTACTAAATCCCATAGGCATATTGACAAACGGCAAAATTGGAATAAACTTATTACACTTTTTGATAAAACCACGGAATAACTCCAGTTTATTATTTCTTTGACAGAACTTTCGGAGTGACAGCTCATAAACAGTGAACAGTGAGCAACCCAGCATAGCCTACCTCTTTAATTGATATCAAGTAGTATTATTTAACTAAAAAATGTTATAAAATCTTACAAGCGAGCTTTTTTCATTGAAACTTGAAAAATGAATGAAAAATAATTACCCGAAAAATTTGTGTAATTATTACCTTCGCCACCCCAGATTCACCCGCCACTGAATAGTTTTTATGAATAATTTTTATTTAATCTAATGAAGCTCAAAAAGTTTAGTATCTGTGAAAAATTTCGTTAATTTATCTACCGTTTCTAACTTTTGAATAAAAAAAACATATTCAGAAGCGCATTTTTGACACCCAATATCTCAAAAACGAAGCTTTAAAAGTATATGTTTATAGGAAGTTTTTTTATTATTTCAACGAGTACTATACGCTGTTAAATTTTCCGTGCCTTCTTATTTAATTATGTATATTAGGGTTCCTAATCAAATAAAGATCAATCTATCTATCTATCTAATGATAATCAAAATTGTCGATTTTCAGCTCTTGGACTACAAAAAACAAGGCCTGGAAAAAATCCTATCCTCCCGTCGGTACTCCACCGCCTCCTCTCACTATACCACCTGCCTGGCCGACGAGTCCAACAGCTTCCTCAAAGGTACCGTTCCCATTTACTCATCCCCACCACCTCCAGACTCTCTTTTCGCCTACAACAGCCCCGCTTTTCTCAAAAGGGTGCTGGCGCCTGTCAGCCCCGGTTTAGGTAAGTGTGTTCTGAACATTTTTTTTTTCTATTTCTTGTACAGAGTGATTCACCATAAATGTCCCCTCCTCTAGCTCACTTATTTTTCAACCGATTTAAAAATTTGAAAAATCATCTAAAATGATTTTTCAGAAATGTTTTCCCGTTGCATCAGAAAATACAGGGTGCTCGGAACAAACGATCTACAGAGTACTACTTGATTTTTTCAAATGGAACACCCTGTATTTCATTGAATTTTTAGGTTCTCCCTGAAGAGCTGATTTCATCAATATATCACACTTGGGGTCTAGCGGGAATGATTACAGAGATATAGGGTGTTCAAATTCGAGATTTTTCAACTTCAGGATTTTTTTGTGTCGAAACCATTCGCTAAAATTGTGGAGGCTGAGTTTGGCCAGGGAGTTTTATTCTGGACCAGTAATAGCACGGCGTCATCCCACTGTGATCATTTGTATAGTGATTTAGGCTTTCAAGGAAGTTTTTCCTTCCTCTCGAGACCCCGAGGATCTCGTAAATAATTCAAAATTTTCTACGAGTGAATGCGCATGCGTCCGCATGCATAATGTATTACGTGATTCACTGTGACCAATCTGACAATGTGGTTTGGGAATGGTTCGAAAACTTTGTGCTCTCGTGAAAAAAATGTAACGCAATAACTGAAATAAATAAAACATTAAAGTGATTCCGGTGGCGGAATCGGATAAATAATACGCAATTTCTGTCTTACTGGTCTTCTATGGAAGTACAGATCTATTGTACTTCAGCCTGAATACCCGCCCTATGTTCCACAGGTAGCCCTATCTATCACCTGAAGGACAAGCTGGTCCGCCAGCTGAAGCTGAAAGACTATGAATTTCCTTTTTTTTCTTCACTGTTTCTATTTTTTTCTGTTCTTGTTCACTATAATATGAGTACTGTCAATTTGAAATATCTTAATGATATGTAAGTGTTGTTCAATAAATAAAACGCAATTTCAATCTTGCTGGTCTTCTATGGAAGTACAGATCGATTGTACTTCAGCCTGGATACCAGCCCTATGTTCCACAGGTAGCCCTATCTATCCCCTGAAGGACAAGCTGGTCCGCCAGTTGAAGCTGAAAGACTTTTTGAACTTCCTGTTTTTTTCTTTACTGTTTCTATTTTTTTTTTTTTTTTCGTTCTTTTCACTATAATATGAGTACTGTTAATTTGAGATATCTTAATGATATGTTAGTGTTGTTCAATAAATAAAACGCAATTTCTATCTTGCTGGTCTTTTATGGAAGTACATATCGATTGTACTTCAGCCTGGATACCCGCCCTATGTTCCACAGGTAGCCCTATCTATCACCTGAAGGACAAGCTGGTCCGCCAGCTGAAGCTGAAAGACTTCATGAATTTCCTTTTTTCTTCTTCACTGTTTCTTTTTTTTTTCGTCTTGTTCACTATAATATGAGTACTGTTAATTTGAGATATCTTAATGATATGTAAGTGTTGTTCAATAAATAAAACGCAAATTCTGTCTTGCTGGTCTTCTATGGAAGTACAGATCGATTGTACTTCAGCCTGAATACCCGCCTTATGTTCCACAGGTAGCCTTATCTATCCCCTGAAGGACAAGTGGTCCGTCAGTTGAAGCTGAAAGACTATGAATTTCCTTGTTTTTTCTTCACTGTTTCTATTTTTTTCCCTTCTTGTTCACTATAATTTGAGTACTGTTAATTTGAGATATCTTAATGATATGCTAGTGTTGTTCAATAAATACAACGCAATTTCTGTCTTACTGGTATTCTATGGAAGTATAGATCGATTACTTCAGCCTGAATACCCGCCCTATGTTCCACAGGTAGCCCTATCTATCCTCTGAAGGACAAGCTGGTCCGCCAGCTGAAGCTTAATGACTTTATGAATTTTTTTTTCTTCACTGTTTCTTTTTTTCCGTCTTGTTCACTATAATATGAGTACTGTTAATTTGAGATATCTTAAAGATATGTAAGTGTTGTTCAATAAATAAAACGCAAATTCTGTCTTGCTGGTCTTCTATGGAAGTACTGATCGATTGTACTTCAGCCTGAATACCCGCCCTATGTTCGACAGGTAGCCCTATCCATCCTCTGAAGGACAAGCTGGTCCGCCAGCTGAAGCTGAAAGACTTTTTGAACTTCCTGTTTTTTTCTTCATTGTTTCTATTTTTTTTTTTTTTCGTTCTTTTCACTATAATATGAGCAGGGTTGTCATGAATTAATTCATATGAATTAAATCAGTGATTTAATTCATGAATTAATTCCATTGACTTTTTTCGAAAAAGTCATGAATTCATTCAAATTTTAAAAAATGAGACAAATTGCACTATTACCTTAGATTTTAACTAGTTTAAACTGAAAAATTCGATCGTATTTTGGCAAGACTTTGCATGTGCAAGTGTGCCGAGGATAGGCATGATGCATAATATTTTGCAGTTATTTCGAAAGTAAATGTATTATTATCCATGGCACACTTGACAAAAGTAAATAAATTATTATGAAGTATTTTCATCAGTAATATTTAATTTATGTTCTTATTTGTAATCCAATCGCAAATGAATTAGTATCGTTAGATTTGTCAAAATATTCTTTTTTCGGAAAGTGCTTGTCGAAAAATGGTCGCCATTTGAAAAATGATAGTTTGATACGAAAATGTAATTTTGCCAACTTGTCTTATTCATATCTATCATACTTGTCACTAAAACTTCGCGATTGGAATTTTCTGATATCACCTGAGGTCCTTAGATTAGTTTACTTCCGATCATGGCCACCTAGATGTAATTTCAAAAGTGACTCCGAAAAAATTAAGTAGGCATAAACACTTTCGAAAATGTTACATTCTGATCTAGAATTGTCTCAGAAATCCAAAAATGTTACAATATACAGGGTGTTCCATTTGAAAATTTAGAACCGGAGCCATTTTCGGTGAAACCGGAAGTGACCGGAAAGTGGAAAATATGTGAAAACTCTCCTCTTCACATACCATTCACCTATACCAAATCTCATTTTGATACACCTAATGGTCTAGAAGTTATGACTTGTCTAATAGATTCGTTGACACCCGGTATACAGTATCAAGTATCATCCATAAAGTCCATAGCATATGAGAACAGGTTTAATATCACAGCATCGAATATTTTTCTCTCGGCGATCCATTATGCATATCCGATAACTTGAAAATCGATTTTGACACATGTCACGTGATCACTGGTATGGTGATAAATAAAAATAATACTATAAAGCGACGAAAAGTGGGGTTAGATAACAAAATATCCATAAACATTTCTTATTAAGTTGCTATTCCACATTCAGTTTCGAGCAATTTTTGGAGGAGAATTGGAAATAGCTATATTTTTTCGAATATTCTTCAATTTTGTTACAATTTTCTTTTTTCCTGACAGTAGTGATGTTGATGATGTACAAGTTGAATAGAATTCAATTTCATGCTCACATATGGAGTTTCCAGCCATTATTTGAGAAAACTGAAAATAGCTATTTTTATTTTTTTTAAATAACTTCATCTTCCCATCTAAGCCCACTTTTTGCCATCGTAATTTTTTGAATCAACCGCCATACCAGTGTTCAAGTGACATGTGTCGAAATCGACTTTTAAGTAGTCAGACATGCATAATAGATCCCCGAGAAAAAATGTTTCGATATTCTACTAATAAACTTTTTCTTCATGTGTTACGAACTTTATGGATGATACTGGATCTATATGTATCCATTATTTTGTATTCTATCATCACTTTCAATTTTGTTTATGAAAAAATGACATGTTATATTATGATGTTATTCTACAAGATTTCTGAAGGGAATAAAAACATAGTTTTTTTGTCTCTTTTTTTCTAAAAGTCATGACTTATTCCAACCCTGAATATGAGTACTGTCAATTTGAGATATCTTAATGATATGTTAGTGTTGTTCAATAAATAAAACGCAATTTCTGTCTTGCTGGTCTTCTATGGAAGTACAGATCGATTGTACTTCAGCCTGAATACCCGCCCTATGTTCCACAGGTAGCCCTATCTATCCCCTGAAGGACAAGCTGGTCCGCCAGCTGAAGCTGAAAGACTTTATGAATTTCCTTTTTTTTTTTCTTCACTGTTTCTATTTTTTTCTGTTCTTGTTCACTATAATATGAGTACTGTTAATTTGAGATATCTTAATGATATGTAAGTGTTGTTCAATAAATAAAACGCAATTTCTATCTTGCTGGTCTTCTATGGAAGTACAGATCGATTGTACTTCAGCCTGAATACCCGCCCTATGTTCGACAGGTAGCCCTATCTATCACCTGAAGGACAAGCTGGTCCGCCAGCTGAAGCTGAAAGACTATGAATTTCCTTTTTTCTTCTTCACTGTTTCTATTTTTTCCCTTCTTGTTCACTATAATTTGAGTACTGTTAATTTGAGATATCTTAATGATATGTTAGTGTTGTTCAATAAATACAAACGCAATTTCTGTCTTACTGGTCTTCTATGGAAGTATAGATCGATTGTACTTCAGCCTGAATACCCGCCCTATGTTCCACAGGTAGCCCTATCTATCACCTGAAGGACAAGCTGGTCCGCCAGCTGAAGCTGAAAGACTATGAATTTCCTTTTTTCTTCTTCACTGTTTCTATTTTTTCCCTTCTTGTTCACTATAATTTGAGTACTGTTAATTTGAGATATCTTAATGATATGTTAGTGTTGTTCAATAAATACAAACGCAATTTCTGTCTTACTGGTCTTCTATGGAAGTATAGATCGATTGTACTTCAGCCTGAATACCCGCCCTATGTTCCACAGGTAGCCCTATCTATCACCTGAAGGACAAGCTGGTCCGCCAGCTGAAGCTGAAAGACTATGAATTTCCTTTTTTCTTCTTCACTGTTTCTATTTTTTCCCTTCTTGTTCACTATAATTTGAGTACTGTTAATTTGAGATTTCTTAATGATATGTTAGTGTTGTTCAATAAATACAAACGCAATTTCTGTCTTACTGGTCTTCTATGGTAGTATAGATTGATTGTACTTCAGCCTGAATACCCGCCCTATGTTCTGCAGGTAGCCCTATCTATCCTCTGAAGGACAAGCTGGTCCGCCAGCTGAACTCCAGCACGCCGAAAGCGAACCGAACGACGGACTGTTTCGACATCGGGCCCCACAAGTCTCACTCGCTGACCGACCTCAATCTGTCGACGCGCTCCATGCCAGACATACCATCAGCCAATGGGTTCCAGGAGGCCAATGGGTTCCGGGAGGCCAACGGGTTCCGGCTCCGGAGCGGCGGGGACGACACGTTCGGTGGGTCGCCGTCGCTCGGCTCCGGGCACGTGCCTTTCATGTCCCTGCAGGCCGAGCTGTTTCAGGTGAGTTGTCCCACCCACCACGTTGTTCTTTCACCACATTTCGGACTTTGACTATTCGGATCGCTCAGTTGGACTGCTAAACGCCAATTTCAACAGATAAATTCATGTCAACATAGTTATATATAAGTCTGGAAACTAGGGTCCCTTGATGGAAATTGACGTTAAAGTCATCTTAACAGGGTACGGACAGATCCTCGTCTCCTCTCACTCTAAAGTGTTTTTGAACAGTTATATAGTTTCATCCTTATTCAATTCTGTGGATAAACGCTAGATTGTTGACATTTGTTGTTTTTCAGGTTATATGAGGTCATTGGCGTGTCATACGGAATTTCCATATGGAATTCCTGATTCAACTATACCAAGATATAGTTGAACTATCCTCTAGTTTTAGAGTTTACTACTCCAGCATAATCTTTGCGAGGTAGGGAACATATAAATTGTACTGAAAGCTTAATATATTTCACCAAAAGAGACTGTTCTTACACTGTATACCAGTGTTGACTGAATTGACTGAATGAATTCTGAATTCAAGCTGAGCAGTAGTTTATCTATGAGCTCAATGAGCTGAGCCTTATGATTGAGAAATGGTGAAAACCTTGATGTGGGTTTCTAAACTACTGTATTCATGTCATGTGTGCTAAATATATTTTCGGAAATCCAACTCTGAGAAGAATTTATGGAGTGACTAATATCACACTATGTATAAAACTTCGTCAAGGGCGAAAAGTAGGCTGATAAAAAGTAATACGTAAAATAGGAACAGGAAAATTACGAATAGAATATAATTCACCCCCATGTTATACATATGATTTTTTCGTCTCCCATAAATAAAAAGTCATTCTCAAATGAATTATTGATGAAAGTAACAAAGAAGTAGGTATACAGTATAACTTATTGACACGTTTCAAAAGAGAATAGGAAGATATCGTATTCAGTAAATAATATCCTTATTTAATCGTAAAATCTTTTCATTTTCTTGAATTTTATAATCATTAACATTCAGAAATCATTTGACTCTGTCAATATTTTCTTTTTTCACCAATAGTCAAAGAGTATTGGGAACGAATAATAAATATCATTACTAGATTACTAGCTGACTTGGCAAACGTTGTTTTGCAATGCACAATATTTCTAGAAAATATCCTTTTAGTTAAATATTTACCAGCACACTTTATTTATTTCATTTTCTACTTCTCTTTAGTTCGGCTATTCATAAAAGCGTGTTTCTTTAATTTTTCAAAATACTATTTATTTTATACTCCTTTTCAGCTCGGCAATCTATCTCTTCAGTTTTTTAAACTACTGTTTATTTTCTACTTCTTCTTAATTCGGCTAAGTATCTACGATCGCGTGTTTGATCGATTTTTCAAACAACTATTTATCACAAAATTCGTTCCCTATATTGGATCCTCTATCTTGAATTTCCCAATTTTGACAAAAAATTTTAAGTTCGTCCCCGACAACCCTCAGATACCAATCTTAAATAGAATCAAATTATAATTAGAAATTTCTTTCGCTATATATTGGATCCGTCATCTTGAATTTTCCAAGTTTGACGAAACAATCATTATCTCCAACCCCGGAAAACCCCAGATACCTTCCAATTTTAAATAGAATCGGATCATAATAACAAAACTCGTTCGCCATATGATCCTCCTCAACAAGTAAATACCCTGTACATACATACCTATTATTAAAATATTGAATGATTTTCTGTAGCGCCCATGGATGTGACGTGACAGCAATGTCAGGGATGCCAGTAGACAAAACTAAAGCCTCTAGATCAGTGATTCCCAACCGGTGGGTCGCGATGTACATATGGGGGGGGTCGCCATTAGGCCCAAAAATTTCAACCAGTGCAAGTTTCAACAACATTGCAATATGTATAGGTAAATGTTTCTACATTTGGCTTATGCTTATTTATCGGACATCTTCGGTCAGTTGAACAAGTTGAATCTGAAACTTCAGGGAAAGGACTTGCACCTCCTCTATTTTAAAGATAATCTCGAAGCATTTGTGTCCAAGATTGGAAACTGGCGACGTAAAGTAAATCTTGAAAACTTTGCAATGTTTCGAAAACCTGAACACCATGGTTGAAGTATCAGAGGCAGGAATTGCGGGGGATCTAAAAGAGGAAATTGATTATCACCTTGAATCCCTTGAAAATGAAATCAGTGGTATTTCCCCGAGCTGTCTGACCAAGAAGCTGCAGTAGTAAGGAAACCATTCCATGCCTTGTTCCTGATGAATTGCAAGATGAATTTTTAGATCTTAAAAATGATTCCACAGCACGGAATTTTGGTGTGCCATATATTGTTTATATCCTGATGTCGCTCTGCTTTTTTTGCGGGTACTAGTACCATTTGCTTCGACCGTCGAAGTGGTTTTTCAATTCTTTTGCAAATTAAAACAAGAGAAATAAACTAGATGTTCAAGATGACTGGCTTTGACACGCACTCAACGAAGAATTTTGAAACTTGTTATGCAGATGCAAGCTCAGTCATCTCATAAACATTATACCAAATAAATAATATGAATGTTATCAAATTGTTTTTTTTTTATATTAAATAAGGAGATGTCAATATTCTCAATGGGGGGTCGCGACCTTTTAAGCAAATCCAAAAGGGGTCATGACTGTGAAAAAGTTGGGAACCACTACTCTAGATCATTAAAAAAGAATGCAGCTATGATCTGTCCGCACCCTGTTAAGATGACTTCAACGTCAATTTTCATCAAGGGACCCCAATGGAAACCATCCATCCTTCTCAAAGTGGTCCAATATTTTTTTAAAGAAAAAACAGTAAAACAAAAGTCGGTCGACCACAAAAAAAGTATTTTTACAAATTATGTTTGTGACTAGTTTCGGCTCAACGGCCATCTTCAGATACATAAAAATACCTGTAAAGATTAGATATTAGAAACAGGCAATGAACTACTGAGGAAATAACTTACCTAAGTACTAAGTAGGAGACATGTGGAGATAGTTTAAGTAAAAACTAGGTCAAAAACCGGAAAATCAGGCAGGTAATGAGGTATATTGTTCTTTAAATCGACTAAATAGTCAAAAAAACAACTTAATAATGCTCTTTCCGATGTTGAATTGTAAATATAAGTTCCAACTCACTTTTCATTTCCATATTTAATATGGTGCTCACTGCATGTTTCACTAAAATATGTATTATGAAAGTAACACCACTAGGTGGAGTATGTGGATAAGATTAAAAATATCCACTACTTGGACTTGGTCTTCTATCACCGTATCCTTTGATCATTAAAATTTCAATACGCTCAGACAGTTGAACGTTCCATTTTCGCGCGAAAATTATTTACACAAAATGTATTTCTGACAAGACCATCACTGCTAAACAAAAGAACGACGCGGCGTTGTTATGGAGCTGGAAACTTTCAAAGGTAACTTGTTGGACTATGAATTTAATGGACTACAACATTCTTGAATAATTTATAAGAATGTTATTTCCAGAACTGGATATATCGAAAATCGTTGAAAATAGGAAATGATGTGCAATATCAATTTCATTCAGAATTTTGAGTAGAATTGAAATATGGAATAATATATAGGGTGTTTCATTAAAGAAAAAGCAACTTTATTTCTTGAAGACTTTTTGGCTAATCCTGTATACATGATTTTTATTTAGTGTCGTAGATTTTGAAGAACCCTTAAATTTTTGTATTCTAATATGTTTCGTTAGCTATCTTACTTCAAGAGATAATAGACCGTTTCCATACATATCAGCGACCCTGCATAATAAATTAGCATTATATTATTGCCGAAGAAAAACTTGAGAAATCCAAAGTAAACTGGTCAACATTGATAACGTCGTGCTCCAAAATATAGCATGAATTCAAAGTAGAAAAACACGAATTTCCTCACCAATTTGAAATCGGTTTCCATGTCTTTTATTATATTTTAATATATCATATTACCTCGTATAAGCCTCATGAGGACTTGATGTATTTATCTTCATTAGTATGAAAACATTTAATTGAATCTGTGGCAATTCTGCAGTCTCTTTCATATTTCCTTGTATAAACCTCATGAAAAGTTACTATATTTATTCATATCACAATTTTCGACAATCGCCGACATTATATTCCTTTTTCGGAACATAGCGATTTTCATCACGTTCAAACATATTCTTCTTCATCCCAGGACAATCTGAACATATTTTTTATGGCACCTTGTATATCCATCGTCAAGAATAAATATGAATTTCATACTTCTGGAACTACAATCGTAATTTTTTGAATTTTATAATTTATCTTAACGAAAAAGCATCATTTTGATTAAAAATGCGTACTTTCATTATATGACCATCGATCCAAGAAATTACAAAACCATTTCGAGGTCAGACACCAGACATCCTCATGACGAAGTAACACTCCATTATTCCACTAGTAACACAGAGAAAATTATGTTTCATCTACTGAAGACTACGTTATTCTCCATTCCATCATTCAGTATTTCTTGTATCACTTTGTATAGACTTTTTCAGAATTTTCTGTGTTCGAACACGATCACATATCCGACGACTATACATACAACGTTGATTCTTTGGAGAAGAATTCCAACTTTCAATTTCATTCAATTATTTGTCGAAAAAATGCATCATTCTGAATGAATATTCATAACACGATTATCAAAGCTCTGAATTTGATATTTTCGAAAATGTTTCGAGAGAAAGCATCAATCAAGAGGGTACAGGTGAGAATTTTTTTTTTTAATTATCTGTTCAAACGGGAAGGTGACGACCACGATGCAATTTTACATCCATTCAATTATCACCCTGTAGCAATGTTATCTGAAATTACAGAAGTTTCATATTTTGCCACAACAAACTGGCAAGAGATTAGGCTAATCATCGGTGAAAACCGATTTCAAATTGGTGAGGAAATTCGTGAGTTATTCTACTTTGAATTCAGGCTATATTTTGGACCACGACGATATCAATGTTGACCAGTTTAGTTCTGCTTGGTGTCGCCTACTAACTTTTTCATTAATATCAACCAGTATTTTGACATTATTGCAGGTCGACAATATTTTCGACTATAAACTGAAAAACGGAACAACTTGTGACAGCTGCCTCGATTACGAAGACAGAATAAATTCTTTGAAGGTTCATAATGAATCTTTGCAAAGCAAATTCTACGAACTTACCGAGGAAAACAAAAGACTGAACGCAGATCTAGTAGAAATAAGTAAAGAAACCGGAGATTTGAAACAAAAATTAACCGACACGGTTTTCGAAAAATGTGCAATACAAGAATCTCTGAAAGAGATGCAAAATTTAACGAATAAGACTGAGAAAGAGAATATATTTATAGATTTAAAAGAGAAAATGAATATTTTGAACGCCAATTTGGTTTCCAAAGAAAACGAACTCGAAGAGTTCAAAAACAAATTTAATTTTGAAACGGCTTACAAAAGCTCACAAATGGAACTGAACGAAAGAAAAAACGAACTATCAGAACTAAAGCAGACTCACCAAAGGTCCAAAGAAGCCAATCAGATACTGGCAAGCAAAATCCAAGAACTCGAAAAGTCTCTGCAACTGACTAAAGCAGAACTCCAAGAAAATGAAGAAAAAACTAAACAAATGTTGGCATTAAATCACAACATAGAACAGACAGCCAACCAAGTGCAAGAGCATATCAATAATAAAAGCTCTGTCCTACTGGACGTCCAAGAACTGAACAAAAAGTTCCAGGACACTATAAAAACCCTGGAGAAGGAGTTACACGATAGAACGGCAGAGGTAAACCATTTCAAGACAGTTCTCAAAAGTGACGAGGATATCAAAAATATGATGTGGCGCAACCACAAAAAAGTCCTCACTGAATTGGAAAATCTCAAATTGGAGCACGATAATGTTTCGAAGCAACTAGAAGAAAGTGAGAGTGTTAGAAAAGACTTGAAGGAAGAATACAGTGCTTTGCTTACAAAATATAACGAAGAAACAGTGAAAAATGTCGAATTATCAAAGCAACTTTCTGATTTGAATAAAGAACTCTCCAATGCTGTACAAAAATACAATGAAGAAACAGAAAACAACATCAAACTTCATCAACAAGTCACATCATTGAAAAACGAAGTTCAGCATATAAGAAACAACCAAAAAGACGACAAAGAAAGAATAAACAAAAAATTATCGGACTATGAAAGCCATATGCAAAATTTGGAGAAAATCAATGAAGACCTCAAAGCCGAAATGGAAACCGAAAGGCACAAAGTCAAAGAAGATAAAATTTCAGAAGAACTCTGCAACAAACTTTCCCATTTCCAGAAAATGCTGGTGAATCTGGAAACCCAAATAAGTGATCTGGAAAACGAGAAGGTAATACTCAGAAGCGAATTGGAGTGTGAACGAAAGAAAACCAAGAAAGATAGTGAAGGAGACATTTCATCAGAAAGTAGCTCCTTATCTTTCACTACAGAAAAATTATCTTTGGAACCAAAAAACAGGAGCTTCGAAAAACAAAAACTCACAATCGACAGACTCAAAGAACGTATGGAACACTTGCAATCCCAATTATTGAACGAGAAATCCAGGTGTGAAGTCTTGAGAAAAATGCTGACAAGTGCGGAAGAAAAACAAGCCAAGATGGCTCAAGAACTTGAACAAAGCCATTCAGAGCAAAATAACTCACAAAGTGCCATAAAAGAACTAAAAACTAAGTTGAAATCACACGAAGACAACTACAAACAAATGTGCCATACATCCAATGAAAAACTCGAAGAAATTTCGCAGAAACTAGTACAGTTTGAACAAAGGAACACAAATTTACTCACTGACCTTGCACACAAAGATGCTCTCATCAAACAGTACCAGGATGACAATACAATAAGCAAGTCTGTTATAGAAAACTTGAAGGAGAATATGCAAGAAAGCGATAACCGACATCAGAGGCTCTTTGCTGAATTAGCTACAAAAGAAATTAAGCTAAAAACAGTCTCAATGGAAAATATCGAACTCAAAAATCTTTCAAACATCACCGCACAGAAACTAGACAAGCTAACCTCAAAATGTGCCCAACTAGAGAATGACTTGACTAAATCGCAAGCAGAATTGAAGCTCAAGAATGGGGAAGTCATTGCTCTGATCAATCGCGTTTGTGAAAAAGACACCAAGATCCAATTACTCTTGAAGACCATTCAGGATCAAGAAGAAAAGCTGTCTCAAGCGTTTCTAGAGCTCACGCAGAAGGAGTTGGAGTATAAAACATTCCTGGAGAAGGTGTCGAAGACTGATGACCACAAGGAAAAGGAACTGATGGATACTGAGCAGAGAATCAAAAACAACACTGAGGTTTTGGAGTCGATGGACTCTGAATTGAAAGAAATGCGTGAACATGTCTGTCAGAAGAAAGATGAATTGGAGAATGTATCTGAGAAGATTTTCGGTTTCATGAACATTATATCTGATAGCAACAAGGATTTGGCAAGGTATGGAAGGATTTTTCTTAACATTTTAGTCTTTTTAAGTTGAGACACAACAGAACCCTCTACTTTTTTATGACCCAGAAACAAAAAAATCACAGATATTTGTTGAATTATAAATATCACAGGTTCATCAAGATTATTCTTGGTTATGATAGGAATACACAACAAATAAAAAACAATAACATCCGTTTCAAGTATTCAAATTATGAAATTAAATGCTACCAAGCAAATATTTCCTTAAATAAAATCAGTAAATACTCAAATACAAAACCACACCCGAAATTTTACAATATTTTAGAAAGGTCTTGAGCTTGAGACTTATTTCGCCAATTGAATTACCATCAGTAGACCTGAAAAGTTAATGAAAATGGTTTCAACAACAACAAAATCCATGACCGAAATATTAATAAATGCAAGTCTCTAGAAAATGTCAATTTTGGAATAATAAGTTATCAGTTATATCTGTCAACAAATTCTAGTGAAAAACATTGATTTTTCATTAACAATAATCATTGTAGGGCAGTATCTTTGACAACTGAAAAGTGGGAAATCAACGTTGAACACGACGAAAACCTACCGTGTCTGAAAATGTGCCAAACTTTAGAAGTAGAAGAAGGGCTTTTAGTTTTGAGTGATAATATTAAAGTCGCAGTTTCACTATTAGAAATACTGGTGAGTACTTTGTATATCGATCAAGGCTACATCAACTTCAGAATGGCATATCATGTCATATTTTATTGTCATGTTCCTCAAGTATTTTTAATCTTTTCCCTTTTTTGTAAATCATTTTTTTTTTGTCATATTGCGATCGAAATCTTGTGCCATTGTATTGAGGTTCATATGGATACAAGTTATTTAATTTTTAGTCAACCCGAGCACCTAGTACAATGGATGATTCAGAAAATCAAATAACCGTTATATCTAATGTAAGGCAGCTAAATTGGTAAGTTTTTCACTATTTCGTTAGTATATTTTTCAGTTCATCATTTTTTGTTTTTCCAGTAATGACTCTAAAAACGTAAAGAAATTCACTCTAAGGCCTTCGAGGCTGATTCTGAATAGGCCTGTTAGTCCCGATTCGCCATCTGTGGATCTTGATTTACCTACCGAATCCCCAAATGTAGAATCTGATAGAGAATTTGACAGTCCTGATAGCCATAATCATAGAGAAGTGTCTGAAACGAGTAATAGCATAGAAAATGGTATCGAAGATCACTCTGATAGTCGGGTAAGTAGATTTAATCATTGCGTCACTTGAGGGATTTTTGTTTAATTCAATGAATTTTTTTTCAGTTGCCTACTCTTCCTCTCGATTTGCCATTCCATGATGCATTTCCGAATGTGAGTGATAACTTTTTGGAAAAACTAGGTCTGCAGGAGAGTAGCCCCAAGTGAGTCTTCTATAGCTTTTTTCAGATCTTTGATACATACTAATCACCTTATTGGAAGATCTTTTTACCAAGGAGATATTTGTTGGTCAGTTCAATGTGATTTTCCTCCATTAACAGGATGAAACTGTCGAGAGACGAAACGGAAAAACTGTTCACCACTTTCGCCATCCAGATAGCGCTGGATTCGAGAGACATCAAAGATCGTCTGCACCGGCAAAAGCTCATCTGCTCGAGACAGCACAGGAAGTGCTTCTATCTCATCAAGGACATATCGATGCGACTGCGCGATCACAGGTTTGTACACCCATCATTATTTTACATGTCATATCTCTTCTTCTTCGTCTTTACGGTGCATGTCATTTCTCAATAACCCGAATATCTCATCCAAATTCCTCACCGATCGCCGAACCCTTGTCGATCTAAAATAATGTGAAAGCTAGTTAGTAGGTGAGAGGTATAATATTGTTACGACCCTGGCAATCGATCCCAGCTACCTGCGGGAACGGGAAGTAAACAAGGCCATATTTCTTGGAATAGTAATTAGGTGATTCGACGGCTATTGAGATGACTCGAGAAGATTATCGACCTGTTCACGATATTTCGAGTGGAATCTAGACGTTTTATTAGGTAGTATAAATAGTTGTTGTTAGGGACAGGAAGGAAAGTCTTTATTTGGAAGCGTTATAATAACGATCGAAGAAGTGTTTTGAATCGGAAGTGTTTAGTACGAGTATTGTTATTATTGTATAGTAGTGTTCAGAATAAATCGTTTTAAGTGTTCTACCGAGTGTTAAATTATTACGGACCCAGAGTAAAATCGTAACAGTGGTGTCAGAAGTGTGGATTTTCGAGGACATTTGAATACGTATGGTGAATACAAGGAGTACGTCATACGACACGATGGAAGACATTATAAAATTCATGAAAAATCAGTTCGCAGAACTAGAGACACGACGACAGGAAGATGAGAAACGTCGTCAAGAAGAGTTACAGAAAATTCTAGAACATCAAGAAAAAGAACGAGAACATCAGAAAATCTTCTTCGAACAAATTCTGCATAAAACTGATAAGCAAATGGATGAGTTAAAGACAGATGTCACCAGAATTGATGACAAGCTTAACCAGGAAGTTTCAAGAATAGATTCCATGCTCGATGCAATCGAAAGAAATGTAGCGAATCAGATCACCTCGCTACGAAGTCAAGATCGCCGTGACAGAGTTGCCACATCGGGTTCTTCCGTGAAACCACCAACTTTTGATGGACAGTCGCCTTGGTCTATGTATCGCCGACAATTTGAGGTTGCAGCAAGTGCAAATGGGTGGAGTGACGAGGAAAAAGCTACTGCACTCATAGTAGCTCTGAGAGGACCAGCTTTGGGAATGTTACAGTCGATCCCAGTTGAACAACAAAACCACTTCGGAGATTTAGTGGCTGCGCTAGAACTCAGGTATGGTGACCAACATCGAGAACAGCTTTACCGGGCTCAGATGAAAAATCGTGTGCAGAAGTCTGGAGAGAGCCTACAGGAGTTCGAAGCAGATGTGAGAAGACTGACTCAATTAGCCTACCCAGAGGCACCAGAGGACTTCAAAGAACAACTGGCGGTGCAGGTATTCATCGACGGGCTGAGAGACTCAGAAATACAGAAGACTCTGAGGCTTACACACTTTAAGAGGAGTGGTGAAGCCCTAGTAAGATCTCTGGAGGTAGAAGCGGCCTTCAACACCTCTAGGCCAAAAGTGAGAGCTGTGTCCATCGAGGAGCCTTCCGAAGACGTGGACCCAGTGGCGAAAATGTTGAGAAAAGTGCTTGAGGAACTCAAAGAAATTAAGAGTGGGTCTAGTAACCAGCGAAATAGATCCTGCTATCGCTGTGGCAGAACTGGACACCTGATAAGGGACTGTAAGGTGAGAGTACCACCACGATCTTCTTCACCTGCAAGGACGCCATCACGGTCGTACTCACCTGCGAGGACTAGGTCATCTAGTGAGTCCTCAGATAGATACCAGGAAAAACTAGAACTAGCCAGCGTATCGGGGCGCATGCTGGCTAGTAATAACGAAGCCCCCAGGGTCATTAACATCAAAAGGATGAGAAGAACAACTGATAGCCTGAACATCAAAGGAAAACTACACCAGAATGCAGATGCCATGTCCAGAAGACCTTGTTCGGAAACCTGTAAGCATTGTCTGCGCATTGAACATCGAGAAGGAACCGCTGATGTTAGAAAAACCAGGCTTGTGACCGATGATAAGTGGACAGCAGCACACATGAGACGAGATCAGGAGAACGATCCGAATATCGCCGATTTTCTACGTTGGAAAGAAAGAGGAACAGAAAGACCGACATGGAAGGATATCTCGGATAGAGGGGCCTGCTTTCAAGGCGATGTGGGCACAATGGGACTCACTAGTTGTGGAGAATGGATTATTGAAGCGAGTTTGGGAATCAGCTGATGGTAGATCAACAATTTCTCAGCTGGTTGTGCCCCACATCAGAGTTAATGAAGTTCTGGAAGAAGTCCATGGCGGAAAATCTGGTGGACATTTTGGAGTTAACAAGACATTGAGTAAAATTCGAGAAAGATTTTACTGGGTTCAATGTCGTGACGACGTGGAAAGTTGGTGTAGAAGATGTCCTGTATGCGAAGCCAGTAAAGGTCCCAGAACGAGATCAAGAGCTGGAATGAAGCAATACAATGTGGGTGCACCGTTTGAAAGGATCGCCATCGATGTAGCCGGACCATTCCCTTTGACTGATGATGGAAATAAATACATCTTGGTTGCTATGGACTACTTCAGTAAGTGGGTAGAAGCATACGGCATGCCAAACCAAGAAGCCTCCACAGTTGCCAGGATATTGGTCGACAACATGTTTTCACGGTTCGGAGTACCAATGGAATTACATTCTGATCAAGGGAGAAATTTTGAGTCGAACTTATTCAAAAAGGTCTGTGATCTAATGGGAATCAGTAAGACGAGAACAACTCCACTACATCCACAATCCGATGGCATGGTCGAAAGATTCAACCGAACTATGGAAGAACATCTTTCCAAAGTAGTCGAAGAGCATCAGAGGGACTGGGACAGGCATCTTCCCTTATTCCTGATGGCGTATAGAGCAGCTGTCCATGATTCAACGAAGCTAACTCCAGCTAGTATAGTCTTTGGAAGAGAACTCCGCTTACCTTGTGACTTGGTGTTCGGTTCACCAAGTGTTGAAGAAAAGGAAGTACAAGACTACGCAGATGAGCTCCGGAATGCCTTGATGAAAACTCACGAGACTGCTCGGAAAAGATTGAAATTAGCAAGTGACAAAATGAAGGCACGGTACGATCTCAAAGCCAATTCAGAGGGATTCTTCGAAGGAGATCGAGTTTGGCTGTATAATCCTCGACGGAAGAAAGGCGTATCACCCAAATTAACACCATCTTGGGAAGGACCGTATACGGTGTTGAAAAGGATCAACGATGTGGTCTACAGAATCCAACGCAGCCCTAGGACAAAGATGAAAGTCGTTCATCTTGAAAGACTGAAGCCTTATCATGGTGAGGAAAGTTCTGTTTTTGATCGGGACGATCAAATTTGAAGAAGGGGGTAAATGTTACGACCCTGGCAATCGATCCCAGCTACCTGCGGGAACGGGAAGTAAACAAGGCCATATTTCTTGGAATAGTAATTAGGTGATTCGACGGCTATTGAGATGACTCGAGAAGATTATCGACCTGTTCACGATATTTCGAGTGGAATCTAGACGTTTTATTAGGTAGTATAAATAGTTGTTGTTAGGGACAGGAAGGAAAGTCTTTATTTGGAAGCGTTATAATAACGATCGAAGAAGTGTTTTGAATCGGAAGTGTTTAGTACGAGTATTGTTATTATTGTATAGTAGTGTTCAGAATAAATCGTTTCAAGTGTTCTACCGAGTGTTAAATTATTACGGACCCAGAGTAAAATCGTAACAATATTGTCTGTCCATTGGAAAAAACAATCGTGAAAACCGATCATATTGTGACAGTTTTCTATAAAGTAGAGACATCTACATGAACTAAGTTGTTCATCTTTTATTCCTGACCTAAAAATGTTTCATCTTCCTATCAATTAGGTAATCCAATGACCTGTCAAACTATGCGCTAGTTGGCACACAATGAAATTATTTATGTGTGATAAATCGTTTTTATATGCGAATTCCTGTTGGTATCAGAAGTTACAAGTCATATAATTACAGAAATTCACAAACAGTACCTATTTAATTGTTTTAGTAACATCATTCTATCTATTTTATTCAAGGTGCCAACCAGGCGCCATATTGACTCTACTCTTGAGTTGGATTGCCTAATAAAGATATTTATCAAGTATGAAAATCATCTACCTACACTCAAATGGAAGCAAGAAGTTGTTTACGTATTGCTATGTTAGCTGGATTCATGATCCCATTTGAAATTGAGGAGAACGTGCGGAAACCTGCAGAATGGAAGAGGATGCTTATTTCCCTTTATATTCTTGATAAGTTTGATTGGGGGAGCAGTGTGTATAGATATTTTCATATCACCACTTAAAGTGCAAAATGGAGTACGACAGTCTATACGCACCATTATGCACCGCATAATCAAACCCACAAACTCTCAAAATCAGACAGTGAAATAACTATAAGCTAAAAAAAGCATTAGAAAGAATACTACATGAAACAAAACTACAAGAAGCTAAAACTAGATAGAAGTACAACAGCTAAAGAAAATAAACAAATCAATTTACTTACTTGAAAGTACCTACTTACAAATACAAACAATATTACCACATACAAACCAACTAATTAACAGAGAACAAACAACACTAGGAGAAATAATAATTAGTAGAAGTTACAATTGCAATTCTCAAGGATTCATAAAAGGGGGTCAAAAGTCAACCACCAGACGATACGTACGTACAGTTGAAAAAAGAGAAGATGGAAACTTCAATCTAAAACTGTCCACATTGACAAATATTCAAGTGAAAGAAATGAGCTTGTAATGTCTGTCACTAGATTGGTGTAGGGTGAATATCAATAAAACAGTTTGTACTCGATGACACCTTCCACTCCGCTCGACCGTCTGATAACAACTGCCACCTTGTGATGTTGTTACCTAACAGTCCAACGTCAGATTGGGTGATTTATTCAGATTAATCATTCACATGATAATATATTGGACATTAGTCATCAGTCAGATTTCTCGAAGGCCTTCGACAAAATGGATTTCACGATACTGATTTTAAAACTAAAAAATTTAGGATTCGATGACGATTTCTTGAACTTTTTTCGTTCTTATCTCACAGGCCGCTCTTTATTCGTTGAATATAGGAGACACAAATCACAATCATTCACTGCTACTAGTGGGGCACCGCAGGGGAGTAATTTAGCGCCATTGCTGTTTTCCCTCTATATAAATGATATTACTCATAACATATTTAGTAAAACACTTCTTTTTGCTGATGATTTGAAACTATTTTGGTGTATCGATTTAATAGCTGATTGTCAGCTGCTTCAAAACAATATCAACCAAATAGCTACCTGGTGCACTGCGAATAATCTAATTACAACATCGACGGTATAAATCTTGAAAAAAATTATCTAACAAAAGATCTCGGTATTCATTTCGATTCTAAACTTCAATTCACACCACATATCATCAAAATCATATCGTCAGCAAAGAGAATGCTAGGTATGATATTCCGAAATTGTAAAGATTTTAAAAATGAAGATAGTTTTATGAATTTATTCAACTCCTACTTGAGATTTCGCTTAGAGTATGGTTCACTGATTTGGTCCCCTATATATTCGTCTCGTAAACGAAACCTCGAATCTGTAGAGAGATCATTTTTGAAGTACCTTGTTTACAAAATCGATGGGGTATATCCTGAGCAGGGTATAGATAACGCTATATTATTGAATCGCTTTTCACTTCTCTCGCTGGAAGACCGAAGAAATTATTACTCGTGCGTATTCATTTATAAGCTTACACATTATCTTGTCGACTGCCCAGATATTTTGTCTCAGCTCAATCTTCTTGTACCTCGTATGGGCAACAGAAACGAATTATGTTTTTATCTTAGAACACCAAGAACTCTGGCAAATTCACCTGTTTATACAATGAGTAGTAATTTCAATAATGTCTGCGGCAAAATCGATCTTTATCCAACAAAATTACCTAAGGAATATATCCTTCAGTAATCAAACATGAAAGTTTTGTGTAAAATGTACCAAAATGAATGCATGAATATGAAATGTATTTTTCTACTCACATAACTAAAATGGCATTTAGCGTACGGATATGTACCACGCTAAATGATCGATTAATCACGGATTGTCGATCTGTGATTTATTCAAAATATTAAACACGTTACCATGGTAACACGATTCCTTGAACACATTACCATGGCAACGCAGTTCATTGAACACAGCTTCAGTAATTTGAGACATGTCTGGCCTGTCAATTGTATTAACTGTCAACTGTTATTTTCGAATTTTGTATCAGAATTATTCGAACAATATTCGTTTGTATCAGAATTCATCATTAAAAATATATGCGAAAAGTAGACGAAAGTGAAATCGAAGAGAATGTTCTGGTACTTGCATATCTCCAAGAAGTGTAAAAATGAAGCATCCATCTTTCAGAACAATTTATTTATTCTGCGCTGAGCATGACAATAAACGTGAAACAAAGGTTAGTAAGCAATGGACTGGACACATCTATACAACCAATATCACTTATACGTGTCTCGCTGGTTGCATGCAGTTGCATGTATTATGTTCTCAATTCCCATTCCTTTCGAATTATTTTGTAGGTTAGCAGGAATAGCAGGTATGAGGTATGTTAATGTAATTTCCGGAGTTCGTAGAAAAATCATAGTATGTAACGCGTTTATAAACTCTTCTAGACACTCGTTTATTGAACACTCGCTCCGCTCTGCTCCGCTCGTGCTTAAACTACTCGTTACTAAAAGGACGATTATAACACTTGTTACATAATATGCTATTGTCTTGCATGTCCTGTAATTGGTTGCCTTACCTGTTTGGACAATAAACGTTTTTTTTATATGAAATACCACAGAGCCATCCACATTTTTCAATAAACCAGGTCGGGCACACATATTTACGGGTCAGTGAACAGTCAATTCAGACCGATAATGATCAAACGATCAAATCTGTCATTCCCGACATCAACTCATGGCACTTGGTGTTTGGAAGCATGAGTTAGAGTGAGTAAGCTATAGACAGATCTCCAATGCGCATGCTTCATGGGTTCCAGTTCGATCTCCCGATAAACTTTTCTCTTGAGGCGTTATCAAGCGGTCTAGATTGTAGGTTATGATGATCCCCTAATGTTCCTCATTTCATTCATTCTTTTGTTTCTTTGATTTCTTAGGTGTATAGGGGCATCTGATCCGATCAACCCTGTGTTCGTTTTGCTGGAAGACGTGAGGTTCCTGTTGCAGGAGATTGTGCAGTCGTCCGGCCAGTTGGGGATACTCACCTGCGAGAACAGGATGGTGAAGTGTTGGAATTTGGTCACCAATTATATGGCGATGCTCAAGCAGGGGCCAGCCAAAACAGTAGAGAAGAAAATTCCGACTAATAAGTAAGAATTTGTTTCTATTTCTTTCTCAGAACATTGTTTTGTAGTACACTTTACAGTACGTTACACTTTACCTCAATCTATATTCAGTAGTAATACTATAAGTACTTCAAAATATTCCGGTTATACATTGATAACTTGTTGCATAATTATTACAAAAATACTCTATAGGTTCTAAATTATTGTTGATAAGAATTCAAAATCCCCACTTTCTTAAAACACTTGTATCTTCTCTTAAAAAGAAGATATTGACGTGAATCAAGAGACAAACAGGGATCACACTTCAATTAAAAACATTATGGAGCAGAAGGTTGAAGAATGGTTATAAATTATTTTTATTGACCTTGAAAAGGCTATTGATACAGTTGACCATAAGAAACTCTTAGAATAGAAGAAGCAATGGATTATAATATTTTCATTTTATATTTTATTATAATTTTTTTTTATGAAAAACAATAATTGTGCAATTATTATTGTTTCGATTTATTATGTTCAAACATAACCTTAACAACAGAGCATTAAGAAGTTAGGGATGAAAGAGTAACTTTTGGTTTTCCCTGTATAATGATCAATCCATTAGCTTTTATTAAGAATTGAAATTTAGGCTAATTCTACAAAACATGAATCTACGATTTGGTCGAAATTTCACCAGAATCGGACAAGAATTGAAAAAGTTTTCAACATTTTTTCCTGGCCGTTTCTCTATGTTCAGATTCCTGTTTTTCCGTGAAGTTTATGAAAAACCGTTGTCTACCTTTTTTTCAATGGGCTCGAATTTTGCTTTATAAAAAATTAAGGAATTAGCAATGTTTATGCAGAGGTGAAACGCGATTTTGCCAGCTGCTGATGTTGTCGTTTCCACTTATATGTTTGGGTAGGTATTTCTGAATTCTGTTATGGCTGCATTGATTGCTAGGTAGTAGTTACATAGGTAAAATGATATTTTTGTAATCCTGATTTCCTGATGAGTCGAAAAGTATGAACCAAATTCGTCGCGCATAAATTATTATTTTTTCAAGATCTCGAGAGAACCGGCCCAAACAAGCTGTAGAAGAAAATAAGAAGCAAGAAAAAAACGGCACGCAGAGAAAAACGTCGAGTAAGCCAACCATTGCCAAGGAAGCAAAAGAGGAGATGATCAGACATAGGTGCGTGGTGACCTAAAATGTAATTTTTAGTTTTCAGTTATTTTTTTTGTTTCAAGGCAATGCGGGCTAAGATTTTCAGTCTCGCCAGTTGGCGCTACTAAAACATGAGGTCAATGTCAAAGTCAAAAATCCTGAAATTTTGTCAGATAGCCCTGGAGGCTATATATGGTCTGTTTTATCCAGAATATTCGAAAAAAGGATATTTTGAATATTTGAACGAATAGAAAATCTTAAGTTATGAGAAGACTTGAGGAGACTTACGTTTTTTTACTCTCAATGTACAACAATACACACTGTTTCATAACTAACTAAACCGATTTTTTACACCTCTACAAGTGTTTTGCTAACTGTGTTAGCATCTTCAGGAGAAGATTAAAACTGAAAGCTCTATCCTAGTGGGGCTACTTATATACTAAGAATATGTCCACCGAATCGTGAATAGACAATAACCGCCAAGTTAATGTTCTTCATGGTTGAGTTCACATGTTATATTACTAAACTATACAGAGGGCTTAATGGGATAAGTCCATTATCCTTATTCATTACTTTATTATAATGATGATGAAGATGCTAACATAGTTAGCGAAAGTCTTTTGTATAGCTCTCGCACACAGAAGGGTTCTGGGATCTTTGTTTGCTCCTGCTCGGGCAAGTGAGTCTGCCTCTTCATTGCCCTCGTACCCTGTATGTGCTGGTACCCATGCTAGAGTCAGTCTGTTCTGACTGTCCAATGACAGGAATAGAAGAAGTATATTTATCAGTTCTACCAACTTTGACCTCACGTTTCAGTGGCGCGATGTGGTAGACAATAAATAATATAGGTCGCGTGCACGAAGACCGACCCTGGAGGCAAAATATTGAAACACAACCTCATTCTTCTGTGAATTATTGAAACACAACCTCACTTTTTTATTTGGTTACAGAGGAATCAAAAGGTTGAAATAGTTTTTCACAATATTTTGGCATACGAATCGTGTTTCTTGCGTTATTCATTAATTCAAGCATGCTTTCGCATTGTGCTGTTGTACAATGCACAAAAAATGCAGCAAGAGACTAGGGAATATGATTTTTCAGGTAAATAGTAATCTCACATAGTTAGCATTATGAAATGTTGTCATTCCTTATTAAAATTCCTTCTGCCACTTCTGCAATACAAGCTAATGCTGCTAATATATTGAAAATGTCTACAACACACACGATCGTCAGCATGTCAGACCAGTCCTACCGATTGATTGCATGAATCCAATCTTGCATTATTCTAGAAATTTCAGGTATATTTCTATTAGCTGATCCTATTGCAGAAGGAATTCCGATGAGAAATCAGAGAAATAACCAAATTTCAAAAATGAAAACTATGTGAGTGACTATAGTTGGTACTTACTTTTGAATCATAATGTACCATCCGGATTTCTTCATCTTCCGCTGCAGTTTTTGTGCATTTTACAACAGCACAATGTGATGGCATTAGCGAATTGATGAATAGCGGAAAAATAGGATTCATATGCCAAAATAATTGTGGAAAACTATTCCGATCACTTGTAAACAAATATGTTTTGCCTCCAGGGTCGGTCATCTGACAGTTCTTGCACGCGACCTATTAGCCCTCATTAACCATATATCACTTGAAAGGGGTTAGGCATTTTGTATTATTTGTTAGCAACAGTTACTGTCAAATTGATTGTCTGTTGTCAATGTTAATTATAATGGCCACGTTTATACTGTGTCTTGGTAAGCTGACTAATGACTATATTGTGACTAAATACTCTTGGTCAGTGTGGTATAAACTGTATACTTGGTAAAGTTACCAGCTTGGTTTGGTACCGAAATTTGTTGTGACCAGACTGAAATAGTATGATGACCAAGACGGTTCAAACATTTTGGTCTACTTTTGTATAGCCTTGACTTGAGTGCAAGTGGCAGTTATTTCATGAGTTCTCATAACAATATTTCATTCAATTTCAGCTAATTTCGTATCCTACTGAAATGTTTTATTCTTAATTTACGAATTCAAGTGGAGCTCCACAACCTAACCTCAAAATCTTCATCTTCAGCAACTTAATACTATGGAATGTATAACCTTTGAATTGATAGTTCACTTACGAATTGTATATACAGGGTTATTCACATTATACATTGTGGCTAAAGCATTTGATTTTTTGAAAGTTTTCGTTTCAGATGAATAGGGACTTATCGGCCCTGAATTTAAAAAATATTTTCAAGTTGTACAGGGTGTGCCAAAAACACGAAATGTATCAAAGTTGCTATTTTTCAAATGGAATACCTCTATATTATTGCACTATTAGATTCGTGCTAAAGAGCTGATTTCATCAATGTATCACACTTGGGGTCTAGCGGAAATTCATTATCGGACGAAATGGCTTAACTTTTGAATCACTATGTATTTTCATTTAATTGGAACAGATACAGGGTGGTTCAAGATTCAGAATTCTGATCACCCTGTATGTGTTCCAATTAAATGTCAATAGATAGTGAATCACAACTTGAGATAGATCATGTAAGCCGTTTTGACCGATAACGAATAGTTTCTGCACAAACAAATCAATTGACATTCAATTGGAACAGATACATGGTGGTACAAGATTTAGAATTCATATAATTCATATAATGAATAGTTCCTACACAAAAAATCTATTGACATTTAGTTAGAACAGATACAGGGTGGTTCAAGATTCAGAATGCTGTTCACGCTGTATCTGTCCCAATTATGTCAATGGATAGTGGATCAATAGATGAGGTAGGGACATTTGACCGTTTTGACCGATAATGAATAGATTGGACACAAAAAATGCTAAAGTTGGAAAATCTCGGTTTTGAACACCCTATATCTTTGTAATCATTTCCGCTAGACCCAAAGTGTGATACATATTGATGAAATCAGCTCTCCAAGAGGAATCAAAAACTGCATTAATATACAGGGTATTCCATTTAAAAAATTGCAACTTTGATACATTTCGAGTTTTTAGCACACCCTGTACAACATGAAAATATTTTTAAAATGTACTGCTAATAGGTCCGTCCCTGTTCATCCGAAAAAAAAAACTTTCGAAAAACCAAATGCTTTAGTCACAATGCTTCTTGTCCAATAACGTGCAACACCATGTATACAGTGTGTCCCACTTACCATGCTCACCATGGGTAAAAGTCCATAATGTATTGTCACCGGATTTGGTCCGATTCCATTCAAAATTGGTGAGTGGGGGTTTTTGAGGTCGAAGATCATGGTTTTTTTGTTAAAATTTATAAATTCAAGGTGGCGGCTTCCAAATAATTTTTTGTTTTTGTATAAATGACGATAACTCCGTTGTTATCAACACAAAACTATTACTGCGACATATCATCTGTAAGAGAAAAAAAAGTTATTTGTAACTAAGTCATAGTGAGCTATGACCTACATTTGAAAAACTAAAGTTGGTGCTGATATCTCAAATTCTAGAAGAGTTGGTATAAATTTTATATTTTTTCCGAAATCACTGAAAAACTGCAATTATAATGTGAAGTTCCTATTCGAATATTTTCATAAATAAAGAAGTTACAGAGGAGACGTGAAAATGATCAAAATCTTTTTTTGCGTATAAAACAAAAACGAATAGAATTTATAAAAAATTTTTCTCACATTATAGTTGTCCTTGACAAACTCCACATTTGGTGTCATTTAACCGAACTCGTATCTCTCACCGTTATAAAGATGCCCATGGTGAGCATGGTAAGTGGGACACACTGTATATATATTTTTGTTTTTCAGGAGGAATTGGTTCACTTGCATAGCTTTATCTGCCGGATGGATCCTCCTTTTCACCTTTCTACTATTGACAGTACTGATCTCGATTCACTGGCAATGCAGGATGACAACAGACCATCAAGTGTGCCCATTAGATGACTTTATCAAGAAAATACAAATCGGCAGCCCACCTTATTGAATGCTCCATCTTTTTGTTCGTTATTCTTTTTTTTTTGTTTTTGGAAGATTATTTTTGTTCGTATAATTTTATAAATTTTTGATAAAAGTTACTTTAGCAAATACATACTTGTTTTATTTTCAACCCCACTTATCTCTGTTTTTTTTTTTTTCGATTTTGGATATCATAGGAACAATGAAAGTTCTGGCGAAACCGAGTTGATTCACGAATTTTGCCATTGAAGAAAGATGTTCTGCTAACATTTCAGTGATCTTACAGATCGATTTTTTTCCATTTTTCAATGCAAATATCTCGGAAACAAAGAAAGATAATAGAGAACTACAGTTTCTTGTTCAGCATATGGAAAACATGTTGTAAATACGTTTTCAGCTCATTCTGGGGCCTTAAAGTATGTGAAAAAAGTTCGTAGGGCCTTCAAATTCGGTATTTAGGACCCTTTAGGGATGCCCTAGTGAAGGATCCCTAGTGTGAAGTAGAAGCACAGCCCTCTAGCAATAAATTTAGAAGAAATAAATCGATTTTATTGACCCCCTTTGGAACTGAATTTTTCATGCACTCTACATCTCTGAAGTACTTCAGAGATGTATAGTGCATAAAATATTGTAAGTACAGTCGTATTCAATAAAAAAGCGTACAAGTATTGTTTTCAAGAACCTATGACAACTTTACTGTCAACATTTGGTGAATAATCATTCCCGATAGCCCGTTTTATGCAGAATCTCTCTCGATCTGTAATATATACTTGTTTCTTTTTCGTAGCCAAAAATCAACTTTGTCGTAGGGCCTTCAAAATTGGTATTTAGGACCCTTTAGGGATGCCCTAGTGCGAAGTAGAAACACAGCCCTCTAGCCCTTGATTCAGAAAAAAAAACGATTTTTGACCCCCTTTGGAACTGAATTTCTTATGCACTCTACATCTCTGAAGGGACTGCAAAATTGAGTTGATGGAAGTGTTTAGAAGGAAAATTCGAGTGTGTTGAGACGATTCCTGTGTGTCTTTGAACGATATTTTCGTTCTTCAAAAAATGTTTATATCTGGAAAACTAATAAAGTTATGAAAAAATCAACTTCATTTCCGTGTTCAGCACGTCAAGAACATTCTGTGTACAAGTTTTCAGCTCATTCTGAAGCCTTGAAATATGTGAAAAAAGTTCAAAGGGGTTAACCTTGTTTCATTTTCAGAGCCAAAAATCAACTTTGTCGTAGGGCCTTCAAAATCGGTATTTAGGACCCTTTAGGGATGCCCTAGTGCGGGGTAGAAACACAGCCCTCTAGCCCTTGATTCAGAAAAAAAACGATTTTTGACCCCCTTTGGAACTTAATTTTCAATGCACTCTACATCTCTGAAGTGAAAGCAAAATTGAGTTGATGGAAGTGTTTAGAAGGAAAATTCGAGTGTGTTGAGACGATTCCTGCGTCTTTGAACGATATTTTCGTTTTTCTAAAAATGTTTATATCTGGAAAACTAATGAAGTTATGGAAAAATCAACTTCATTTTCGTGTTCAGCACGTCAAGAACATTCTGTATACAAGTTTTCAGCTCATTCTGAAGCCTTGAAATATGTGAAAAAAGTTCAAAGGGGTTAACCTTGTTTCATTTTCAGAGCCAAAAATCAACTTTGTCGTAGGGCCTTCAAAATCGGTATTTAGGACCCTTTAGGGATGCCCTAGTGCGGAGTAGAAACACAGCCCTCTAGCCCTTGATTCAGAAAAAAAACGATTTTTGACCCCCTTTGGAACTTAATTTTCAATGCACTCTACATCTCTGAAGTGAAAGCAAAATTGAGTTGATGGAAGTGTTTAGAAGGAAAATTCGAGTGTGTTGAGACGATTCCTGCGTCTTTGAACGATATTTTCGTTCTTCAAAAAATGTTTATATCTGGAAAACTAATAAAGTTATGAAAAAATCAACTTCATTTCCGTGTTCAGCACGTCAAGAACATTCTGTATACAAGTTTTCAGCTCATTCTGAAGCCTTGAAATATGTGAAAAAAGTTCAAAGGGGTTAACCTTGTTTCATTTTCAGAGCCAAAAATCAACTTTGTCGTAGGGCCTTCAAATTCGGTATGTAGGACCCTTTAGGGGTGCCCTAATGCGGAGTAAAAGCACAGCCCTCTAGCCCTCGATTAAATAAAAAACGATTTTTGACGGCCATTCGGGCTTAAATTTGTATGCACTCTACATCTCTAAAGCGAATGCAAATCGAGTTGACGGAAGAGTTTTGCAGACGAATTCGAGTGTGTTGAGACGATTTCTGCGACTTTGAACGATATTTTCGTTTTTCAAAAAATGTTCATATCTGGAAAACTAATGAAGTTATGGAAAAATCAACTTCATTTTCGTGTTCAGCACGTCAAGAACATTCTGTATACAAGTTTTCAGCTCATTCTGAAGCCTTGAAATATGTGAAAAAAGTTCAAAGGGGTTAACCTTGTTTCATTTTCAGAGCCAAAAATCAACTTTGTCGTAGGGCCTTCAAATTCGGTATGTAGGACCCTTTAGGGGTGCCCTAATGCGGAGTAAAAGCACAGCCCTCTAGCCCTCGATTAAATAAAAAACGATTTTTGACGGCCATTCGGGCTTAAATTTGTATGCACTCTACATCTCTAAAGCGAATGCAAATCGAGTTGACGGAAGAGTTTTGCAGACGAATTCGAGTGTGTTGAGACGATTTCTGCGACTTTGAACGATATTTTCGTTTTTCAAAAAATGTTCATATCTGGAAAACTAATGAAGTTATGGAAAAATCAACTTCATTTTCGTGTTCAGCACGTCAAGAACATTCTGTATACAAGTTTTCAGCTCATTCTGAGGCCTTGAAATATGTGAAAAAAGTTCAAAGGGGTTAACCTTGTTTCATTTTCAGACCCAAAAATCAACTTTGTCGTAGGGCCTTCAAATTCGGTATGTAGGACCCTTTAGGGATGCCCTAATGCGGAGTAGAAGCACAGCCCTCAATTCAGGAAAAAATCGACATTTGACGTCTTTTCAGGCTGAATTTTCTATGCACTCTACATCTCTGAATTGAATGCAAAATCGAGTTGATGGAAATGTTTTGCAGACGAATTCGAGTGTGTTGAGACGATTGCTGCGACTTTGAACGATATTTTCGTTTTTCAAAAAATGTTCATATCTGGAAAACTAATGAAGTTATGGAAAAATCAACTTCATTTTAGTGTTCAGCACGTCAAGAACATTCTGTATACAAGTTTTCAGCTCATTCTGAGGCCTTGAAATATGTGAAAAAAGTTCAAAGGGGTTAACCTTGTTTCATTTTCAGAGCCAAAAATCAACTTTGTCGTAGGGCCTTCAAATTCGGTATGTAGGACCCTTTAGGGATGCCCTAGTGCGTAGTAGAAACACAGCCCTCTAGCCCTCGGTTCAGAAAAAAAAACGATTTTTGACCCCCGCTTTTTGGAACTTAATTTTCAATGCACTCTACATCTCTGAAGTGAATGCAAAATTGAGTTGATGGAAGTGTTCTGAATAAGAATTCGGGTGTATTGAGACGATTCCTGCAAATTTGAACGATATTTTCGTTTTTCAAAAAATGTTTATATCTGGAAAACTAATAAAACTATAAAAAAATCAACATCATTTTCGTGTTCAGCACGTCGAGAACATTCTGTATACAAGTTTTCAGCTCATTCTGAGGCCTTGAAATATGTGAAAAAAGTTCAAAGGGGTTAACCTTGTTTCTTTTTCGTAGCCAAAAATCAACTTTGTCGTAGAACCTTCAAAATCGGTATTTAGGACCCTTTAGAGATGCCCTAGTGCGGAGTAGAAACAACAGCCCTCTAGCCCTTGATTCATAGAAAAAAAAACGATTTTTGACCCCCTTTGGAACTGAATTTCTTATGCACTCTACATCTCTGAAGGGACTGCAAAATTGAGTTGATGGAAGTGTTTAGAAGGAAAATTCGAGTGTGTTGAGACGATTCCTGTGTGTCTTTGAACGATATTTTCGTTCTTCAAAAAATGTTTATATCTGGAAAACTAATAAAGTTATGAAAAAATCAACTTCATTTCCGTGTTCAGCACGTCAAGAACATTCTGTGTACAAGTTTTCAGCTCATTCTGAAGCCTTGAAATATGTGAAAAAAGTTCAAAGGGGTTAACCTTGTTTCATTTTCAGAGCCAAAAATCAACTTTGTCGTAGGGCCTTCAAAATCGGTATTTAGGACCCTTTAGGGATGCCCTAGTGCGGGGTAGAAACACAGCCCTCTAGCCCTTGATTCAGAAAAAAAACGATTTTTGACCCCCTTTGGAACTTAATTTTCAATGCACTCTACATCTCTGAAGTGAAAGCAAAATTGAGTTGATGGAAGTGTTTAGAAGGAAAATTCGAGTGTGTTGAGACGATTCCTGCGTCTTTGAACGATATTTTCGTTTTTCTAAAAATGTTTATATCTGGAAAACTAATGAAGTTATGGAAAAATCAACTTCATTTTCGTGTTCAGCACGTCAAGAACATTCTGTATACAAGTTTTCAGCTCATTCTGAAGCCTTGAAATATGTGAAAAAAGTTCAAAGGGGTTAACCTTGTTTCATTTTCAGACCCAAAAATCAACTTTGTCGTAGCGCCTTCAAATTCGATATTTGGGACCCTTTAGGGATGCCCTAATGCGGAGTAGAAGCACAGCCCTCTAGCCCTCGATTAAATAAAAAACGATGTTTGACCCCCTTTCGGGCTGAATTTTTATGCACTCTACATCTCTGAAATGAATGCGAAATCGGGTTGATGGAAATGATTTTCCTGACGAATTCGAGTGCGTTGAGACGATTTCTGCCATTTTGAACATTTTTTTTTTCTTCAAAATATGCTTGTATCTGGAAAACTAATAGAGTTATGGAAAAATCGACTTCATTTTCGCGTTCAGCACGTCGAGAACATTCTGTATACAAGTTTTTAGCTCATTCTGAGGCGTTGAAATATCTGAAAAAAGTTCAAAGGGGTTAACCTTGTTTCTTTTTCAGACCCAAAAATCAACTTTGTCGTAGGGCCTTCAAATTAGGTATTCAGGACCCTTTAGGGATGCTCTAGTGCGGAGTAGAAACACAGCCCTCTAGCCCTTGATTTAAAAAAAAAACGACTTTTGACCCTCTTTCGGGCTGAATTTTTTGTGCACTCTACATCTCTAAAGTGAATGCAAAATCGAGTTGATGGAAGAGTTTAGAAGAAGAATTCGAGTGTGTTGAGACGATTCCTGCGTCTATGAACGATATTTTCGTTTTTCAAAAAATGTTCATATCTGGAAAACTAATGAAGTTATGAAAAAATCAACTTCATTTTAGTGTTCAGCACGTCGAGAACATTCTGTATACAAGTTTTCAGCTCATTCTGAGGCCTTGAAATATGTGAAAAAAGTTCAAAGGGGTTAACCTTGTTTCATTTTCAGAGCCAAAAATCAACTTTGTCGTAGGGCCTTCAAAATCGGTATTTAGGACCCTTTAGGGATGCCCTAGTGCGGAGTAGAAACACAGCCCTCTAGCCCTTGATTCAGAAAAAAAAACGATTTTTGACCCCCTTTGGAACTGAATTTCTTATGCACTCTACATCTCTGAAGGGACTGCAAAATTGATTTGATGGTAGTGTTTAGAAGGAAAATTCGAGTGTGTTGAGACGATTCCTGTGTGTCTTTGAACGATATTTTCGTTCTTCAAAAAATGTTTATATCTGGAAAACTAATAAACTTATGAAAAAATCAACTTCATTTCCGTGTTCAGCACGTCGAGAACATTCTGTATACAAGTTTTCAGTTCATTCTGAGGCCTTGAAATATGTGAAAAAAGTTCAAAGGGGTTAACCTTGTTTCATTTTCAGAGCCAAAAATCAACTTTGTCGTAGGGCCTTCAAAATCGGTATTTAGGACCCTTTAGGGATGCCCTAGTGCGGAGTAGAAACACAGCCCTGTAGCCCTTGATTCAGAAAAAAAAAACGATTTTTGACCCCCTTTGGAACTTAATTTTCAATGCACTCTACATCTCTGAAGTGAAAGCAAAATTGAGTTGATGGAAGTGTTTAGAAGGAAAATTCGAGTGTGTTGAGACGATTCCTGCGTCTTTGAACGATATTTTCGTTTTTCAAAAAATGTTTATATCTGGAAAACTAATAAAGTTATGGAAAAATCAACTTCATTTTCGTGTTCAGCACGTCAAGAACATTCTGTATACAAGTTTTCAGCTCATTCTGAGGCCTTGAAATATGTGAAAAAAGTTCAAAGGGGTTAACCTTGTTTCATTTTCAGAGCCAAAAATCAACTTTGTCGTAGGGCCTTCAAAATCGGTATGTATGACCCTTTAGGGATGTCTTAGTGCGGAGTAGAAGCACAGCCCTCTAGCCCTTGATTACAAAAAAAAATGATTTTTGATCCCCTTGGGAACTTAATTTTGTATGCACTCAACATCTCTGAAGTAAATGCTTACCTTCCCTTCCCTAATGAATAAAACAATTATGAAAAATCCACAATTTTTATTAGATATAAAAAGACGTTCAATACATTATAATCTACTACACATCAACTATATCCTATTATATTTGTTCTCAAAGATCCTGATGTCAATTTAGTTTGACACATTTGGTTGGAAACTCTTGTGGAGGTCTCCAGATATTTTTCGAAAACTTCTTTCAGATTTTTGTATTCCTGAAAAAAAAAAACAGAATATAATATGTATATTAAAAACGTTGCTAATAAAATTGGATCCTTTTTGGGTTATTGAGAAAAACTGGCATAAAAAATGTTCTGTAATGTCAGTAAACGTCTCTTAACATATTACACAAATGGAATAATCATTGGTAATTTGATAGAAGGAAATTTTGAACTCAGTCTGGTGTTGGTCTATCAAAATTCTGAATCTCCTATTTTGAGAATGACTGAAGAGGCAAACTTTTGAACTGAGGAAATTTGCCCAAACGGCTATAAATGATTTGTTGCCAAAGAAATCTCGTCCAGATTATGAAAAAGAATTCCATAATTTCCAAGTATGGTGTTAAACTGACGACCTATAGCACCACAATATGTAAATGTAAGTGCTTCTTGTTGACCTATATACCGCAGTGGTTACTGTTTAAATAGAATCAACACAATTGAAAAATGCCAAGAATCATTGCAGGAAATCTTAAATTACCAAATCCTGAGATTTTTACAGAACATTTCTTTTGGTGTTCTAGGGTGTCCCATTTAGCAGATAGAGGCGGTGTAATCTTCATCAGTATCTGAAGGTTACATATAAGCTTCTGTGAAGAGAAAAATTGAGGTAGGTAGCTCAGCTTCTCAGCCTTCAACTTCTACAATACATTCTGTAGCCTCTACCTCACAGTAGCATTGCACAAACAATAACTTGAATAATCAGACTAATGAGCATAATTGTGTCTCAACAGCAGCCCAACAAAACTTACCAACAAATATTGATCGGTAATAAATGCTCAAGATACCTGTAATGTTATAGTTATTTGTTGCGTTCTGTCTCTACACGCTAGTGTGTCTGACAGTTTGACGTTGACATTACCATGACCAACTTTGAAACAAGAAATTCAGCGTGTCCTAATACAAGCTGTTTCGATATACATTTGGGTGTGATAATGATTTCATTAAAGACGCAAAATAGTTCTTAGAAACGCCGTGCATCAACCAGCAAAAACCGTTACCCCCGATACTAACAAGGCCTGAAGGCTCGTAGTGAACAGCTCGTGACGTCAGCTAACTGAGGCCACACGTTAAATTCGCGTGTCGACTGTCGTCAGTTTGTTCAGGTATGTTCGAGAAGCGGTCGCGTGCCGAATTCTTTTGTTGTTTATTCTGTTTTGTGAAATATTTTGTGTTGTGATAGGCGAAATAACAATGCCTTTCAAGTGTTGTGTTCCCTTTTGTCGGGGAAATTATGTGGGTGGTCCAAAAGTTCATGCTTCTAGTTTCCTGTAGACGTAGATCTTTTTCAAATCAGTGGATGGGGTATCTGTTTAGATGTTAATGGTCATTGATTGAAATAATTCAAGGTAGTCGAACAGAAAACAAAGGTTTACTCACAATTATTGGTCAAAATCTATACTGAATAAAACAATTCCAATAGATAAAACTGTGAATTGAAGTCATGCAATTATTTATAGTGATTTATAGCGAGGACCTCATCCACTGATTCGAAAAAGACCTACAGGGCGATTTTTATCCTCCACAAAAAAATTGAATAATTAAATCCAGGCCTGACAATAGAATAATATGTTGATTTCCATTGAGCTGAAGCATTGAAAATTTTAGTCTTACTTTCATTCGTGAAATTAATATGTTGCGAAGTATTTATTTCCAAATAAATAAATTTTATGCCAAATTTTCGTTCATTCATAAAATTTATAGTTTTTTTTCAAACTGCAGTGAAAGTGTGAGGAACATTTGAAATATTTTATTGAAGATGAACTTTTTGCTATAAACTAAACTATCAAAATTTTTCAAGAACGGTCCTGGATTTTCCCGATTCTGAAACTTCGTTTTTCCATAATAAAATCGAATGGGATGCGAAGAAGGGCTCACTTGAAGACTGCCATCCTCTTTTAACCGGAAGCCCTTCAAAAAACCAGCAAAATCGGCTCAATAATGATCTAAAACTAAAATTAAAATACGCGGTCGCCTTATAGCGCCATAAGCGCTTGTTGTTTCGAGCCGCTGTTAGGCCTCACTAAGGTGACGTCACCACTGACCCTGCAGGCCTTGTTAGTTTCGGAGGTAAAAGGGCAAAAACCCACCTCGAGATAGGGCTGCTCAATGTTCTTCGAATTCTGCACGTCCAGCTCGTCGATGAGGCGCCGAATGGCGTACACGGGCAGACAGAACGCAGGCGCCGCGGGGGCCACAGACCTCGCGAAGCCGTAGAACTCCTTGCCGTATCCCAGGGCGGCCAGCAGGTACTCGTTGGCCACTTCGACGGCCTCCTCCAGTCTGCCGCTGCCGTGCAGCAGTCTCAGCAGCTCGGAAGCGTTCCTCAACTGCAAAAAGACGAGAGTTGCGAACATTATTTTGAATTCTGAAAATTATCGACGTGAAATTTCAAGTTTTTAACAGTAGGGACACCTGCGTTTTAGGCATCTTTATCATTCTTTTAAAGTAATCAAATATCTGATGTCACTTCTGTCAGTCTAATTCTGTGATTTGATTTAAAAACATTTGCGAATTTAGTGGTTGTTTAGTAATATACGTAACCGCGAACTCGAATGGAAGATGTAAGGACTTGCAGTTCTTTCTCGGAGAAGGTATTATTGACTCATTTTGCGGAACTATAGCACAACAAAAGCCATCAACAGTGTCTATATATGTGATATATATCCGAGAAAAAAGTACTACCAGAGATGAAATGCCAATCTTTCTTCCCGTCACAGAAAAACATTTATTTTTTCCCGGGTATATATCACATATATATACACTGTTGATGGCTCTTGTTTTGCTATTGTTCCGAAAAATGAGTCAATAATACCGTCTCCGAGAAAGAACTGCAAGTCCTTTTATCTTACATTCGACTTCGCGGTTACGTATATTACTAAACCACTAAATTCGCAAATTTTTTAAATCAAATCACAGAATTAGACTGACAGAAGTGACATCAGATATTTGATTACTTCAAATGAATGATAAAGATGCCTACAACGCGGTGACCCTACTGTTAAAAACTTAAAATTTCACGTCGATAATTTTCAGATTTCAAAATAATGTAATATCTTCTCAATATTGATTCGTCCTTCCTTCTGTCACAGAAAAAAATAGTGTATTATACACGGGAAAAATATTAGATTTTAGCTCACGGTTTGTTGTCTCCCTCCGCTACGCGTCGGAAGACAACACAACCTGGAGCTAAAATCTGCTACTTTTTTCCCTTGTATAATAAATAACTATTTTTCTGTGGAAAAAAGTTTGGCATTTCATCTCTGTTGGCAAGTTATAACATGTCACTTTTCATAAATTACTTTTTCTACTACTGCTATGAAAAGTAGCGCATTTCTCATAGCTAACTTCACCGGTTTGAGAAAACCGGGTATATATCACATATATACCGGGTGTCCCATTTTAATCTTTATTTGGAAATTTCTCGAAATGTATGCATCTGACAAAAAAAATTGCCGAATAAAAGTTGTATGGTTTGGAGGGGGACGTCTGGTTATAAAACAAGTTTCACCCCCTGACCCCCAGGGGAGTAAGAAATGGAGGTAACATTGAAATCTTTAATGGAAACCCCTATTTTTTATTGCAGATTCTGGAAGAGCATTTAAAACTATGAAGCTTTTATTCAGGAACATCTTTTTTATTTTCACAAGATGGCGCTGCGATCTTAAAAAACAATATTTCACTATTTACACATTTCAACCCCCTGAAGACGAGGAAGAGTGTAGGGTGTGATATTTTTCCAGACAAACGCCATTGGGGTGATATTCACACGACACATTAACGCTAAACGAACTTACTTACCTTGACACCTCTACATAGAAAAGAGAAAAATAAGCATGTTTCAGCAATTAAGGTATCATTTAGGTCAGACTAAAGCTGGTTTTGAGTGAGATTGACTACTTTATCAAGTGTTCGAAATGACCTCCATTTTCTTGAATACACAAGTTCACTCGTTTTTCAAAATTCCGCATTGTCGCTTCCAACATAGCAGGCGTTATCTTTCATATTCTAGCGTGTGGTTGGAGGTTCGCGAAACACAATGTTTTTGATGTAACCTCACAGAAAGAAGTCTGGGGAAGTCAAGTCGGGTGATCTGGGTGGCCAACTACAAACTAAATAGTGAAATATTGTTTTTCAAGATCGCAGCGCCATCTTGTGAAAATAAGAAAGAAGTTCCTGAATAAAAGCTTCATAGTTTTTAATGCTCTTCCAGAATCAGCAATAAAAAATAGGGGTTTCCATTAAAGATTTCAATTCCCACTCCCCTGGGGGTCAGGGGGTGAAACTTGTTTTATAACCAGACGTCCCCCTCCAAACCATACAACTTTTATTCGGCAATTTTTTTTGTCAGATGCATACATTTCGAGAAATTTCCAAATAAAGATTAAAATGGGACACCCGGTATAACCCTGTTGATGGCTTTTGTTGTGCTATTGTTCCGAAAAATGAGTCAATAATACCGTCTCCGAGATAGAACTGCAAGTCCTTTTATCTTCCATTCGACTTCGCGGTTACGTATATTACTTAACAACCACTAAATTCGCAATTTTTTCAAATCAAATCACAGAATGAGACTGACAGAAGTGACATTAGATTTTTGATTACTTCAAAAGAATGATGAAGATGCCTACAAAGCAGATGTCCCTACTGTTAAAAACTTAAAATTTCACGTCGATAATTTTCAGATTTCAAAATAATGTAATATCTTCTCAATACTGATTCGTCCTTTCTTCTGTCACAGAAAAAATTATACACAGGAAAAATGTTAGATTTTAGCTCACGGTTTTTTGTCTCCCTCCGCTACGCGTCGGGAGACAACACAACCTGGAGCTAGAATCTTCTGTCCCTTGTATAATAAATAACTATTTTTAGTCATTCTGAATATTCTGGCTACTGCTCGATCACTGAGATGTCTGAGATTCCCTTACTAGAAATAAATTCCCTCGTGAATTCCCAACTTTCTTCCTACTAAGAAACATGGTGGTGGCTGGTGGGAGGCAGTTCGTTTGAAAAGCTCAACATGCTCAAAAAATCATGAAGATCACGTAATCTGACGTCACTGATCTGATTCTTATGATCCAGTAGGAGCATTAATCACTGGCTCAACTCAAACAAACAATCTTTTCTTCCGCTGTTTGTGATCACTATTATTATACGACGCGCTGCGAGAGCGGCGTTTGTGGTCATGTTTCGATATTGCTGACATTACTGGCCACAGTAAGCAATTCAGGAACACTAAACAGTAGCAGTATCTTTGAATTTTCATCCCATTTCGGAAAGATTTTGGCAGTACTGGTATAGGTCGCGTGCACGATGACCGACCCTGGAGGCAAGATATTGAAACACAACCTCACTCTTCTGTGAATTATTGAAACACAACCTCACTTTTTCATTCCTTACAGAGGAATCAAAGGATTGAAATAGTTTTTCACAATATTTTGGCATACGAATCGTGTTTTTTGCGCTATTCATTAATTCAAGCATGCCTTCGCATTGTGCTGTTGTACAATGAACAAAAAATGCAGCGAGAGACGAAGGAATATGATTTTTCAGGTAAATAGTAATCTCACATAGTTGTCATTATACATTGTTGTCATTCTTTATTGAAATTCCTTCTGTAACTTCTGCAATACAAGCTAATACTGCTAATAGATTGAAAATGTCTACAATCTTTGACAACACACACGATCGTCAGCATGTCAGACCAGTCCTCCCGATTGATTGCATGAATCCAATCTTCTTGCATTATTTCAGAAATTTCACGTGTATTTCTATTAGCTCCTATTGCAGAAGGAATTCCGATGAGAAATCAGAGAAATTACCAAATTTCAAAAATGAAAACTATATGTGAGTGACTATAGTAGGTACTTACTTTTGAATCATAATGAACCAACCGGATTCCTTCGTCTTCCGCTGCAGTTTTTGTGCATTTTACAACAGCACAATGTGATGGCATGAGCGAATTGATGAATAGCCGAAAAATACGATTCGTATGCCAAAATAATTGTGAAAAACTGTTTCAATCACTTGTAAAAAAATTTGTTTTAAAATTTAAAATTTGTTCTATCCGTCATTCGGTTGCCCCCTTACGAGCAACCCTCAAAAGTCTTCGAAAGTCTTGTGCGAGCAAGGAATGACGGGGGCCTTACCTTTTAACGTGTGATCCCAAACACTTTCTTGGGCCATCAGAAAAATTTCTGCAGTCGACGGGGATCGAACCCACGACCGGCAAGCGAATGCGAATATAGACACTCTGTCCGCACGGCTACCTGGCCACTAAACGAATAAGAAAAGTGAGGTTCTATTTCAATGTTATGCCTTCAGGGTCGGTCATTTGACAGATCATTTGACAGATCTTGCACGCTACCCATACTGGCAGCACAACATAACCATAACCTATGATCTTTCGATTTTCGATGTTTAGTTGGTTTTTATTCTCATCGTTCTTCTGAAAATTGGAATGCCTCTGTTTTTAGACACTTTATTTCCTTCTATTGAAAATGAATGCGACTTGGGAATATTTGTTGAAGAATTGGAATCATTTTCCAGAAAATCTACTCGTTATAATTTTATTTTTCCAGGAATTTCACATATTAAAAAGTCGAAAAAATAATTTATTAACTTATTTCACTATTGATTTACCTTATAAGAGGCCAAAAGCCAATGGGGGACATAAATCCTCATTTGTATGATCTTTCTGCAGACAACACAATGAAGGGTTGTCATATTGGGTTTTTCGTATTTTTCCAAATAGTCCTGTAAAAGCTGCCAAATGACATCAGACGCACTATCTCTATTAACAGGAAGATCTGAAAAAAATAAGCTTGAGAATCCGAAATCTAGCTCGACTTGTGAAGAAAAAACATAATTTTTGAAAATGATTCCATAAAAAAAAATTCCACGTATGAAAATTATTGCCCAGCAAGATTTATATTCCAAGTATTTTTCAATGAGCCAAAACTCACAGTATACCAAACATTTGTTTTTTCAAAAATTAATTTTTGCATTGTGGAAGCACGAATTTCATCTGACCTGAAATGAAGCATCATGCAATAGGATGTAAAACAACAAATCTCTCAACAAATAATCCTAGTGGTGAGGATTGCTTCCTTTCTTTTTTTTTCTTGAAGTGGTACATCGATAGTTACTCGCTATTTTTTTTTCTCACAGCCGAAAATGTATGTAAACTTGTTTCTGCACGGATTATTTGTTGCGCCTTGTCTCTTTGCGTCCAGTCTCTAGATGCTCCTTTCAGGTCATATTGAATTCGTGCATTGCGGAATGCTCCCCTAACATTCAGAAAAAAATATTTCCAAAATCTCATTTTCAGATTTTTTGCAAAACCAAAAGAATAATCATAATTTAGTCTGGTGCTTTCTATTATTAGAATCTCTAGTTTTGAATAAATAAGGAAAACATTGAAAGTTTGGGGGGATATTATAAATATCTATATATTGAAAACGTATTACCAGTACCTTGCAGATCATTTTCCACCAACCAATTCCATGAATTTGGATTCTCCTCTTCAGACAGTAGGACACAGTGTTTTGTAAGAGTATCGAAAACACTATTATATGGCAAATCAAAAGTCGTACAAATGTCCAGCGCAGTTTTGAATAGACCTGCGCTGTTCAACAATGTCACCAACTCGGTAGGGTCTGAAATTATATTATAATAAATGATTTTAATATGTGATAAGCATAGACATATAAAAAGAGGAGAGACAAAATTATTCACATTTTGCCCCGATCCATCATTGTTCTCAGCAGAAAATGTCTGCGAATTGCCCTAGATCTACCGCCTGTGTTTGAGAACAAGGGAAGCATTAATCATACATTGATTATATAATATTTATAATGTATATTCATTCTGTATGTTTGTTCCTTAATTGAAATATGTGAATTCTGCTTCCAAAATAATTTAAATTCTTCTTAATTCATCATTACACAAAATTATAATGATTTTATCTCTTTAATCAACATTCAATAATATAATCAGAAACATTCAAATAATAATTGTGAATAAGTATATATAAATATAAATAATTATGCGAATTGAATGAAATGCTCAGTACACTATATATGAATTAAATACATGATGTCTCATTTCATAATGAGACAATTTTTCCCTTGTGATAATTGTATATTATGAAAACGTTTTTGAATAAATTTATATTATTATTATTATTACTATGAAAATGAATGTGGCAACAATGTATTCGCGTGTTTATTACGCTTTACGCATAATTTTCGCATAATTCAAAATCCGATGTAACAGTGTTGATGTGCTGTGTTTGTGACCATTTTAGGACTTTTTGCGTTTCAATTGATTTTCAGTGCTTGTTATGAAAATAAAAATGAATACAATTATTAATAGTTATTTATAGACCAAGGTAGTAAAGAATATCATTATTATGGACCTATTGTCACTATGAAAGCACTTTCCTTCAATTCTAATTAAAATAATAGCCATAACTATGACAGCATATGTCAAGTCTTTATTGATAAACACGTACTAGATTCCACTCTCATTCCTGCGAATATCGCATTAGAACAGTAAATTCGGGTAAATTATAACAGGGGTGGCTATTGCATTATTGACTAGTGGTTCATAAAATGACGAGAACTACCTTGGTAGTAAAAAGACACTTTACGCCTCAACAAGGAGTAAATAATGGTAGGTTATACAGCTAGTGGTGGTAAAAAGTCTATTATGGTTCGCCAGTGCGTGAATTGTGAAAAAGTTCACCATACAAACCCCAAGGTTAATGTTTCTTCTAACTTTAGCAGTGGTGGTTATCGCAGGTTATTCAACTAAATTATTGCCAGAAACCTTGTTTTTTTTGTTCAAATTCCACTGAATGGATGGATAGATCAAAAGGTAAGGTACTACGAATATTTGGTATTCAAATTAAAAGATTAGACCCAAACATTTTGTAATAGGTGAAATAGCATTGGGTAGGTAATTGTAGTACAATTGTCTTGCCCCTCGCTCAACCTACGCGGATGAGGAAAAGTGTGAAAATTGACGCCTAGTTAACAGCGTTGTTATTCTTTAAAGCCATCTCTTTCTAACTTATTTGAAACTTTGGAAGTATGTATGATTGTAAACAAATAGTGTTTTATGAGTAAAATGTCATGTCTCCCCTCTCTTTCTATGTCTATGGTAATATAAGAGATAATCGACAATCTTAACAATCTAAATTGATCGATTTTTTCGTTGGGGATGCAAAAATATTCAATTATCCATCTGGTTTCTTAGTAGGCCATTTCCATTTAGTCTACCAACTTACTTGTTATGCTTACAGGTAATGTACCATTGAATCTTGCTACTTTTAGTTTTGCACTTGCGAAAATAAGATCATTTTTTATTGCATTGATGTTCACAACTTCCACTTGTTTTCTCAACTTGAATACCCTCAATTCCTGAAAAATATAAAATATAGAACATTTGATGACATTATGATATTTGCAATAAAATTGTCCACAAAGATTCTTGGTTTTTGTTATAAAACTATTCAAAAGTTCAGGGCATAAATATAAATAAAACAGCATGATCTATATGAGAATGTGAAGAATTATATCGACATTATCGTTTTTTCGAAAATTACCGATACATTCGCAAAATATTGAAATCGGTCATTTCATTAGGCATTAACAAAAAATAACACCCGCTTTTATTCTGTAGTTCGATGTTGTTGAATTTCCAATGATGTGTACCCATTTGAAATTATGCATAGCTTGATAATGAAGTATGTCATGTAAGAACATTGTATTCACTTCATCTAAATGCAAGAAAAACGCAGTCAATACACTTTCATCAAAAACAAAAAAACAAGTAGCAAACATACATTTAAACATCAATAATAAAGTGTACGAGAATTTGTCATGCGTGAGGTTTCTAGGTCTATACATTGATTAGTGTTTCGACTGGAGGAGACACTGTGCCAGTAATTCCAAAACTCAACTCCGTCATCTATCTCTCCAGGGTTTATGTACAAAACAGTCCCAACCACACACATAACATAAGACATTACGAACAATATCATGGATGAACTGAGCAAGACAGTTTGAAATTCACTTGTTCTTGTTTTCCTATACACTGGATTGTGGCATTTTATGACATAGATATTAAAGTGATGTCACCAGAATTTGAGGTTCATTAAAAAGTATAGCAAAATCGTTCAGCTAGATTGTTTTATAAACCTGTGTTTAAACGAATAATTGAGTAGTAGACCAAAATTTCGTCGCTTCTGATCGAACCTACAATGAGCTACAACCTAATCAATTACTAATCTTGTCAGCTATAAACTTGAAGAACTGGAAATGAGAGAAACAACCTATACCACACAGTACATACTATATTGATGACATTGACTTCATCAATGAACATCAAATAATCTCAACAGTTAACAGTAAGGTCGATTCTAGATTGAGAAATATTTACTTGATATTCCCTTAAAATAAAACAGCTGGCAACACAGGAAAAGGGATTATCACGTCAGTACTGGCGCCGCCGAACGCTATGTTCGAACGTTACATGAAATTGTAGGGTATTCAAATGGGGTATGTTCCGTAAATCAACTTGGTTATTTCGGTTAGTAGTTTTCCGTTCCTTAAATATGAAATGTTCAGTTGGTTCCTGAAAAAAAAGCATATTTATGGAACTCGGTTGCAGAAAGAGCGGTAGATTCACTGTCACCAGAACGACTATGGATTTTATCTAGTAAGTTCTGTAAGTTTCAGTTGACGTGCACGTGTCAAAAAAAACAGTATTCTTATTTTAATTATTGCATTAACCTTTTAACGGCACATGTTCCTAATAAGGTACGCTGAAAAAAAAATGCCTCTAAATGTTTTGAAATTTGAAATCTTCCAGTTTTATTTTTCAAAAGACCACTATTCCTAAACTGGAACAATGAAGGCTATGCTCTAACTAATATATGGCGCCATCTATATACTATTATTAGAGATAGAAACAGCAGCTTCATCATAATTTATTAGCATCCAACAATATTCGACAACAACAAAACTGCAGGTATGTTGTTAAATTATATAACAAGAGTTATAAGTCAAATTAACTGAATGAATAACTATTCTTACATAGTAAACCAAATATTTCCCAATGTTTCGAAGCGGGACCAGTGGTCAATGGTTAACATTTTTCATCGTTCCTAATGTGGAACAATGCATGAACATTAAGCGTTCAATGCAAATGAAATATTTGTTTTAGTAAAAAACGGCTTCTCTACCAAGCGATAGTGACGAAATAAAAACACAAAGCAGTATCAGAATCGCTGTGTAGGAAATAGTGGGGGAAAATAGAGAGGAACTTCGTGAACGCTATAGTTCCAACACAGAAATGAATCTTCTGTTTGAAGAAAAAAACAAACAATTTCAATTCAAAGAGTTGTTTTAACAACCATTCTAACCTTGTTTTTCCACAAACATTTGTTTGCTCATTTCTTTCTAAATGTGGACCTCAAGAGGTAAAGGTACGATGGATTCGTTTACTGTGGTAAATTGATAATATTCGATATAATTTCAGTTTGATTTTTTTCATCGCTTTGTGCGCACGAAAAAGAATCCCTATAATGTTCGAAGAACATCGTGCGTACCTAGGGAGGATAGGGAGAGGAGGTAGGTGTTGAATTTTTCTTCAACTTTTGAGGAATAAAAGTTATTTTTTTCTATTTCAGGACACAACATCCTTTACTTAAGCTTACTGTGCATAAGACTTAGAGACTTTTGGGTGTCATAATTGAAAGTCAAACACTGGTAGAGCATGAATTTTCAGAAAACGATCAAAACTATAATTTGACAAATGACTGGTATTCCATAAATAAACCACATCCGTAGTGATCAGTAGATAACCACTGTCAAAATGGGGGAGACCACTGATTTTTTGAAACGACATTATTGTGAACTCTATACTGAAAAACTACCAGTGAATTAATTTTGAATTTTTTCAGTCATACTGAGAAGATGAAATAAATAAATAAAAATATGTCCATTTCAAAACACACAAGTCCTGCGCCATTTGAATTTTTGTCAATTCATTGGTGTGACTGGAGCGACGTATTAGTCCCAACACGCCTATTGTACTTGAACTGACCAATCACACTGCAACACTGAAGAATGACGAGGTATCAGAGAGGGATAGCTACAGTTCGGGACTAATACGTCACGGCTTCACCATCATATTTGGCTTTTTTAAATATCGAATGAAATATGCTGATTTTTAAACGATATAGATTCGATTCCCTTCAACTTCAACTCATAATACTGATTGTACATAAAACGTAAATCATGATTCGTCGATTGAAAGAGGTTTGCACGAATTTCTTCCCTCAGTGGTCTTCCCCATTGGTACAGGCCCTGAAAGCATCGGTAACTTCTGTTGATTAACGGAAATATTACAGCATATTTGATCGAAAAATTGATGCATTCATGTTGTCACTTACAATATATCAATTATATGCACACTCAAATTGAATTAACGCATTTGTGTCCAGGCCTATTTGGAATGAATAACCATATCCTGAACTCCTTTATCCGTTTTCCTAAATAAAAAAAATCACCTGATTCGATCCAGCCAACGGTTGAATGACCACTTCTTCGTCTTCCTCATCGGGATCGGAAGGTCTCACGACCCACGCGTGCTCCGGTTTGCACAGATGAAGAACGTTCTTTGCCGCCAAGTAGCACTTCACCTGCTTCTCCAGCGCTTCTACGGTATTCGTGTGATTCAATCTGAACGCTTGTTCGTACATAACAGAAGCCGCTTGAAGAAAAAATGTGAAATGAGCCAGAATCAGAACCAGTTCATGGGGTGTTTAATAACATAATCAGTGTCAGTAGAAGAATGAGTAAATTATCAGGGGTAATAAATAATAACAATAATAATAATCTTTATTTGAAAAAACAACCAAGTACAAACACTAGACCTGTAAAAGGTTGTAGGAACAAACGTGCGTCATACAATATAGGCATCTAAAACTATCACAAAAATATATACTACAAATAGAAACATGCAAATAGATAAAAATAATGACTAAACAATGGGCGTGTACACCTTAGAACTTTTAACTCAAACCATGTTTATAATGATCCTTTTATACATAAATAATGATTGACGACATAATTCGATCGAAAAATTAACTGGAATGTTTTATTTTTGGACATAATTGATAGTACCTTCTGAAAACGGACCCTCTTATGACGTAGTTAAAAGAAAATAGCAAAGGCCCGATGGAGACTGGGGCAACTGAAATATTAATTCTTTCAACTGTGATCTCGCGCTTATTCACTCTGTCAGAAATCATGTATCATTCATCTCTGTCTGGAATAGTCTTGTTTCAGTATTAGGGTTTCATCACATCATCGCCTTGTTTTCTGAGGTCCGAAAAATCGGGGATTCAAATATTTTTTTATAAAATGTAGGGCAAGAAACGGTTTGCGGTGGTGAGCTAGTTTGGGTGAGTTCTATAGAATTATAAAATAAACATTTTTCGTGATATAAGCCCATTTATTATAAGTTTCCATATTTTTTTTTTTAAAACGTTTGGAGAGGAAAGAGACTTAATTCTTTCTCATAACTTTTTGAAAAATTTTATCGAATTATATAAAGCTTTTTTTTCTGTTACCGCCAATCTATGTGCAGGGTAATTATAATGTATGTTTCTAGTGTTATAGACAATTTGGGGTACATAATCGGAAAAAATTGCCGATCCTTAGTTAAAAACAAGAGACATTCCTGAACATACACAGCAACAATTGTTAATATTTAAGCTGAACAAAACTTCCTCCTACATGATTCTCTATAATTTAACTTATACATAATTCGTACAACCCTTTTCTGAATAATAAATAAGTGGTCCATAGAACTACTACCGCCATAGAACACTATATCATATCTGAAGATTGATTCAAAATTAGCATGATACACAACTTTAAGGATAAAAAAATGCATATGCTTAGATAGCATTCTTATCGCATAGCACAATTTACATAATTTGCTAGATAATTCATTAATGTGAACATTCCAGTTATGGTAACGGTCTTTATGGATTCCTAAGAATTTGGTACTAGGTGCTATTTTCAACACAATATTATTAGGCACTGCCGGGTTTGCATGTCTAGTTGTAAATATAACAACATTTGTTTTTTCTTTATTTTTATTGATTGTTTATTTCCTGAAAACCACTCATTTATTAACTTAAACATCAAGTTGGAGTTGTCTACTATAGGTTGGAACGTTCTTCCTTCAATCAAAATATTTGTATCATCGACATAGTTAACCATTTTACAATCAGAGTATGGTGTCAGGACATCACACACATCATTGAGGTATCCTATGAAAAGTACATCTATTTCAATGTCTGTTAATTGTGATGTGGCAGTAACATTATCTTTCTGGACTGATTCTTTTTGCTTTCTATTGCAGAGGTATGATTTGAACCAATTAAATGGCATACCTTGAACTCCGTATGCCTCCAGTTTATGCAGTAGTATATTGTGGTCTAAGCAGTCATAGGCTTTTGATAAATCTAGGGAAAGTCCTAGAGCTACATTCTTGTTTTCTAAAGCATTCAATTACCATGAGTGCTGGCAATACTATCGATAGTATTGAATTGATCTTATGTGGAAGATGGTGCAGAAATGCCATGATTCTAAATTACTATGTAGTAGGTAATTAGTTGATTGGTAATTCACTGCTGATCACATTCAATCTAATCTGAACTCCGAAATATTCAATAAGTTTCAAGATTAGCTAGGATAAAATGTGATGCAGGCATCTAACAGTAAGACCGTTTTCATATGGTTTGGTTTGATGGTGTTATGATTTTGTTGACTAATTGTTTCAATCATCAAATTAAACAGTGTTACTATATCTCGAGTACTCATTCCCTGAAATTTCAATTGCTAATGTGGCAACTATGTTTACAAGAGAAAGAGATGAAGCAACTGTTGTCAAGTTGAAATACCCCATTCTCCGCATAACTTCACTGTCCTCATTTCTCAATATTGTCACGAGTAGAACATACAGTATATTAGTAATTTGGAACCATGAGGGTTTTAAAAACATAAAATTAATCATATCATCCGTTGACATTGAATTATAAAAACTGACCAAGGAACTCTCACGAGAAACGTGCATATCTAATAAAATGATGTATATAAATATTGGATGTGAGGGTTCCGAAGTTAGTCTGGTCTGGGGCTACTCTTGACTTGACAAGAGCTCGTCGTTATGGTCTCTATAATGTAAGTTGTTATTAGGTCTTTATATTCATTGTTGTTTATTCATAATTGTTATCGCTACCCATAATGTTTCATGCTATTATAAATATTGTTATCTTTGAATATATTCTCGTACTTTCAGTTACCCCTAAACTATTAGTGCCTATTCAAATATTACCTCTCGCAAAATATTAAGCCAAGCATTACCCCTTATAAATCGATAGTGGTGGAAACACAACTCTTTTGTCGTGACAATATTATTGACAAGAAGGCAGTGATACTTTACTGGAAGATATTTGAACCTGAATGCCATGAATATCTGCGCTGTGATTCTATACAAAATGAAATTTCGCTTACAATTACTTGGAATGCAATTTTTCAGTATCACGAATTTTCAGGTAGGTAGGTATCATTGAGTTATCTAACAGCATCTGTATTTGCTGAAATGAAAAAAAATCGAGAAATGAATAACCGACTAATCATAGCTTTCTGTCCAAACTGGCATCTTTGTCAAGTCCATTGTGCACCCGCGAGAAGGTGAGGGCATTACTAATCCAAATTGCTCGCGCACGTTTGGCGGCCATGGCTGATTGTTTAAATTCGCACTTTCATTTTGACTTCCTAGGATTTAAAAATCACAAGATCATTGACGTTCACTCACCTAACCTATGGTTCTGAGGCCCCCTCTGGATCTGATACGAGTATAGGAAATCGTAGAAAATATTGCTGACAGCGTCGGTGGCGCGCGCTCTGCTGAGCAGTATATTCGTGAAGAACTCGTCCATGGCCCCGTAGGTGAAGTTGAGCAGCGTATCGAGCTTCCTCTCGTCCAGCAAAGTTTTCACCAGGTCTCGCAAGTTGTCTTTTTTTCGCTCCGCGTCGGGGTTGGAATATAGGGAGTCGAATGCAAATTCGTAGTGTTTCAAGGCCAGTTGGTGTTTGAATTTGATTGAATACAAGGTGGCCTGGAATGAATGAGAACTTTCGATAAAATCGTGAAAAATGGTTTTCGGAATTGCGTGATATTGTCAAGAAGGGCGAAGGCCTGAAGTTTAACATCACTCAAACTCGTACATTTCAAGATCTTCAATCATAAATTAACTTTCCCAAATTGAAACATCCAGTGTCTATGCAAAGTCAGTTAGAACAACAAATCAATCGCGGGCCGTCGGTCTCTCTGAAAGTTCAAAGAGATCGGCAGCGCGGTCCGATATTCCTTTGATAGACATAGACTATACTTACAGTATAGTTTCGTTCAGGTCAGCTCAGTTCAGACTTTAGTTCCTGTAAAATTGAAAAGCGCTTACCGTGCGAAACTGCCTAGGTAAAAGCAATACCGCAGGTAGCGGCCATTCCTATTGCGGCCAAGCATTTACTTCCAATATGAATAGAGCAGCCTTCTTCATTATTGATTATTACATTATTATTGCTGACTTCCAAAGTGGCACTATGCCACATTGATAGTGTGGCATCACCTCTACTTTGGTTTTGCTGCCCCATCACATAATGTACAGTTGTATTAAAAGGAGCGTACAAGTATATTATACAGAGAACGTCATACTATTTGCGTAAAACGGGTTATAGGGACTAATTGTTTACCAAATGTTGACAGAACAGAATTCATTGTTCTCAAAAACACAAAACGTTGGCTGAGCCAGTTTTACACAACAAGAACTAGGATGACGAACACCTCTCTTTTTAATACTCGGAGGATTTTTTATTGAATACCACTGTAAGTACAAAAAAACATTTTTTTGTTCCTGTGGTTTACTCGTTTTATGTTTGTTGTAGTTTTGAAAAACAATTCTCTTCATTTCGTATGAATGTGGTTGGGTGATGAAGTACTGAAGATCCTCTTGCCAAATAGCCAAGCGAGGATATTTTGTCAGCTTGGAAACGAATGAGGAAGCTTCCAATATTAAGGTTTTCATCTCACTGTGAAGTTTGTAAAATTTTAATATATTATATGTATTTTTTCTTTTCTTTGGAGGATCGAATATCACTTCAGAAAAGATGAATGAAAAAGGAAGCCACATTCTCACAGAGTTAAAATACGTTTCCCTGTGTCAATAAGACGTTGCCGGCATCATAAATATGTCTAGAATACCGGAAATTGTTCTTTGGATACATTGAAACTATATCATAATAGCAGTGGGGTATAATAGGTTTTTCAATCCTACTTCGTCGAGTATTACAAATAATTTTCATAAATCTCTTATTTGCTGGATGAAGTTGACTAATGAAGGTTCATTATCATATTTTGCAAAAGTATTTATCATTTTTCACTTTCGTTATATTACAAAATGGTAATAATAACCTGTCAGTCATTATTTTGCAAATGAATTCGTTCCTTTATAAAACGGATATATTTTCTAGGAAAGTTGCAGATTATATGTTGCAACAGCGCATAATACTTTGAGAGCCCGTCCACACCACACAAAATACTAACAGGTACACCGAGAGCTGATTTTTGATCTCCAGTTATTTGTTAGCCCATGTCAGTTTATCGCTGTTTTGTTAGTTAGATGATCATCGCCATTTTTTATGATATAGACATCAACAACGACGCAAGAAAGTATGAAGGATAATCATAGTTATTTATTATAAAAGGGAAAAAAGTAGTAGATTTTAGCTCCAGCAGCTACGGGAGACAAAAAACTGAAATCTAATATTTTTCCCGTGTATAATACACTTTTTTTCTGTGACAGGAAAAAGGGCGAATTAATATTGAGAAGGTATCACATTATATTATAATCAGAAAATTATTGACGTGAAAATTTGAGTTTTTAACAGGAATGACGTTGCAGGCATTTTTTTGCAGGCATCTTTATAATTCTTTTGAAGTAATCATCCATCACAAATAAAATGTTATGTATGTATGTGAATTGAATAAGTCATTAAGCAGTTTGTACTTACAGCTAGTGGATCATGTGGTTCTACTATGCTTAAAGCTGTGTTTGCTACACTTATAGCACAGTCTCTGGCTTTATGTAGCTCAAAAAGTTGAATGACCTGAAAAAAAAACGATTTCTTCAGGAGAGAATAAAGGTAGGATTTGTTTTTTAATTTTCAGTATTTACAATGTTAAGAAGTAGAATTATTATTGAAGAAGCAATTTCAAGACAACCACCAATAAATTTCAGTTCTTCATGGTAGACTGAAAAAAAAATGTTTCAAAAATACATTAATCATCGTGAAATGCATGTTCATAATGGCGAAGGTTATTCAATTGCTTGGCATTTTGCAAATGATCATAATATCTATCAGAAGAAAATGCCTACAATTATATCACTTGAACCACAGACTCACTTTGAGGTAGTAGTTGATATACGCTTTGGTAGGGTTATCTTCAGCTCCTTTAAGTATTCTTTCTTGCAAAAAGTTATCAGTAAATACACCTTTTGCTGACTTCTCGAATAATTCCTGTGCTTTGTAGCTTTCTCCACTGGTCAAATAAGAGGCTGCCAGCAGAAAATTTCCTGGAAACAAGGTGTGTGAAAAACATCAAATATGGCGAGTTGAAAGAAGTCTCACGTGTACAACTATTCCATTCACACCAATTGCTCAGTAACCTGACGTACTGCTGTAACCACAAGTGCTGGCCACTGCTCAGTAACCATTCTGCCAAAACGGTTCCACCACTTATTGGCCATCTATTTTGGAAATAAGGAAAAATACACCAATTATCACAATATCAATCAATGTAATAAAGTAACTGGATGTGTTGCTTCATCGACTTTTTTCAAGGATACATAATGTGCCTAAGATGGTTTAAAAAAGGCAACAGCGATAAATGCCAGTGTGCTAGAGCCTCATCACTACAATTCACTCTAGCAAATGACCTTCTTGCCTCCTGACCCCCAGCAGATGAAGTGAACAGCTCCAACAGAGATACGCAAGTATTGGAATTTCTCAAATTGAACACTGGATTCAGCTTGAGAGGAGTCAAACGTTGTATACTAGATTCCCTGAAATTCAAGTTAACATAAACTCGGAACTCACAAAACCAAATTCCTTTCATGTAAGCTAGGACAGTTTTCATAAATCAACTTAGCCAAAGCAGGTCAAGTACTGATCCTTGAGGTATTCCCCAAACAAGTCATTTATACTTACTGAGGCAGGTTAACTAAAGCTGGTAATCCACTCAACCAGAGCATCACATAGCTAGCTTGAGTAAGAACCACTATTTCAGGGGTGCACACAGACCTTATAGCTTCCAACACCCCACTGTCAGAAGTTTTGAAGCTCAACAGAATGTTACAAATCAACAGCAAGTTCCGGCAAATTTGAAATCTACAATCAAATGAAGCACAGGTACGGTTTTTTTCAAGATGTGGCCACTTATTTTTACCTGATTTGAGCCTGCTGCCTCAGACACCCTGCTACAACTGACACACCTAGTTGAGAGCTGAAATGGTACAAAGCAGAAGGGTTTATCTCGTTGTCTGGATTGGCCAAGGTGTTTTCGTATCTGAGCAGCTCCAAAATTTTGTGCATCGACTTGTACAGATCGCCGATGTTGCCCAACATGTTCAGAATGTGCGCGGTGAACTGACAGTCCATCTCTGACTGAATCTTTTCCAAGATATTGTCCATGACCACGTCAGGCGCTCGCAAATTGGAAAGCTCCTTTTCGAATGCTTGGCCAAACAGTTCACTCATCTGCTGTTCCAAGTATACGATAACCTCGAAAAGTTTCATTACATCTTGAGTCGTATCAATATCTGAAATGAAACGGCGGAAAATGGACCACACTTGCAGTGATAATTCAACAATGGGATAGTGAACTGTATTTTTTTTTGTGAGGATGCTATTTCAAATAGATTCTTATCAATCTTTTGAATATCAAATCAAATCTATATTGGTTAAAATTACATGACCCAGTATCTTCCACAGATTACCGAAGTCGAAACCAAAGCCTAATATTAGTTTACCACCCACTTTGAAGAGTAGGTAGTAAAAGAAGGGTATTCAATAGCCGGTAAATGACCATCACCAGCTAGTGAATTTAAATACTGAATAGATTTTCTTATTTTATGATGCGACGAGAATACTAAACTTAAAGATTTAATCAACTATTGTCAAAACCTAATGTGAATAATGACATGCTATCAGCGAGATAGTTATTGGGTTTTTCCTAGCGTTTTCCCAATAATTCGGTACTATTTTGGATTATATGCGGACAACGATAGTTCACCACAAATAGTCTGTTCTTTACTCAAAAAAATATTGTGAAGGGTCTGAGATGAGTTTATAGCTTTTTGTCCAAAGACCACTATATATGATTCTTAGAAGAATAATAAATTGACAAGAGAGATTTGTTGGTTTGAAACATATGTTGAATGTTGTTTATGGTTTTCTTTGGGCGGATACCAGGCTAGTTGAGAGATTTCTAAACATGCAAAGATTGAATAACTGCACATGATTGGTCAGATACAATTTGGCGCTTGCTTTTATGAATGATGGAAGTAAGATATGGTGCGCGTATTCGACCATTATTACGTATTGAAAATTTCAGAAAAATCACTCGACCGCCTACTATGATTTCTCCACGTCACAACGAGCGAGACGTTGATTCTACATTTCCTCGTTAGATGGTGATGCTGCTATTGCTGCTGTGACGAGTGGAAATCAAATGGCAATGGCATTTAAGGTACGCGGAACATTATGTAACAGTGGGATTATTCAACTCTGAATTCGAAAAATCTGCGACAACTTCAAAACTGACAGATGTCATAATTGTGCAATGTCGCCATTGAGATCCAGTAAAATTTCTGAAACAAAAGCGCATCAGTAATTACACCATATCTTACTTCCATCAATCTTTTATGTCTCGAGATCACGTGATCCACTCAGTAATCTCAGCAGTAGTAATCTTTTAGAAAATTTTGAAGAAGTTCATTTTAGAGTTTTGTCCTGTTCGGGTGTGTCACGTGATGCGGAATCTCATTTCATATAGAGTCAATATTCATTATACCCTACATAGACATCACTATTTCTCATCTAGCCATACATACATTATTCAGGTTCATTCAATATCAAGTTAGCACTGTGTCAGTCAGTAAGGTCAATATCCAATTTTCATTCATATATTATTCATCTGATAATAAACATAAATAACTCAGTTAGGAAACCAACTAGTTTGATTTATGGACTTCCTCAATATTATTTTTCAGGTTTATTTGGAATTAAGAGTAAAGTTAATGTAAATCATTATTTCAACTCATAACTACAGAGTGGCTCAAAGTTGCTAAAAAGTAATCTGATTATGGTATATTGTGTATGATTATGTTGGCATCTCCATACGACTTAAACTAAAACCTAGTTGCCGACCTGTCTCGTTCGGCAAGAAATACTAATTGATGAATATTAGAAATATTATAATGAGGTAGTTTTTAGACAAGTTAATGAATTAGTAATCAGGATAGGTTAATTACTTGCCCTAAATCAAACAGATGCTTTCAATTTAATCATTTTCCATTCCTTGAAAAATCCTTTATATAAAAATGATCAAATTTTACCTTCGGCCAACATTGAAAAGTTGACGAACTGATCACTGTAGGTGCTATCACTACACAAGGTCATATGTTCGAGGGGGTCTAAAGGTCTCAGGAATGAAAAAGCGGATTTCTTTAGAAACACCGCTCCCGAAACAGAAGGTAGCAACATCAGACCCAACGGTTTGAGACTCGCTATGTGGTACTGTACACAGCATGAATAAAACTTCTGCCAACACCTAAAAAAAATCACATTCATTTCAAGGTGTCTAGAGGGATTTTTCGATTTGCCTACCATTCTGCACATTCTAGATATTCCTCGTCATTCACAGCGGAGCCGTTCAGTGTGTTTTGTATTTCGTTGTCTACAGCAAGGCAGATTCTTTGTTTCAATGCTGAGGCTGATAAGTGGGTTTCGGCCAGAATAGTTGAACGTTTGTAAATCTTGGAAAATAGACAGAGTAATGTCAGATTGAAATGATCAACAACATAATGAATAGTAGCTTTAAAAACTAAAGAAACACGCTTTTATAGATTGCCAAACTAAAAATGAGTAGAAAATAATATAATAAAAGTGTGTTAAATACACACCATATTAAATATTAGAGCCTATGTACATCCTTTTAGTATGGCTATCCATAAAATTCTTGTATCTGTTTAGTTTTTTAAACTACTATTTATTTTTTATTTTTTAGTACGGCTAACTACAAAGTACAAAAGCGTGTTTTTAGTTGTTTCTATATTTTTTTAAGTACCCGATTTTGACGAGAGAATCATAGTTTCCGGGCCCGAAAACCCCGAGATAAAAATTTTGAATAGGATCGGATCATAATTACAAAACTCCTTTGCCATATTGGATCCATCATCTTGAATTTCCTAATTTTGACGGAAGAATCATAATTTCTGACCCCGAAAACCCCCAGATACAAATTTTGAATAGAATCGGATCATAATTACAAAACTCGTTCGCCATATTGGATCCGCCATCTTGAATTTTGATGAATAATTCATAATCTTCTACCCAGAAAATCGGATCATAATTGATTCGCTATCATGAATTTCCAAATTTTGACGAAAGAATCATCTCCGACCCCGTAAACTCCCAGATACCATTTTTGAATAGCATAACAATGACAAAACTCATCCGCCAAATTGGTTCCGCCATCTTGAATTTCTAACTATAGAAGGAAGAATCATAATTTCCGACCCAGAAAATACCCAGATACCAATTTTGAATAGAATCAGATCATAATTACTAAACTCGTCCGCCATATTGGATCCGCCATCTTGAATTTCCAAATTTTGATGAAAGAATTATAATCTCCGACCCCGAAAACCCCTAGATACCAATTTTTAATAGAATTGATTGATAATTACAAAACTCGATTATCTGGCAATGATTCCAGATTTATCCCCACCATTCGCGATTCCATTCATTTATCCGTGTTTGGCGTTAAGGATTGTTGGCTAATATTTGTGTGTGTGTGTATGTGTTAAACAGAAGTAAATATACACCAGTTCCTGCCAATGGAATTCGCTATCAGTCTGAGGTCAAATCCCACGCTATGTCCGATTCGGGTAGTTTCGGAAACAACTGTGGATTTGGATGGAAAACTGACATTGTCCTATCTAAGTAGCGTAACATTTATTTATTTTGTTCCACGGTATATTTTGATTGAATATAACAATGAATAAATAAATGACTAAATGTATTGATGAATGAATGAATAAATGAATATTAATGAATGAATAAATAAATGAGTAAATAAATGAATGAACAATTTCAACCTAATTTCCTCACCGACAACGCTTTGCTGATGATGTTGACAGGAAACCTGCCCGGCTGGAAGACCTGCTGCAAATAGAACTGCCTCGGGTCGCTCTCGCCGTCGCTGTCCGGCGCCCTGTTGGCGTCTGGCAGCGTCTCGAGCACCACGGGGGCCCAGCTAGACTTGGCTCGAGTGGGCCCCGCTCGCAGGGCCGCAGTGAACACGACGCATTCGCCGTCTTCGCACCGCCATGCGGACCACAATCGGTTCGTTTGCAGGGCGAAATCGATCAGATCATTCTAAAAGGGAATCGTACTATTTATCTACATGGTCCTTCGAACCGGATCATGTAGGTTTTGCCAACAGAAATATATATATATATTTATTTGGTTCTTTATTAATTTCTCAATTGTAAATTCTGTGTATTCGAAGGATGAACAATAATAGTTCCGTCCTCGCACCGCTCCGCCGACCATAGTCGGGGTGATTGGCAGGGCGAAATCGATCAGATCATACTGAATGGTACCATAATTGTTCCACACGGTCCTTCGAGCCGGATCATGTAGATTTTGCCTACAGAAATATGGGACTGGTACCCACCTAATACAGCTAGTGTAGTAGTTAGATAACAAAATTATATGAATATTTTTGATATTTTAGTCTGACATTGAAGGTTCCTTGTCACTTTCTCAATTGTAAATTCTGTAGTATTCATGACAACATCGCCAAGTGTGTATTCAAAGGGTGAACAATAATAGTTGCGTCCTCTCACCACTCCGCCGACCACAGTCGGGTTGTTGGCAGGGCGAAATCGATCAGATCATTCTAGAAGGGAATGGTACCTTTATTGTTCTACATGGTCCTTCGAGCCGGATCGTGTAGGCTTTGCCTACAGACATATGGGACTGGTACCCATTTGATACAGCTAGTGTAGTAGTTTGATGACAAAATTATATATTTTTGATATTTTAGTGTGACATTGAAGGTTCCTTATCAAATTCTCAATCGTAAATTCTGTAGTATTCATGACAAATCGACAACTGTGTATTTAAAGGGTGAACAATAGTTGCGTCCTCGCACTGCACCGGCGACCACAGGATGGTTGGCAGGGCGAAATCGGTCAGATCATTCTAGAAGGGAATGGTACCATTATTGTTCTACATGGTCCTTCGAGCCGGATCAGTTGTTTTGCCTACAGAAATATGGAACTGGTGCCCACTTAATACAGCTAGTGTAGTAGATTTATAACGAAATTATATATTTTGATATTTCAGTCTGGCAATGAAGGTTCTCTATAAATTTCTCATTTGTAAATTTTGTGGTATTCATGACAACATCGCCAACTGTGTATTTTAAGGGTGAACAATGATGGTTGCATTCTCGCCCACCCCACCGACCACAGTCGGGTGGTTTGCCGGGCGAAATAAATCAGATCATACTGGAAGGAAACTGTAATATTATTATTCTATCTGGATAGTTTCAATCCTTGGTTCTTCCGTGCCAGTCTCATTTTTGCATAATAATGTTGGTCCTTCGAGCCGGATCATGTAGTTTTTGCATACAGAAATATGGGGCTGGTTCCTACTTGATAGAGCTAGTGTAGTAGTTTGATAAGGAAATTATATATCTTTGATATTTTAGTCTAACATTGAAGATTCTCAATTGTAAATTCTGTATTATACATGACAACTGTGTATTTGAAGGGTGAAAAATAATAGTTGATCACACACCACAGTCAGTTCGTTGGCAGGGCAAAATCTATTAGATCATTGAAGAAGAAAATAGTTTGGAGTCTTGGTATATAATCTTGTGAATGTAACCACAATATTTATTAAATAGGATGTCCTGATTGAATGAAGATCTGTTAATCATCAGCATATTTGGAGATAATGGAATATTTCTTACTTCAGGAGAATGAATAGTGTCCAAGCGATCTATTGTGATCTCTTGTCCCCTAATCACAGGACTCAAAATATGGAATTGACAACCTGTTGACAAGCTCATGAAAACAGCCAAGATACTTTCTGTGCTGTTACCATCCACTGCTTTTCTCAAAGTGGCTAAAACAAATTCACTTAGTTGACAATCAGATATTGAAGTAAATAAGAAATACCTGTTAATACTCCATCTCTGGAATGATCACCAGTTTTTTCTAAAATGTCTATGACAGCAACACACTGCCCTTTACTACATGACCAGAATTTCAAATGACCATCTCTACATAGAGTCAAAACATATATTTCATAATCAACCACATAAAATAAAAGACTCACTACAGTTTCACTATCAGAATTTCTTGCTCTGAAACAAAAAAAAAATGAAGTGAGGTCATTACCATATAATACCTATGGATATAATATGGATCTAAAATCTTTTCTTTTAGTTATGTATTAAACAGTAATAGGATATAAACAATTCAAACAATAACATGAGCAAAAATAAAGAGAAATCAGTTCCAGTTAAATTTTCTTGATTTTCCATTTCATTGCAAGTTTGAATACCTATTACCTACAGGGTGTTTCAGAATGTTGCATATGATTGTTATGAATAGATTTTGACAGTTTCAGACTGACTTATACAAACACAAGTAAAATCATCAAGAAAAAGAAATATTTGATCAAGATTCCTGACCTGAACTTTTCTGCAAGGCCTGATAAAAATCTTGGCATCAAAGATTCCCCTTTCAGCTCTGTAGTAGCTACTTGACCATCATCTGGATTTTGTTTGATGAGCAATAGCTCAGTGGAAGGATATGCCAATATGAAGAAAGCTTCTTCAGTCTCTGGAGATAAATAAGAACTGGCCAAATTTGGCAGCTGATCACCTGTAAAAATCATGTGTTACAAACAATGTTCAAGAGTTCAAGTAACTAGTAAGTAGCACTCACCAACTGTACTAGGATTGTTAAACACATGGAAAGTAATTGGGTTCCTAGTATCAAGTGAGGAAGCTTTCACAAAAATTGAAGGGGCACCTAGATCAGGATGTATACCTAGCAACTCATCCTTAAAGCAATTCAAAATATAGAAATCTATAGGCTCAACCTTTTCATATAATATCTCACCTGTCTATGGAATCTATCTGGATGAGGAAATATCAATCTATGAACACTGCAAACTGTTGGAACCAGTACAATGACATTCTCATAAGTCTCATGTAAGGATACACCATCTAATATAGGGGTATCAGTGAATCTATATCTCACTCTGTTACCTGTTAGGTTTATATCAAGACTGTGTTCTACTAGTTCAAGTACATCATAATTTATTCTCCTGCAAAATAAAATATTGCAGATTTGAAATAAACTACTCCAAATAATGTACTTACCAATAAATGAATCTGTTTCTAGTATGGTGTTTAGTGGAGTCTTCATAGCAGAATCCATTGGCCTTTTCTGCTACTTTGATATCTTGTAGGGTGCTTTGTGTACCGCCTAAAATATAACCTCAACTGAGCCTTTCGGTTAGATTTCTTCGAATAATTACCTGTGGTGAGTGTTATTTCTTTCCAATTATCAGAGATGGATTGATCGGGGATAACCTCACGATAATTAAGTGTAAATTCGGTCATTTTTTCGGGAATGAAACAAGCCCATTCGTTATTTTTCAAAATAAAAAGTATAAATACTTGGCAATCGTAAACATCACCTCACATTTTCTATTTCTTCTTTTTTATTTGATGTTCGGCTTCAATTTCCATAAGCCTTTTATCCATAACCAGTTGTGAATATTCACTCCCTTGGCACTAGCTTTAAGGGTTATTTGAATTTCATGTACACTGCCTAGCATTGCATTTGAACTACCAATACCAATATGACAGTATGACATATGACAGGAGACAAGTGAACTTGTAAACTAAACATCTAACATTTAACCTCAGTTTTACTTTTTTTGGTAAAATTTTTTTTGACTTGTCGGACTTTTTGCTTTTCCACAACTCATTGTGTATTACCAAAAAATCAAAATGGTTAAAGATTTTAAATTAAGTACGACTCTTTTCGGTCACTCTAAGGACATCAGATCAGTTACCGTTACAGAAAGTAATGATATTATCAGTGGTTCCAGAGATAAAACTGCAAAATACTGGAAATATGACCCGTAAGATCTTTTATATGAAATATTCAGATACCATTAGACCTCAATATGTTATACTTTTAGATTGCACAATACCTACCATGAAGTGATGACTTATAAAAGTCATGAGAACTTTGTAGGTAGTGTTTTGTATTTAGAGCCTTCTACAGAATATCCTGATGGACTAGTGGTTACAGGAGGCTATGATAAAGTAATATTCATCTATAAACCGGGAGAACCATTTCCCACATTCACTTTCAAAGACCATTCAAATACAGGTATCAATATCATTATTAATCACTATTATTAGTTACCATCAAAGTTATTGATGTTTTGTATGGTTTTGTAGTTTGCTGTCTTACCAAAGGGCTTGCTTCAAACAGCTTCTTGAGCTCATCATGGGATAACACTGCTAAATATTGGTGTTTGTCAAATTCCACTTCTAAATCCCTTCTCACATTTTCTGGTCATGAAGCTGCTGTATGGCATGCAAAACAACTAAGTGATGGTAAAATAGTAACTGCTTCTGCAGATAGAACTATTGGAATATGGTCTGAAACTGCCCAAAAGTTGAACACTCTTACTGGTAATTCAGTTATATAAAAATTCTTGAATAATCATGTTTTATTTGTATTTCAATTTTTTTCAGGCCATACTGATACTGTGAGGTGTCTTGAAGATTTCCCAGAACTTAAACAGTTCATGAGTGTTTCTAATGATGCATCAGTGAGAGTTTGGAATTATGAAGGGGAGAATCTGAATTGCCTTTATGGGCATACTAATTTCATTTATAGGTAGAATATTATTTGGAAATGATAAAATATGGTATTTTCACATTCCTTTTGCATTAGTATAGCAAGGTGCAGGGCTCATGGTTTGGACAGTTTTGTCACTTCAGATGAGGATAGGACTGTGAGGTTTTGGCAAAATGGAGAAAATAACAACACAATTGAGCTGCCAGCCCAGTCTATATGGACAGTAGCTTGTTTGCCCAATGGAGATATAGTTACAGGATCTAGGTGAGATCTAAAATTGTAAAAAAATATTGAATCAATGGTCTCTTGGTGACATTAACTTTAATGATTTCACTTAGTGATGGACTTGTCAGAGTTTTCACTCAGGATGAGAGCAGGGTAACAGTTGAAGCTGAGTTGACAAGATTTTCTGAGGAAGTGAATGCCTTGAAACAAACAGCTGTTCAAGAAATTGGTGGGGTTAAAGTTTCAGAGTAAGACAATTTTTGTTGCCTATGAGTATCATGGGTTGAAATTTTTTGTTAATCAACAAGAATTGAATTTTCCCAAGTTCTGAAAAAAAATTCAAACATTTCATTTATTTACATGAATTATTTTGTTACTGAAAAATTGATCATTGGCAAACTCTGGTATAATTTTATTTCAGTTTACCTGGTATAGAAGCTCTATATGAACCAGGAAAAAGAAATGGTCAAATGAAAATGGTTAGAGAAGGAAAAACTGTAGTGGCTTACACTTGGGTGGTTGATGGTGACAACAGTCATTGGGATAAAATAGGGGAAGTACTAGGAGGTACAAATAAAGATGATAGTGGAAAAACTATCTTTGAGGGAAAGGTGATTTTTTTTCAATTATGGTTTATGTTTCTTTATAGAAGGAATATGGACTTGCAGTTTTTTTTTTTTCTATATTATTTTAGTGATATTTTCAGTCATATGACTTCGTATTCAATGTTGATGTTGAAGATGGAAAGCCTCCAATAAAGTTGCCCTTCAATAAAGGGGATGATCCTTATAAAGCAGCACATACTTTTTTATCTAAAAATATGTTGCCAGCAGAATATCTTGAACAGGTACCTACATATTGAATATGGAAAATTGAATACTGATATTGCATTAGTCAATTTTTTCTTCAATAACTCTCAATTATATGAACATACAAATATTTAACTAACTAATTTGCATATTTTTGAAGGTAGTGGATTTTATTCTCAAAAATAGTAAGGACCAATTTGTTCCTCCTGTGAACACAGAATATCAAGACCCATTCACTGGTGGTTCCAGATACACCCCTGGTATAAGTGGTGGAAATCATGCCCAAGCTGGAGTCAATCTAGACCCTTTCACAGGTAAATCTAATTTTTTATGGAAGAGCAAAAATAGGAATAATAATTCCAAAGAATGCTTGAATGGAGTTCTTTTCTCTAGTAGATCTATTGTGAAGGAGTTGGTGATATGCTTGATCTTGGTCTATAAGTAATAATGATATGACATATTTACTGCCTTGATGTTTAAGAAACTATTCTCAAATTATGATTATTTGAGTAGTTTGAAAAATGACTTTTAATCTACTCCTAAGTGATAAAACAGTATGAAATAAAATATATAGAACACATTGCCCTAATCATCTTCAGTGAACATGATTTGTGAAATAATATATTAATAGGAAATGATTTTCTTTTCCTCCTTATAATGATTTCTCTATCACACCTAGGTATGTTTAATCTGCTTGAAATGTTTAATTTGCTTTAAATGCTAAAAAGTAACACTCCAAGGCGTTAGTATATCTAGCGGGGTCCCAGAGATATATCTCCTTTAGCTAAGTATCTTAGTGCTCCATATTACTATCATCACACCATTATACACTAACCAGCAGAAAAAATTGGCTAGAAGATGTATCCAATTTGTTCACTCTCAAACTTTGTCAATTCTGGTATTCTGGAGGAATTTCACCAAAGCCTAGAATAATTTCATTATTTATTATGTTTTGGATGGATCTTCACACAATGGTTTTTGATTTGCGTCAATATTTCCTGTTTAAAAGATGATAGAAGTGTTATCTTCAAAAGTTTTGATTCACCCTTCAAGGAGATATTGAGACAATTTTTTCCCTCAAGATTGAGGTCAACTGTCAAGCTCGTTATTGACTACATCTAAAGGATCTGCTTTCTGTTTATTTTTTGGTATCAAATTTTTTTCGTAAGTAGTGCTAAAGGAAGCATTGGTCATTGAAATAAAACAAAATTGACGTGCATCAAAAACCATTGTTATCAATCACACTTTTTACAGAACGCTTAATCTCGGGGGTTTTTGTCTTTTCGTGTGATGAGCTCAGGCTTTGACAGATTAGACAAAAAGAATGATGGAGAATCGTTTATTCATACCAGTACTGGGTGTTAGGATCACAGTCCAGAATGTTTGGTGATACAATCTAAAATAGGAAACATGATAGCATTTATTGACATCCTGTACACACGAATATAGTAAAGAAAATAGCGGCCACCTACCTTAAATATGCAGGCACAGGCAGGGATAACAGTTTGGTCCCATAAGACCACTAGCAAATCGTCGATTAATCACTCGGAAATGCATATGGCTTCACACCGATAATTACACTGGTAGCCCTTAAATCGGAAGTTACAGGGCGACCAATTCGGGTAAATTTTATGTCGCCTACCATATATGATGATGAATCATATCTACCCTAAAATTGTGACCCAAAGCAATATGCCCCTTGGACTTCTATAGTATATCTGTATTGTGTCACAAGGGTAGAAAATGAACTACCAGCTAATAGCCGCGGGCTGCTGAAGCGTTTTCTGCATGTGTGACCAATGAAGTCAATATAAATACCTGGAAGGGAGACGGCCGGTTTCTACTCGTGTTGTTTAATGGCGGATTGGTGTCTAAATTGTCTTTTATCCAATGATTGGAGTACCTACTTGAGATCTTTTTTTTTTTTTTCGTCCAAACAGTCAAAAAAGTGAAGACAGAACTTCATTGTTATGTGAAATATCGCTAAATTTGGCGTGTTTTGTTTCTTCAAAAGGACTGAATTTGTAGGTGTGAATTGATTAATGTTGAAAAGATATTATGATTTTGAATTAATAAACAATGGTTATTCATATTGTGTTGCCTTTGGATGCAAAATAAGCAAGGCAAACAGAAATTGTTCTCCATGGGTAAGTTGAAAATTGTTCAGATTCTTAGAAAAACTATAGTAATTTATTTTCAGGATGTCTCTGTGGATGTTCATAACTTGGATTCTAAGGACGTTTTTCATATGGACATTGATTTGCTTACAACTTCCAGCTCCCATGTAAGTTTAAAAGTTTATTGAAAATGAAACACACAAACTGTTTCATTGGAGAAGGCCTATTCTATTGCAAAGAAAAGTGAAAACACTGTAACAAAAAGTGAAAAGGAGAATGACAATCTTGATGAGGTACTAAAAAAACATTTTGAAGGTAAAAACTACAAGTCAAAATCCTTAAACTCAAGAGCTACATCATTGTCTTTTCAGATTTGCCTTTGGAGCTTCTCCAGTAAGAAAAAAATGAAGGTGTACATCCTGGGCGACGCAGATATTCATCTTCAATGAAAAAATTCGTCCAAACATTGTACTTTTATTCACCTCTCATTCACCTTCTAATAGTGAAATGTTTATGGAAAAATAGGTACTCTTGAAAATTAGGCTTAAAATAGACCTTAGGTACTCGATACCATTCAAGAACCTCTTTTCAAATTTTTTCTATCGTTTCTCTATTTCTTCTGATAGTGCTGAGACATTGAGCTTCGCTCGCCCTATGCATTATATTGTGACATTTGAATGAGAATATATAATTTCAATGTTGTATTCATTTTTCTTCCTAATCCTGTAAGAATAAAAATGGAATTTCACTTTTGAGTCAATAAAAAAATCAATAATTATTTTCAAATAATAATTGATTGCAACATTATCCTTTTTCCTAAATTATAAAAAGATAGGTATCCGTGACCACTGCGGGTTGCCTGAACAATATTTTTGCCTCACTCGTCGTTCACAGAGGATCCCTTCCAGGTGTTGATATTGAGTTCATTGTGTGTGGCACATAACTATTTTCCGCCTACCAGAAACATAATTGTTCTCTTGATTTCGAATCACACTGACGTTCAGTGAAGATTTATGTGAAACGTCAAAATACGCATCACGCAAGTGACAGTCAAAGGTGTCAAGATAGCGAAAAACTACAAAATCCTGTTATGAGTTTAGAAGCTCAAGGGACGATATACATTACTTTCGGTCACAATTTTAGGGTTGATATGATTCATTATCATATTTGGTAGGCGAAAAAAACTCATAAAAACACGATTTTGTAGTTTTTCACTATCTTGACACCTATGACTGTCACTTGCGTGATGCGTGTTTTGACGGTTCACATACATTTTCAGTGTGAATCTTAGTTCGGAATCAAGAGAAAAATTATATTTCTGGTAGGCGAAAAACAATTGTGTGTCACACATGCAGAAAACACTTGAGCAGCCCTCAACTATCAGCTACCCTCGCTTCGCTCGTGCAGCTAATAACCGCCGGCTGCTAAAGATGTTCTGCCCTTGTGGCACAATATACTATTTCTGGGCGTTTTTTTGCCGGTGAAGATGATGATGGCAATATTCATCTGATATGGTGTTTATGTTTTAATTCACTCCGTGTTTGGCGTTTGGGATTGATAGCTCATGAGTCTGAAACTCGTTATCCGTTCTTTAAAAGCCACGGAGATGTCTCCAGTCCCAGATTATTTCTAGGTGCCAGCAGTTATTCCACATCTCTCAGCTCCGCACCAGCCGCGAACCCGGCCATTTCGGGGGCCAACAAACCCTCGGCAGCCTCCTTCGGGGGCTTCTTCCCCATCACCGTCTACCGGTCCTTCGACGTGGGTGATCCCCAGGTCATTTTGAACAAGCTGAAGGAGTTCAACTCCCGTACCGGGGACGGTATAGACGGGGCGCAGGAAAGCGAGCTTGAGGAGGTGGTGAAGTTGTGCTCGGGTCCCCCGGCCGACGGGAACGCGCTGGACGTGCTCTACAAGCTGCTGGATTGGCCTGACGGTGAGTATCCGACGAGGGGTAGACAACTCCAGTGTAAAGTGTACACCGTAATCAATACTCAAATAATCAACTGTATACAACGTTTTTGGATGTATGATGAATTGATATTCATCATACAGGACGTGGAAAGAAATTCTGCCCAGATGACAGTGGTTATGTCAAGAAATTCTAATACTCAGATTTTAGTTCGTTATAGTTGTAGTTATATTATAGGTTCCTGATGAGGATCTGATATCCGAAATAAGTTTTACTCAAGTGGAGTCATATAACCTGTTTGTGAAAGATATAATTCCCATATCACTGATATGAATGATTTTTTTTTTGAAGTTCCAAGATCAGAGTTCATACAAGTATAATTCTTCTATATATTTCAATTTTCATACTGAACATATTGGTAAGTTATATTTTTATATCATAATACATCATATTATTCTATTTGATTTGAGAGATAATGTCAATTCTCAATATCAGAGGATTTTGATTTTTCATGATCTCTTTTTGGATATTCAACAGATATAATTCAATGTTCGACGTGGCAAATAGCCAGGAAAGTAGTTGTTTTCTGTTGAATATTCAGAATGATATTATGTGCATATCTTCATATATCTTTATATGAAGGAGAATGCAAATCCTCTACTTCAGGAGATTTTGTTTTCAAATTCTTATCGTGTGTGTTCAATAGAAGTAATTCAATATTCGTCGTGGCATATAGCCAAGAAAGTAGTTGTTTTCTGTTGAATAAACCGAGAAAGAATTAATATTTTCACCACATGGAGAATGTGAATTCTCAATGTATTTCTTTATATAATATATCTATATCCATTTTTTTTGTGTAATTTTTATAAATATATCTGAGAACATTCCTTTTCAATGTAGACAACGTATAATTAAATATAATCGAATTTAATCAAATACTCAAAATTTAATCAACAACATCTCAAATGTAATCAACAAGTCTCAAATGTAGTCCACCTCTCAAATGTAATCAAATTGTCTCAAAAGTAATCAAATCACCTCAAATGTAATCAAATCATCTCAAATGTAATGAGAATCGTCTCAAATGTAATCAGAATAATCAAATCCATGAGGAAAAGTCTAGAAAGTAAAGTCATGCAATCATCAGATATCAGACTATTTGGATTATTTACCACCAATTACTTTATTTCCCTTGGTTCTCATGATGTTCTCTGAACATTACAGGATATTCCTTTTCGTGGAAACCAGAACATAAAAAAAACATCTATTTCTAGACAAAAGTTGTGTTCATTGGTTTTCTAGCAACTGAACCGAGTTCAGCTTGAACGAAGTTCCTACTCGTTTCTACAACCTGCCCTTTATGAGCCATAATCATCCCGATTATTGAACAAAAATAGAAAAAACTCAAGTAAGCCACTTTAAAACAATTTAAATGTCAACAGAGGTGACGTCAAAATTGCTACACTGTAGAACTTTTGGTGGAAAAAGGGGTCTAACCTCCAATTTTATTTTGTGATCCCTTTATTTTTTTTATTGGTGCCATTCGATAGTATACGTTGAGCTTTCTCAGGGTTTGAAATATTTGCACGTATTGCAATGCCACCCCATAATATACATGATGTGTCAGTTTGAAATGAAGTAAATGGGTATATGAACTTTTTCAAATCGGTTCAGGCTTCTTCCAATCGGTGAACATGCATAGAAAAAAAGATTCCGACGAATTGAGAACTTCCTCCTTTTTGAAGTCCCATAAAACGGGTATTAATCAACATTATTGTGGTGTTGTGTAGCGATACAAAAATGCTTCGCCAAAACTTCTCGATAAAATTTGGCAGTAGCCAACTTGATATCAGATGATCCACGAGATGGCGAAGGTGAAACGTCCTAATTGTCAAATAACGAGTGCTGAAAGAATACTAGTAGGAATAGACAGATTATGCTAAACAAATTAAACATTATCATCAGACATAAATAAACATATACTCTCTAATAATTTTGAAAGGATTTCTTATCTCTTGCTTTCTCACCATGTATATTCCAATTATTTCTTGCAGATGTAATTTTTCCTGTTTTGGACGTCATAAGATTGGCCGTAAGGAATAAACTCACCAATGAAGTGATCGCAAACATGAATAACGGCATCATCATGGAGAAATTGAAAAGCTACATCAGTCCTACCTGTGCCATAGTGAATAACATGGTCGTCGCCCTTAGGACCGTCTGTAACCTGTGTTTGCATGAAACAGGGGAGACTTTGGTGTACAACAGCAGATTTGAAATATTGGAAAATATCACTTCTTTAGGGCAATTGAATAAAAGCTGCCAGGTTTGTAATTTTTGTACTTTTCAAAGTATCATTTGGACCGTTCTTTTGTCATGCTCATGCTACTAAAAAGTGATGTGAGCAATATTTTGATGTTCCTTGTTTAGAGCAATTGATGATTGGGTGTGTTCGCCTGGAGCAAGTTCAATGATCACATAAAACAGGATTTGTTAGCCCCGCGAATTTTCAGGGAGCAGAAAAATCAAATCAAATTGACCATGCTGAATGACAAATGAAAACAAAGAAAAATGCAACAATAATGAATAAATATACCGGTTTGTGTCCATAATAGGTACCTGATAAGACCTTAACTCCATCCACCACCCCACAACAACCCCCTAAACTCCCCCACCAACACCACCAGAGTTCATTTTTGAGATTTTTTTGCTAAATGAGATTATACTGGTTCTAGTCGCTGTTAGGAATTATATTCAAGAGATTTTTTGTGTTTTTAATGAAATGCATTCATAACAATGATATGTATAATGTACCTACTCTTTGAAATAATTTATTTATTGGATTACTTAATCACAAAACTGATTCCGGATTGATTTAGATAACACTAAAATAAATACTCACAAGTTGATAAATTGACCACAAGACTTTTGTTTTCCTGTTCCGAGTTTTCACATCTGATGATAAGATATTTTTTTCAAATATCTTCCTAACGGCTGAACCAGCAAAGATGAGGATTTGTATAATTATATTACATCAACTCATACATCTTTTAGGATAGGGAAGATGCTTTACCATGAACAATAACTTTGCCATGTGTATTTGTATCTGAAAAATGTTCCAAGTATCCCATTCTACAGTACCAGTATTTCACTTGAAGAAGCTACTGTATTAGCAAGACATGTTTTGTGTGATTAAGAATTTCCTAGAAATCTTATATCACTTGTGAATTTTTTTACATTAACAGAATTTTTTTTCAGGTGGCTTTATCAACTTCTCTTTTGAATCTAACAATCCTAACTATCAAGAATAATGATGAAATAGGTTTCTCCATATTGGCTCAAGTGTTACCAGATATCCTGACAAAGTTGACAGATGCAGAGTCACAATTTAGAGCCTATGTGGCTTTGGGGACCTTAGTTACTTCTGCAAATTCCCATCGGCAAGAAATCAAGGTGAAAATTGGCGAAAATGCTAGGTTCCTCACCACTGTGCAATTGCATTCTTTATCAGGACAAAACGAGTTGGAGAAGAAAAGAATGAATTGTGCCAAGCAGTTATTGAATGTTTTATAGATAGCTTTTTCTAAATAATAAGCAGTACTTGTTGTATTCTCACCACAAACAAAACTTTGGTGGAATGATTTTTTTTCATGCTGAAGGTATGGCATTATTTATTGGCATCCAAATAGATATTTTTGTTTATCTAATGAAATGTATGATAATGATATCAGAAATTTGTCAATCAGTGAACTAAAAATATTTTATTTTCATTTATTTACAGTTACTACAAACAAAAAATAAATCAATTTTCTGAAGTTGCTAGTTCTTTTTGTTGCCTGACTCTCAACCTTCTTTCCCTTTCATATTCTTTCATCCTTATCAAATAACTGAAAAAAAACAAGATATACATACAAAGGACATAATTATAGATGTTGATAGAAGTAAGTCCTAGTATTAAATAGTATAGAAAAAATACTTACTCTTCATATTTGCAATTAAGATATGCATGCTTTTCATGTCCACATTTTACAACAAATGGGAAGTTATCTTTCCTGCATGCCATGAAATTCAGTAACAAATGTGCACAGTAGTCTCGGTCCTCCAATGGCAATTTTGCTGACTTCATCTCGGCCTCCGTTGCTATCATAACTAGAAGAGATCATTTTTGAAAATAGGAATCATCCAGTTATCAGTTCCTACCTCTTTTTTTGCGCCCATTTTCAAAACCCATCAAAGGGTCAAATGTAGGTTCCTCTAAAGGGCTAGGAGTTATTTCAGGGTAGAAATACAAGTTGAATCCACTTTGTGGAATATTTCCCACTGCATTTCCCATATTACTGTAGAGCAAATTTACTTTTGCTACAATTTCAGTGGATTTTCCTCAAAAGCCAAATGAGGTTATGTTATGTAATTTTCTATTTTCTGCTGTCAGATCACTTTGTCAGGTTGTCAGTTTTTCCTTTTGACAACAGAAGGTTGGTAGAATAATGAAACTATAATATTTTCAGTTCTACCAACCTTCGTATTTTTCCTGTGCGCCATGAGCGCCATGACTTTCCAACAACTCACTAATAACGTACGGTGCGCATCTAGTGCGCATAATTTGGATTAGCGATTGCCGTTTTATTACGTCACACTCGTCAGTTGTCGTGACACTTGACTGACTTGACTTGACAGTCAGAAAATAGGAGGTCTGCAGATAATTATACAGGAGGTCTGTGAAGTGAGGTGTGCTCTCGCTGCGCTCATTCGGTAATTCGGTTTCGGATACAGATATAAGATATAAATAAACAAATACAGTTAATTAGTTATAACATATAACATCTGTGATACGTGGTGCATGGTGTTAGCACGAGTTTGTTGATAGGGTTTCGGGATTACCATAATAATAATTATTGAATCATGTTAACAAGTGTTGAAAATATTGTGTTTACTACAACATTAGTTCTCAGTTTATTTATAGGTAAGTACCTAGGTATTATTTCATGAATAAAAATCTAAATCGATTTTCAAATAAAACTATCGGCACAGAATATTCTGTGCTATCGGCGAGTTAGAGAATTTCTCTCGAATTGATGGTTGCATAACTCATGAACTTTGTGGTGAAACGTTTATATTCTGGATTTATGGGAGTTTTCTCAGTTTTCACCACATAACTGTGATTTTCACTTTTCAGAGATATCTGAACAATGGAACAAATAACCTTGAATTGCATGTCTTGTATGTTTGATAAATAATACACGAGATAATATATATTGCCATCTAAATATGCTTGTAAATAACTATTAATTGCCACAAGGTAAACAAAAAGGTAGGTCCTGCCACAGGTTGCTGTGCTCCTGCCCTGCTTCTCAAATCTCAAGTTTTTCGTTTGAAATATCCTTAATTTATTTAGAGCAGTTTATAAGGGTGTATAGGGACCTAAAATTGCCAGTGGCTCGGGTTTATTATCCTATATACACGGTGATTCATAACATCTGTTACATTGAGACTATGGACGGATTGTTTGGACCAAAATATGGCGATTGGACCAAATATGCCTCAATAAAATATTGCTGTTATAAAACATACAGGGCGTTTCATTCGAAAAAGTATTGACTTTATAGTCTACAATATACAGTGTGGTCATTTAAGTGTGCAACATATAGGAATCTTTTTAATGAATTGCTCAAGCAAAATACTGACAGTGCCACAGCCGTCTTCAATTGAAGAAAATGAATCTTCCTACTTATTCTATGTCCATGGACAATGATCACGCATTTATTTCAACCCCAGTTTTTGAAGGAATATTTTTTTGGTAGGTTACGTTCGGCCCAATTTGATTGACCCAATTTGATTGACCCAATTTTCGATTCGCCCAATTTTCGATTCGCTCACCATCTCCGAATATACCCTAACGAGACAAATTTATGGTTTTTTCCACGAAAATGAAGAAAATTATCAAAACAATTCAGGATACCAAAATGTTGTATTTTTAGTTGGTCAATAGGTTATGAAGATACAGAATTCAAAAAAATCAGTGGCGCACATTTTATTGACAATAATATCCGGTAGGTTGCCCACCAGCACGCCACTGGATTTTATAATTCCAATTGAAATATGGCTATATCAGCCCCTCATGACAAAAAATATCATTGCCAAATTTCAAGAAAATCGGTGGAAGGACATTTGAGATATTCATAAAAAAAACGATCTTTTTTAAAGGTTTCAACACACTGTATGTTGAAAAATACGGAAAAATATGCCTTTCCGGACCCACGTACATATATGCAATGAATTCTTATTTTATCATGTAGAATAACCCCTTGATATTTTGCGCAAAATTTCCGGACTCTCTGTATATATGTGCCAAAGCGTTACCCACAAAGACATGTGAAGACATTTTGTATTTTATCGAACGGTGCACCTGTGCGAATCACTAGCTTGAGCCAAATGATTGAAAAATTCTACTTTCCTGTGCGGTAATTTTACGACGCGTCTGAACTGCCATCCTTGAAAAACTTTTTTTTTTCACGAATATTTGCCTCATTTACAGTTGCAACTGTAAATTAGCACTAATTTACAGTTGCAACTGTAAATTAGGCAGAAGAAACTTTTTTTTTCTTTCTAAATATCGCCTAATTTACAGTTGCAACTGTAAATTAGGGAGAGAAAACTTTTTTTTTCGAAAACCTCCTAATTTACAGTTGCAACTGTAAATTAGCACTAATTTACAGTTGCAACTGTAAATTAGGAGATATTTTGAAAAAAAAAGTTTCTTCTGCCTAATTTACAGTTGCAACTGTAAATTAGAACAAGAGAACTTTTTTTTTCTACACATCTCCTAATTTACAGTTGCAACTGTAAATTAGAGTCTCACAGTCTCAGTGCTCACAATTTCTCACCATACTAACAGAAATAGGCAGCGCAGCTTTCATTCTTCGATGGCGATGCGCTTTCAGAACAAGAAGTAACACTTTATTGCTTTTAGTAAAATTTTACTCATTTCTGACTGTTTGAGCTGCAATAAAGTGTTACTTCTTGTTCTAAAAGCGCATCGCCATCGCGTGCTATCGAAGAATTAAAGCTGCGCTGCCTATGTCTGTTAGTCTGGTGATAAATTGTGAGCACTGAGACTGTGAGACTCTAATTTACAGTTGCAACTTTAAATTAGGAGATGTGTAAAAAAAAGTTCTCTTGTTCTAATTTACAGTTGCAACTGTAAATTAGGCAAATGTTCGTGAAAAAAAAAAGTTTTTCAAGGATGGCAGTTCAGACGCGTCGTATAATTTGCACTCAATTTCGCGATTTGATAACGAGGTGAGAATTATGCCATCCGATACCAATTGAATGGTAGATCTCCTGTGCCACCCCTCAATCTGAGCCAAATACAGCGATTTATTTGCTGCTATTATTCCGGACATCCTTTCCGAGATCCATTCGTCATGTGATAACGAGTTTAAACAAAAAGCATGGCGATAATGTCACCTTTGCGAATATCCTGACGTCCAGTGATCCAAACTGATCCAAGTTAGTGGCAGAGCGTCAATATTTCCGAGAATATTTCGCCCCCATCGAAAGATAATACCCGATGGACCATTGTATTGGATCAGTTGTCGCGGCACGTTTGGATATTCGCAAAAGGGGACATTATCCTCTTTCATTTGCTTTTTGTTTCAACTAGATTTCACCTGACGGAAGTATATCCAAAATAATGACAGCAAATAAATCAATGTGCCGTGGATTTACCCACGATTTACCTTGAGAAGTGGAACAGGTAGGTTTTTGAGATCTACCATTCAATTGGTATCGGAAGGCATACTTTTTATCTAAATCATTTTGCTCAGGCTTGTGATTGGCACAGAAATGTACTTTGGGACATATTTAATTTCGTTATCAGATGACGGTCGATATCAACAACCGGCTCTTGGACATTCCATTCATGATAATTTGATTTCCATAGCGTTTCTGGCAGTAATTAATGTTCAAAATCTGTCATGTTCGTTTGGAAAACTCCGAAGAAATGTCACTCAGTGTAGTTCAAGTTACGGTTTAGGGCTTTAGGCTCGTCTTCAAGTACAGTATGTCCAGATTTCGATGCTTTTGCATGATACTTCAGTTATCTTTGGAAATAGAACCTTGCGGTTTCCGCGGTCCTGTATCCCTTTTTTGTGAAACTCAAGATGGCCTAATCAGATTTCGCAGGACTGTTTCCGTTTATGAGATACAGGGCGATTTTGAAAATTTATACTTTTTGGACCCCCTCTATATCTACGAAGTTTATCAGCGAAAATATCAAATTAAAATCTTAACCCATAGAGAATTTTGTGCAGAATTCAGTGGCGCACAAAAATTTTTTTTTCGGGGTGTGGTTTTGAAAATACGACTCAAACTTATGATTTTTTAAATTGAACACCCTGTATTTTATAGGCTCATTAAATTGCTTATTTTTTTCCCTTCAAAATTATATATGATGTATGAATATAACATCTTCAAAAATGTTAAAAAATCACTAAAACATTGAATTTTAATAGTGGGCTATGGGTTTTTCGAGGGATTTTCATATAAAGAAATTTAAAATTGAAGGAATGTTTCCTTTGATTGTTCCATGAAGGGGGAAATAACAATTTCAGCACTAATTAACTTGCAATACACAAGACGCAGATATCTGATATCCACAAATATATAGTAATGAAAAGTTTATAATGTAGAATAAGCACCTGATTGAATATTTACTAAAACAATTGAATTTCGGAATTATTCAGTGATTTATTCATTGAATTGTTCAAATTGATGTCCATTTTTCATCACAAACTTTCTCATACATATTAATCATTGAAAGATGTCTTTGTAATTCCTGGAAAACTTCCTCTGTTGTTGCACAAAGTTCTTCAAGTATGTTGGGCCACTCACTGTATTAAGAAGTATTGAGAAAGTTTGTCAACTGTATGTTGGGGAAAATGGATATCAATTTGAACATGTCAATGAATAAGTTACTGAATAATTCCGGAATTCAATTATTTTAGTATATATTTAATCAGGTGCTTATTCTACATTATGAACTATTTATTTGTTGCTATCAGGTACCCAAGTTTAGTGTTTTGTTAATTAATAAGTGTTGATATTGGTTTTGACCTCTCCATGGAAAAATTTAAAGAAATATTTCTTCAATTGGAACGTTTTTCATAAGAAAAATCCATAACCAACTATCAAAATTCAATATTTTAGTGATTTTGAGCAATTTTGAGAATTTTATATTCATTCGTTATATATCATTTTGGAGACAAAAAAAAAAGGAATTTAGTGAGCTTATGAAATACAGGGTGTGCCATTTAAAAAATCATAAGTATGAGTCGTATCCCCAAAACCATACCCCGAAAAAAAAATTTGAGTGCGCCACTGGATTATGCGTGAAATTTTCTATGCGATGAGATTTTTATTTGACATTTTTGTTGAGAAACTTCGTGGATATAGAGGGGGTCCAAAAAGTATAAATTTTCAAAATCTTCCTGTATCTCATAAACGTTAACAGTCTTGCAAAATCTGATTAGGCTATCTTGAGTTCCACAAAAAAGTGGCACAGGTCCGCGAAAACCGCAAGGTTCTATCTCCAAAGATAACTGAGATATCAGGCAAAAGCATCGAAAACTGGACACACTGTACACTGATTTCACGAGATTATATTTTCGGCGAAGTTTAGGTATGATCCCAGTCTCGCATCCCAGGGTAAATCAATCGACAAACGAAGTAACTTTCATCCCTCATAGGGGATACGATTTTTTTTATCGCTTGGAGCACGAAAGTGAATCCCAATAATGTTCAAAGAACACCGTGCTTACCTAGGGAGGATATGGTGAGGAGGTAGGTATTGGAATTTTTCTTGAACTCTTACCTAGTTCAATATGGACACTGATCCAGAAACGCTCTTTGCAGGACTTGCAGGCTTTCAGGACTTGCCCTCGGACTTGAACTTGCCTACACCTCCTGTAAAGATTACTTTCTGGACTTAATACTCAAATTACTATTAAGGCCGAATAATTATTCTGGAATTTCGCGAATTTTGAATTACTCTTAATGTCTACAGCTCAATAGAACAGTATACAGAAAGAAGAGAAAATAATAATAACGATCTATGTTTCAGCCCTTACATCCGCCCAAAATGCCCCGACGGCGAGCCCCTTCGATAAACTAGCCGAACACTTTTTCTTCAAGTGCCAAAATCGCACGAAAACCACCGTGGCCTTCGACAAGCTCTACGCAGACTCCGTGGAATTCAAGACCGACCTCCAGTACGCGTTCAGGTACGTCCATCGAAAATATTCTTATCGTTAAAGAATTTGATGTCCCCAAAATAATAATCCAAAGAGATTTTCATAAGTAATATCACGATGTTCTGAATATTCTATATATATATATAGCTAGCGAATAGCTAACTAATAGCTAACGAATGAAAAACGATCGAAAAAAATAGAAGAAGAAGTAAAACTGGTAAACAAAAACATACATAACCACAAATACACTAGGAGCAGGAATGCAGAAGGTAGTTGGCTTCATTCTGAAAGGTTATGATTTTGTTATTTATGCATTGAAATATCTCGAATAGAGCTCGATCCTCAACGAAAATATCATTGAATCAATGAATCACTATCGGCTATATTCAATGATACTATCCTTCCTAATTTACTGCCATCGGTCAGAACAGAATGAAGCCGACACTCATGGCTCCTTCCTCTTGGTGTGCCTGTCAGTATTTTGAGTGGTGTGGACGGACTCGAAGTATTAGGCGCTGTTGCAAGATATAATCTGCAACTTTCCTAGATAACATATTGTAATATAACGATAGTGAAAAATTATAGATACTATCGCAAAATACCTTTATTAGTAACCAACTTCATTCAGCCAATGAGAGATTTATGGGTATTAGTCATAATACTTGAATAAATAGGATCGAAGAACCTTTTATACCCCACTGCTGTTATGATATTGTTATTATGCATTCAAAGAACAATTTCGGGAAATCGGAAATCTAGACATATTGATGATGTCGGCAACGTCGTAGTGGCACAGGGAATCGTATTTTAACTGTGTGTGAATGTGGGTTTTCTAAAAGTGCGTTATAGGAATGGTGGAGGAGCCAAGTTCCTCTTTTATTAATTTTTTTCTGAAGTGAAATTTGATCTTACGAAAAAAAGAAAAAATACGTATATATTAATTGTTTACAAACTTCACAGTGAGATAAAAATCTCAATATAATAAACGGTCACGGAGCATTAAAAACATTTATAATAAATGAGCGATTCATTCTGACAAGTACAGCCATAATTATTTTATGCCCAACTGGCAGTCTTTCGTTCACTATCCATCCATCCTCCCTCAGTATGCGAGATTATCCACGAACATCATAGGATTCCCTTCCGTGCGCTCCAATAGATGAAAAATTCTTTTGGCTCGTTTCGGCTACTTTTACACGGTGCCTAAAATTTCTTGGAGTGGTGTTTTTCAACTTCATTGAGGACTTTTCAGCTGCGAATTTATTTGCGAAAAATTTCCAGTTTCATCCCTACCAAGAAGTCGACTTTCTGCGACAGCCAGAAGAGGCAGCTGGAAAACAGGCTGGTAGAGATATCTAACGATCTCAAGCCGTGTTTGGCACCCCAGGAGCAATACCTGGCCAATTTCATCAGAGAGAGCTCAAAGGAGTTCTTGCATTTTTTGTGCCACAAGAACGGGGAGAACATCGACGGTGAGTGAGGAAAAAACATAATCGCTATCATGAAGCGAAATATTGGGCAAACATGTCAAAGCATTGGTACAAGATTTAATGAACATATTGCTCAGTTCAGATATAATGGGTTCGATAAATCAAGTGTGCTCAACATATTCTTGATAATAGTCATTCTATCACTTTAGATAATTCAAAACTTCTCAGATATTTGATGAACAGCAGGGAATGGGGAAGACCACTGAGGGAAGAAATCCGTGCAAACCTCTTTCAATCGACGAATCATGATTTACGTTTTATGTACAATCAATATTATAAGTTGAAGTTGAAGGGAATCGAATCCATATTGTTTTAAAATCAGCATATTTCATTCGATATTTCAAAAAGGCAAATATGATGGTGAAGCCGTGACGTATTAGTCCCGAACTGTAGCTATCCCTCTCTGATACCTCGTCATTCTGCAGTGTTGCAGTGTGATTGGTCAGTTCAAGGGCAATAGGCGTGTTGGAACTAAGACGTCGCATTAGTCACACCAATGAATTGACAAACATTCAAATGGCGCAGGAATTGTGTGTTTTGAAATGAACATTTATTCTTATTTATTTTTTTCATGGTCTTAGCATGGATGAAAAAATTCAAAATTAATTCACTTGTAGTTTTTCAGTATAGAGTTCGCGATAATGTCGTTTTAGAAAATCAGTGGTCTCCCCCATTGAACAGTTATTGAACATTTTGGGAAGTATTTATATTGATTGCATTCGATATATCATTCGATGAATCAAGATTCAGGACCCGTCTCTAGTTCCAAACTTTAGATTTACTTTGACACATTCATTGAAGCAAATACGCTTTATGAACCGTGAAAGCATTCGGTGTAAATATGATATCGCCGTTTTCTGAAATCACCCTCGGTGGAAATTCCTGGAGAATATCCCAAAAGATACTATACATACAGTGTGACCAATATAAAGTTGCTGGCGCATTCAGAAGATCATTCCATCAGCCTTCGAAAATTTTCAACAGTCATTACACAAGTGGTAGTAATTTTTCGATAATTTTAACTAGATGAACGAATCTTTGTGCTATAGAAATCTCACGAGTGGAAGGGTCCACAAGTGTGATTTCTCAGTCTATGGCCTATAGGCCCCTTTATGTATCCATTCAAACAAAGATGCAAACGTGAAAAAATCATCGCTGTAATTTGCTACTGACAAATTAACAGTCTGATACCAAATGATTGGCTAGAATTACGCATTGACATTGGTTGAAACAACGAAAACGTCACATTTTGACATGTGAAAAAAATAATCGCTGTAATTTGTTACTAACAAATTATCAGTATGATACCAAATGTTTGACTAGAATTGAGCATTGATATTGGTTGAAACCGAGGTTGAAACAATGAAAACGTCACATTTTGACATGTGAAAAAAAGAATCAGATATATTTAGTGTTATAGGTTGGAAATTCTACATGGTAATAATGAGTTCTCTATGTGACATTTCGTATTCGTAAAACCATCATCAACTTCATTTTTTTGATTCCAGATTCTGAAAGCTTTTTGCATTCCGAATACAACCATGTAATATGCAAAGTGGTTCAAATGTATTTTGACCTACTTTCAGCCATTAGTGCTTCATTTCATAATTTCAAAGAGAAAAAATATAAACAGTTGAACTTATTCTGCAGAAAAATTAATCGATACACTAATACCTTATAAACTGGTTCCAACTAATAGACTTTTAAGGATAATTATTTTGGAGAATCTAATTATTATGACAAGGAAAATTACGACTAAATGTTTATCTCCATATCCTCCTGTCCATTAATAAACCATTGCCTTACAAGTGACTTCTGAGGGATCTTTATAAGGTATACCATCTTTTCAAATGTCATGGAAAGGGATTTCCCTCTCTTCAATTTCTACCACTCCACTTTGAACACTATAAACATTTATAAAACTTTTTAGTTTTTTGCCGTGCGATATCAAGTTTTGTTTCGAGATTGTTTTCCAATATATTTGATGGATTCATATGAAAAGTATAGTTGAATTATATTGTAGCTGCAGCATTCAATTTTAGATGCCCTTTCTACGTGAATTTGTGGGCAGAGGTACTTCAGAACCGAGCTCAGGACTCTGTTATGGCGATACTCCTACTTAGGATGTGAATAATATTATAGGTATCATCAGATGTTATTCGTCGTTTTTTTTCATAGAATTCTTCCATCCGAGGTCAGCAGCTTGTCGCAGTGCCTTAGAAACAGATGGTTCTACTGAGATCGGAGTATGTTTCTCCAGAATTTTCAAACCTGCGTCTGGAACACCCAGCAAAAAGGAGCTTTGCGAGTGAGTGAAATAACTTCATCAACTTAGTAATAAAGAGCTCTTAAAATATGCAATAATATACAGGAGTTCCAAAATATTCCTAAAGTTGAAAAAAATCTAAATTTACCCCACCCTATATCTTTGTAATCAGCTGGACCCCAAGTATGGTAGATCGACGAAATCAGGTCTTCAGGTAGAATCTGAAAATGCAATAAAATTTATAAATGTTGTCTGTAAGAAATTTTTGAGATGTTAAACTGTTTTTCTGACATATAAAATCTACAGAAAAATTATGAAAGAACGTTCCTTGAAAAAAATTGAACAATACATGAAAAAGTTAAGTGGAGGTTCATAATATACATTATAGAAATTTCCTTTCCTGCGCTCCAAGAGATAAAAAAATACGTGGAGTCCTGTACCTTCGGATTAGGAATTTCACCTAACCTAGTCATATAGTATTTTGAATGAATGCCTGATCTAAATGGATCTCAAGGTCAGCTATTCGGGATCGCCAATAAATAACAGAGTCGACAAACACATGATGTCTGGTATTATTCAAATATTTGCATCAGAGTATTCACATTTTATGATCCATTTCTCTTTATATTTAGATTGACCTCTGGATTAAACTAGAGGCGCTCTCCGTTACGTCAGAGCATAGATTGTCAGAGGCTAGAAGCAGGGTTGGCATGAATTAATTCATATGAATTAAATCAGTGATTTAATTCGTGAATTAATTCCATTGACTTTTTTCGAAAAAGTCATGAATACATTCAAATTTTTAAAAATGAGACAAATTGCACTATTACCTTTGATTTTAACTAGTTTGAACTGAAAAATTCGATCGTATTTTGGCAAGACTTTGTTATTTCAAGCATGACAGAGATTTTTACCAACAGATATAATACAGTATCAAGTATCATCCGTAAAGTCCATAACATATGAGAACAGGTTTATTATCACAGCATCGATTTTTTTTCTCTCGGCGATCCATTATGCATATTCGATAACATGAAAATCGATTTTGACACATGTCACGTGATCACTCTGGTATGGTGATGAATAAAAATAATACTATAAAGCGACGAAAAGTGGGGTTAGATAACAAAATATTCATAAACATTTCTTATTAAGTTGCTATTCCACATTCAGTTGCGAGCAATTTTTGGAGGAGAATTGGAAATAGCTATATTTTTTCGAATATTCTTCAATTTTGTTACAATTCCCTTTTTTTTCTGACAGTAGTGATGTTGATGATGTACAAGTTGAATAGAATTCAATTTCATGCTCACCTAATATGGAGTTTCCAGTCATTATTTGAGAAAACTGAAAATAGCTATTTTTATTTTTTTTAATAACTTCATCTTCCCATTAAACTCCACTTTTACCATCGTAATTTTTTGAATTTGAATTTACCGCCATACCAGTGATCAGGTGACGTGTGTCAAAATCGACTTTTAAGTAGTCAGACATGCATAATAGATCCCCGAGAAAAAATGTTTCGATATTCTACTAATAAACTTTTTCTCCATGTGTTACTAACTTTATGGATGATACTGGATCTATATATGTATCTATTATTTTGTATTCTATCATTATTCTAATTTTGTTTTGAGAAAATGACATGTTATATTAGTATGTTATTCTACAAGATTTCTGAAGGGAATAAATACATAGTTTGTTTGTTTCTTTTTTTCTATAAAAGTCATGACTTATTCCAACCCTGGCTAGAAGACACTCATCTATTTTTTTTATATATCAATCTGTATACATTTATGAATTTTGCACTATCCTGGATCGAAGTTTTGGGCCTAGGTTGTCTATTTCTAAGGGCATTAACAGAAATTAGGAGAGAATATCCTAAAGAGTCTCAAGAAATTAACATCCCCCTCCTTGTTCAACCTACCGACAGTATACAGGGTGGCATTGAAATAAGTGCAAATATTTCATGCACTGAGAAAGCTCGACGTGTACTATCGAATGGCACTAATAAAAAAAATTGAGATCAAAATAAAATTTGAGGTTAGAGTCCTTTTTCCACCCAAAGTTCTACACTGTAGCAAATCTGACGTCACATCTGTTCAAATTTCAATGCGGTAGGCACAATCACGCGGAATTCAATCATTTGAATTGTTTTAAAGTGGCATACTTGATTTTTTCTCATTTTTTGTTCAATTTTTGGAATGAAATTTCTCGTTAATTAAAAGAATTAGAAAAAATCTGATATCATGGGAATATTCCTTAGACTGTATCATATCAATGTGCTGAATATGTGCACTTATTTCAAAAACACCTTGTATGTAAGATGCTTTTCACTTGCTTTTTTTATTCTTCTTATTTTCAGATCATTTTAAACCAATCACAACAAAAATGAGACTATAAAAATAATAACATAATAATGTGATAGACATATGACCTTGTATAATCTTGCAATTATTTTAATTTCGAGATTGTGATCTGTCAATTGAACCTCCAATTATCTTAATTTTGAACGAACATTTTTTTTTCGCGTTATGGCATATGCTTATCAGCCTGTTTTGCACAGCATATGATGCGAGCTATCCGGCATCCCAGAAATGTTTCATGATCATAATATCCATGTCAGTTCTAACGAATTTGAACCACGGATAGAATTCATGCAATTCAATTAAGGCTATCGGCGCCACCTATTTTAGTTCCAAGTGTGTGACCTAGCAGACAATAATTCATTTTGGCGAGTGGATTGTTTTATGAGTTGGGATAGGTCACTATGCCAGTCTGTACATACATTGTCGTTCTAAATAAAAACCTTGGAGGCGGGGTATTTTTATCTCATAGATAAAGAAACCCAAAGTCATCTCCATTTATTTGACGATCAGAGATCAATCACATAGAGTTACATGTTTCGGGCTTATATAAGCCCATCATCAGCCGAATACAAGATTTTAGTTCTAGAAAAACCAACAATGACATAGGATATAGATAAAATGAATACTTACTCACATGGAAATGAAAAAGTTGAAAAATTCGATAATTCAGAGTTCAGACAATAAAATGGCACAAGACACAGACGTATGCACCATGATCTGGAAAATAATGGTTTATTATCTGTTCACTGGGAAATATATGCAAAAATAGCCATTATTGACGATATCTTCAGTAGTGACCTTCCTATTTCAAACTGAGGCAGTCATTTGGTATGCTAACCCCAGCCTTAAACATTTTTCGTATTCCTGTCTAGATCAAACTTTTAGTCAAATTTGTGAACAGAACTTTCCCGTTTTGAAACATTTTGAGCTTGAACATTGTTCATAAAAAAAAGTGCGGGAGCAGTTTTTGCATGGGGACGGATAGAAGTGAAAACTAAGCAACTTGTCAATTGTATCGTCGATCTATTAGATTGTTATTTCTCTCCTCCTTTTTAGTTCCCAATTTTGACGAATGATTCATAATCTCCGACCCCGAAAATATCAGATACAAATTTGGAACACAATCGGATCATGATTACAAAACTCGTCCGCTATATTGGTTCTGCAATCTTGAATTTCTAAATTTTGACTATGGAATCATGATCTCCGACACCAAAAAACCTCAGATACAAATTTTGGATAGATTCGGATCATAATAACAAAACTCTTCTGCCATATTGAATCCGCCATCTTAAATTTACCAATTTTGACGAAGGAATCATAATCTCCGACCCCGAAAACCCCCAGATATAAATTTTGAATGAATTTCCAAATTCTGACGAAAAAATCGTATACCTAATTTCCGACCCCGAAAACCGATAAACGATACAAATTTTGAATAGAATCGGATAATAACAAAACTCGTCGGCCATATTGATTCCGTCATCTTGAATTTTCAAATTTTGATGGAATAATCATAATCTCCGACCACAAAACCCTCTAGATACCAATTTTGAATAGAGTCGGATCTTAATTACAATACTCGTCCGCCGTTTTTCATCCGCCATCTTGAATTTCGTAATTTTGACGAAAGAATCCTCATATACCAATTTTGAATAGAATCGGATCATCATGCCAAAATCCGCCATATATTGGATCCGCCATCTTGCATTTCCAAATTTTCACGAATTTTTATACTCATTATCCATTCCGGACCAATAGAAATGAAAAAAACCAAATATAAAAATTGGTCCAGCCGTTTTTGTATGCATGATCTTTAGTTGATGTTCGGTGGCATGGGAGATACCCTTCCGATTTCTTGCTATTCAGTGACTTGAAGGTGACGACACAGATTAACAAACCTTATTGTTAATCTGTGGTGACGAGGTGATGATGACGCGAAATCCAATGTTTTTCTTCACCCAAAAAAGTGCTGAACGCGCCTAATAGCTATTTATATATCAAGGGAGCAAAGGTATCCATTTCGGCGTGTGGAGTTTGATGCCTGACAAGTAACGGAGAGCATTCACAAATTTTATTTTATCCATGAACACATACAGAGAAGTGCACAAAAAACGGCCAGGATTGTAACTTTTGAATTATTCTAGATTGGGTTTTGAAAATTGGTGGGTAGCAATTATACCAAATTGCTCATTAATTGATGAAACAATTTTTCTTCTATCACTTTCAGTTTCACCGGAAACGACCCCAACTTCTGATTTTTGAATGGGACACCCTGTATTGTATTCCATAATTGATTAGGGATTATCATGAAGAATTCAACGATACCGGGTTTGATAGGGTTATTTCAAACGATTACAAAGATATTTGCGTTCGAAGTTTCCATATGCTCAATGGGTGTGAAACTTCTTTCTCTGTTACACTCATTGAGCATATATAAACTTAGAACGCGAATATCTCCCTAACCGATTATGGAATACAATACAGGGTGTCCTATTTAAAAATCAAAAGTTGGGGTCGTTTCCAGTAAAACCGGAAGTAATAAAACAAAAATTGTTTCATCAATCAATGAGCAATTTGGTATACTAGCTGCCCACCAATTTTCAAAACCCTATCTCGAATACTTACAGTCCTGGCCGTTTTTTGTGCACTTCTCTGTATATTTGAGAGTGTCATAGATTAAGAGCGTCGTTCTTAAAATTGTGGTTCACGCGGTCTATCTCTCGAGTCTTGATGCAAATCAATGTGTTAGTGGTTACATGATCTAAGGCAAGGTTACAATTGACAGTATTTGAATCGAACGAAAATGAATTTGACACTTCTGTGACATTGAATTTATTTCGTTTTATCGTTTCTTTAGTTTCGATTGAGTAAGTTGGGAATATGAGGAAGTGAATGAGATCATTGGAATTCAGAAAGGAAATTGTTGTTTGTTTTATAGTAGATAGTGATGGAGACACTGATTAGGTACACTCGTTTTCAGAAATGATGTCGCACATGGACGGTGTCAGCTCCCTTGATCACAGCTGCAATAAGAGCGCTTATACCGTCCAACCCCGACATGTTCGTTGACGACGAGTGTACTTGGATAGCACAGATCATATACGGAAACAAGCTAAAACCAATATATTATACCTCCCACGGGAGGTAATATTCCTCTATCAGTATACCAAATTTCAGCAAAATCGCATATTTATGCCGTTTTAAATTTATATGGAAAAAACAATTTAAAAATTGTAACTTCAAAGCCCTCTGGAGCCCAAACGATGCAACTTTGTACTAAGGTAATTTTACTCAAATCGACTTATTTTGTTCTAAGGAACATGTGGTATGTTTTTGTAAAGACCTCTTACAGACACCCTGTATATCGATCGCCTACTAGGTTTTCATTCAGAACGACAATGATTCAGAAAAGAAGAAACTAAGGTTAACCTGTTGAAGAAGATATTTTTAATAGCGTTATGAAAACGTATCATCATGAAATTCCTGTGGTTTTTGGTATTAGGTACCTTATTTGAATTCAAGCTGTTAAGTAATTTCAGAACAAGTAAACTCAGAATCTGTACCGACTAAATACAAAAAAATTATATTCAGACAATTAAAAAAAAAAAGTGAAAATTATTTGTTGGATACACAATTTAAAAATAACTATAACACTTTCATGTACAATTTCAAGTATCTTTTAAGGCTTGTAAAATATCATGAATGTTTTGTCAGTACGGAAATTTCAAAGCAAATGGCCACTTGAAAACCCATTAACAAGCTTAATTAATTTTCCAGGGACTCTCTCACTAATGTTACTACTTATGTGTGAGCCTGGGAAATGAACTAGAATGCATAACTATACTTTTTATTTCATTCCGATGTGAGAAATAAATAATACAGGGTGAGACCCACTCTTATAAAACCCACAAGTGATTTGAATACATTTTCGACATCAGCTATGATTTATTTTCAAATGTCGAAAATGGATTCATAAGTTCTCAATTAGGATTTTCAATCCTACGAATTTTGGTTGATATGTCATCAGCAAGAAATTTACTTTCTTTATGAATATTTCTGACAAATCGGACAATCTGCGATATCGTCAACAAGCTATGGAAGATTTTTGAGAGTTTTCGATTTGCCAGATCTACTCTACGATTTCCAAAATTAGTGTTATAACTTTTTTATAATGAATATTTTTCCATAAAATTTTGGGATATTCCAAATGGAGCGCTTCTAAATGAATAATATAATCAAAATTTCCCAAAAAAAATCTATAAAATTCTACCATTTTGATATGTAACAGATATTTTCTCTGTAAAGTTCAAAGCTGTGTTGTAGTGCTCTTTTAGCTGATTTAAAAAACAATTGAAATGTAGATTTCGTATGTTCCGGCCTCAATAATAATATTTTCTTGCATCTTCACAATAACAGATTTGAAATGATTTTATCTCACTATAAATCAAATGTATTTAGAATTTGACATATTATTATTTTCATTGCAAAATTTCACCTTAGATATTGCCCTTTTTTTGAAAAACAACAGATAACCCTGTATCTGATGAGAAATAAATTAACATAAAAAATTGCAAGAAAATATTTTTTTGAGGCAGTCAAAAATATTCAAAAAATGAACGCTTCTACTCATCATACCAATCCTCAACTATTATTGAACGTCCGGCCTAACCAAACTTGACCTCGTCAAAAGCAAACGCTCTAGTTCGACCGAGAGTTTGACTGTTAACCTCCCATCAATGAATAGCAAAAGATTCAGAAACACTTTAAAATTCAGTATTCCAGAATCGGTCTTCTTTTTTCGACAACTACCCAATGTATTACATACCGAGTGGTCCATTTAAGAGTATGCACCCTCGATATCTTCCAGAATTATTATTTTACAACAAAATGACGAAATAAATAATCCATATTTCAACCCTCTACTCCCCAGAGCAACCCCTTCAATAATTTGAATAAGGAATAAGGGTCGTGTTATACATCATTGCAATGGTAATTCAATTCTGAAACTAGCAGTGTAAAGTTTTTTGAATTCCAACAAGTCGTTCTCGAGATATTCGTGTTCAAATGGTATGTTTTCCAATTGCGAGTAACTGAAAGTACGGAATGAATTATTGAATGGTTATCAACAACAAATGTTCAAAATTACCTTCATTGACTTCCAGACAGTGGTAGAATCTATTTGTAAATTCCATAGACCTGTAAATTCCTTTCGCACATTTGAAATGTTTCTCTAGTTATTGCCTGGCATTCAACCCTAATTATTCTCAACTTATCGTCCAGATCATAGTAGATTTCGTTTCATAAATAACGGATTTCGGATGACCCCAAAGAAAAAAATCATTGGGTGTCATGTCCGGCGAGCGTGCTGGCCATTTAAATGGTCCTTCACGACCTATCTATTTGTTTGGGAAATTTTGGGGTAGCCATTCTCTAACCTGTGATACGGGATGAGGTGACACATTATCTTGTTGAAAATAAATATTATCTGCCAATAGATTTCGAATACAATCATCATAGAGGTCCGTAGAGGACCAATAGAATGGACAGCACGTCTGCTGGACCTGGCACGCAATGATTTCTTTCTATGAGGTCTTTTAGAATTGGTAATTTATAAAACGGAACCTACTGACCTCGATGATTTGGAGAGAAGAATAAGAACTGAATGCCAGGCAATATCAAGAGAAACATTCTCAAACGTATATACAAGAGGAATTTTCAAACAGACTCTACCACTGTCTGGGAGTCAATGGGGGTCATTTTGAACATCTTTCGTGAACACCTGTTCAATAATCTAATATTAACATTAATTTACTCACAAATAAAAAACATACCATTCGAACTGGGATATCTTGAGAACAGATTGTTGGAATTCAAAATACTTTCCACTGCTAGTTTCAGAATTGAATTACCTTCGCAATGATGTATAACACGACCCTTATTATTCACATGGGGGTAATTTTAAACATCTTTGGTGAATACCTGTTCAATAATCTAATATTAACATTAATTTACTCACAAATAAAAAACATACCATTCGAACTGGGATATCTTGAGAACAGATTGTTGGAATTCAAAATACTTTCCACTGCTAGTTTCAGAATTGAATTACCTTCGCAATGATGTATAACACGACCCTTATTATCTATTCAAATTATTGAGGGGGTTGCTCTGGGGAGTAGAGGGTTCAAGTATGGATTATTTATTTCGCGTCGAAAGGTGTCCCCCTCCATATGAAAATCGACCTGTTTCGTCATTTTTCTGTAAAATTATAATTCTGGGAGATATCGAGGGTGGATAGTCTTAAATGGACCACCCGGTATATTTCATTCCGTTTTCTATGTTCATCTTTCGATACTCATTTTTTGTATTGACAGTTGATGGAAATCCATCGAAATGTGAAAAAAGTTTTGCTTCTTCAATGGGCGTGTACACCTTAGTAGAACTTTTTACTCAAACCATGTTTATAATGATCCTTTTATACATAAATAATGATTGACGACATAATTCGATCGAAAAATTAACTGGAGTGTTTTATTTTTGGACATAAATAATAGTACCTTCTGAAAACGGACCCTCTTATGACGTAGAAACCTCATCTCGCCATAGTTAAAAGAAAATACAAACGCCCGAAGGAAGACTGAGGCAACTGATATATTAATTCTTTCAACTGTGATCTCGCGCTAATTCACTATGTCAGAAATCATGTATCAGTCATCTTTGTCTGGAATAGTCTTGTTTCAGTATTAGGGTTTTGACGTCACATCATCGCCTCGTTTTCAGAGGTCCGAAAAATCGGGGATTTCAATAATTTTTTATAAAACGTAGGGAGCTCACAGCAAGAAACGGTTTTCGGTGGTGAGCTAGTATGGATGAGTTCTATCGAATTATGAAATAAAATTGTTTTGTGATATAAGCCCATTTGACTAGAAGAAACTACTGTTATCGAAGTTCCGATTTTATCACTTGGATTGTCTCAATATTTTTAACAAAAATAGGTACTTACATGATTTTGTGGAAAATAAAAATGTATAGATACAATTTGATAATACAAATTTCAGATAATTTCAAGTCATGCTGAGCATTTGAAAACTTCCCTCTTTTTTTTTTCAGAGATCTGACAACAGCGAAGAAATGCTTCGCAGAAGTCCTGAACCAAAGATGCCCTACTTACACGGCCTACAAGATACTCAACGAAGATTTCTTCAAGTATGTCAGTAAACCATGCTCTGGCTGCACATTTTTCTTGAATACTCTCATGTTAGTCGCCTCCGTAATGGTTTCTTACTTCAGCAAGAAGCTTTTGTAACTTTAGTCATCCCAGAATCGGTACTTAGTCATGTGAAGATCGAATCATAACAAAAAAGTGCACATGTGGTAGATACATCAGTGATATGGAATAGTATACAGGGTGTCCGCTAAAAGGAGGTCAATCCATTAACCACATATTCCTTGAACAAAAACAATATGAGTTTCTAAATATCATTTTTCATTTTAGCCCTTCATATTCGGTATACAGGGTGTCAAAGCTGGAAATTAAAAACTGTTTTTTTTTCTAATTACTCGCGTATTTGATAAGATATTAATCTCAAAATTGGTACATTACTTCAGCACAAAGAGTTACATCGTGTGAGGAAAACAAAACGGAAAATAACTGTCAAATATTCAAGATACTGGGGGTCAAGTTCACACTTACCCCCATATTTTGTTTGTACGTGCGCTAATGACTTCCTATCTATTTTCCTTCAAGTGTTCAATCATTTTTGAGTATTTTTTGTTTCCTGTAAAATTTCGATTGAATCATTTGTTTTTAAGATAATTCGAATAGTACTGGTTATTGTTTGATGCCTATGCGGCTTACGGTAATCTCATAATGTTCACATACTCCTATTTATTTCGTCGAAATTGAAAGAGGGCGTATCTTTTTACGTACGAAAAGGTAAATATGGAAATACCGGGTGCTCGGAGCAAATGTACTAAAATAATTTTTACAAAAAAAAAATTAAAAAGTGTAAAAATTATTTTAATACATTCGCTCTGAGCACCCGGTATTTCCATATTCACCTTTCCGTACGTAATAAGATACGCCCTCTTCCAATTTCGACGAAATAAATAGGAGTATGTGAACATTATGAGATTACCGTAAGCCGCAAGGCATCAAACAATAACCAGTACTTTTCGAATTATCTCAAAAACAAATAAATTTATCGGAATTTTACAAAAATAAAAAAATACTCAAAAATGATTGAACACATGAAGAAAAATAGATAGGAAGTCATTAGCGCACGTACAAAAAAAATATGGGGGTAAGTGTGTACTTGACCCCCAGTATTTTGAATATTTGACAGTTATTTTCTGTTTTGTTTTCCTCACACGATGTAACTCTTTGTGCTGAAGTAATGTACCTATTTTGAGATTAATATCTTATTAATTACGCGAGTAATTAGAAAAAAACAGTTTTTAATTTTCAACTTTGACACCCTGTATATCGAATAAGAAGGGCTAAAATGAAAAAGGGTATTTAGAAACTCATATTATTTTTGTTCAAGGAATATATGGTTAATGGATTGACCTCCTTTTAGCGGACACCCTGTATTTTACAAGTATCAAAACGGCCTACCAGTTTGGAATAAGCCATTCTAAATCTAATGTCCATACTTCATCTAACGAGATTTCATAAATAGTCCCAGAGCCGGCTGCAAACGGCCGTCATCTGATAACAAAATGACATGTCCCAAAGGTATGGTAGGTAGGTAAAAACATTGTTGTTTTATCGAACGTACCTATGCCAATTACTATCCTACGCAAAATGATTGAAAAATTGCACTTTCCTGTGCGGTAGTTTGCACTTGTTCGCAATTTGACAGATAAGAATAATTATGACATTCGATACCAATGGGGGACTTCGCTCCAAGTTGCTAACCTAAAAACTTCTACCAATTGACCATAGGTCGCGTGCAAGAACTGTCAGATGACCGACCGTGGAGGCAAAACATATTTGTTTACAAGTGATCGAAATATTTTTCCACAATTATTTTGGCATATGAATCGTATTTTTCCGCTACTCATCAATTCGCTAATGCCATCACATTGTGCTGTTGTAAAATGCACAAAAACTGCAGCGGAAGATGAAGAAATCCGGATGGTACATTATGATTCAAAAGTAAGTACCTACTATTACTATAGTCACTCACATAGTTTTCATTTTTGAAATGTGGTTATTTCTCTGATTTCTCATCGGAATTCCTTCTGCAATAGGATCAGCTAATAGAAATATACCTGAAATTTCTAGAATAATGCAAGAAGATTGGATTCATGCAATCAATCGGTAGGACTGGTCTGACATGCTGACGATCGTGTGTGTTGTAGACATTTTCAATCTATTAGCAGCATTAGCTTGTATTGCAGAAGTGGCAGAAGGCAGAAGGAATTTTAATAAGTCGACCTATAGGTCGCGTGCACAAAGACCGACCCTGGAGGCAAAATATTGAAACACAACCTCATTCTTCTGTGAATTATTGAAACACAACCTCACTTTTTTATTTGGTTACAGAGGAATCAAAAGGTTGAAATAGTTTTTCACAATATTTTGGCATACGACTCGTGTTTCTTGCGTTATTCATTAATTCAAGCATGCCTTCGCATTGGGCTATTGTACAATGCACAAAAAATGCAGCAAGAGACTAGGGAATATGATTTTTCAGGTAAATAGTAATCTCACATAGTTAGCATCATGAAATGTTGTCATTCCTTATTAAAATTCCTTCTGCCTTCTGCCACTTCTGTAATACAAGCTAATGCTGCTAATACATTGAAAATGTCTACAACACACACGATCGTCAGCATGTCAGACCAGTCCTACCGATTGATTGCATGAATCCAATCTTCTTGCATTATTCTAGAAATGTCAGGTATATTTCTATTAGCTGATCCTATTGCAGAAGGAATTCCGATGAGAAATCAGAGAAATAACCAAATTTCAAAAATGAAAACTATGTGAGTGACTATAGTAGGTACTTACTTTTGAATCATAATGTACCATCCGGATTTCTTCATCTTCCGCTGCAGTTTTTGTCCATTTTACAACAGAACAATGTGATGGCATGAGCGAATTGATGAATAGCGGAAAAATATGATTCGTATGCCAAAATAATTGTGGAAAACTCAATGTTTTGCCTCCAGCGTCGGTCATCTGACAGTTCTTGCACGCAACCCATTCTAGAACACGCGATTTTGACATGGTTTATTGAGGGGCACACAAACTATCTGTTAGGTTACCTTTGATGAGCATAGCCCTGGCCATACCTGCCACATCCACAATATAATAACAGTTTCACCAAACAAAATTATGGAATTCTTTCTGGTTCCAACTCGGATTCCAAGGAAAACGATCCGATTCTGGTTTTATATGTCAAATCTTGACAAAATACAATGTTTGCCCCTCAGCAACCTGTCAAATGACGTAACTCTGGAATGATTAATGTAGAAGCAACATCATGGAAGTTTTATTACTCTAATAGCTTCATTTTGATGAAATCTTTAGCTGACAAATAGAAGTTAGTCAGAAGAAATAGTTATTTATTATACAAGGGAAAAAAGTTGTAGATTTTAGCTCCAGGTTGTGTTGTCTCCCGACGCGTAGCGGAGGGAGACAACAAACCGTGAGCTGAAATCGAACATTTTTCCCGTGTATAATACACTATTTTTTTCTGTGGCAGAAGAAAGGAAGAATCAATATTGAGACGATATTACATTATTTTGATATCTGAAAATTATCGACGGGAAATTTTAAGTTTTTAACAGTAGGGACACCGCGTTGTAGGCATCTTTATCATTCATTTGAAGTAATCAAATATCTGATGTCACTTCTGTCAGTCTAATTTTGTGATTTTATTTCAAGAAATTGCGAATTCAGTGGTTAATTAGCAATACACGTAACCGCGAAGTCGAATGGAAGATAAAAGGACTTGCAGTTCTTTCTCGGAGACGGTATTATTGACTCATTTTTCGGAACTAGAGCACAACAAAAGCCATCAACAGTGTATATATATGTGATATATATCCGGGAAAGAAGTACTCACTTTTTTCCCACGGGAAAAAAGTAATTTATGAAAAGTGACATTTTATAACCTGCGAACAGGGATGAAACGCCAAACTTTTTTCCCGTCACAGAAAAAACATAATTTTTGTTAACTTCAGTTCTGATTAGTTGAAAATTATATTGATGCACCTGCTTTCATTCTGAAATATGTCATACCGTCGTCAATTTTATTACTTTTCACATTTTTGTTAGGTATTTGAAATCATTTTATTTATGGACAACACTATTATTTATTATTATTAGGTGAAGAAGTTTGATCGTTGCAGTAGGAAGTAGGAATATATTTGAGTGCTAAAACTCGAACCGGACATGACTTGTAAGAATAAAATAATGAAGTTTCAACTTTCTGAAATAAAAAATAGCCCAAGAAAGTGTCTTCAAGTGGATGAAACCATAACTGTTTGGAAACTAAGAAATCACAGTCGATATCATAAATAAAAATACTAACATACCTATGTAATAATAAGCGTTTTCTTAGTAAAAATATAACAATAGGGAAGAGAAATCGTTCAATAAATACTTTCAAAGCTTACATGACTCACCTTGGATAAAAAAGGGTTTCCAATAATAGAGATACATATTATCACAAATGTCGGAATACAACTATATCAAAACAAGATACCATTCAAATAATTACACACAGATAGTTTATGGGTAGCAGAAATTAAAAGAATATTCGAATATCACAATATTTATATTGTATAGAACTGGGATATATTAGAAGGGCTTGTAATGTTACTTGACACATTTATTGAAAACTTATTATCGTATGTCATGAACTATTGACATATATCGAATAGTCTAGGATACTGGGTGATTCTAATATCTAAGAATACGACAGTCTCCCCCACATAATTAGAAAATACACAAATCATCAAAATAAAAGTTAACAACAATTTTAAGACTTCATGTCGTAGTCAGAAAAACGTGAAGGTAGGCGTCGCTGGCGCTGTGGTCGATCTTGAGGAAGATCTGGAACATGACACCTATTTGGTTCTACTGGTTCAACAACACATTCTGGTATATTATGTGGCTGTGGCACTGTTGGTATTCTTGGAACATCGAATGATTGAGTAGGTCCAAAGGTAACTGTAGGCTTCGGAACCAAACTCGATCTAAGTTGGTCGACATGTCGTTTCAGTGTTCGGCCGGAATTCAATGTAACCGAATAGTGACGTTGTCCAAGAACTTTTCGAATTACGCCGAACTGCCAGACGTTCTTATTATTGATAAAAAGTC